TATCCCCGAAAAAAGAGAACAGCCGCTGTGTGTCATCAAATTTGGTAGCCCATATATTGTTGGGTGGTGCCACGGTGGTGCGGAACAAACCTCTGAGGTTTGTGATGACAAAGGAGTTGAGCAAGGGAGCGAGGCCTGTTGGATCTGTCCGGGGATCGGTGTACCCTCTAACGTGGCTGGGAGATCCCCTCTTTCAAGGGAATGTTTAATTAGAAAATCATGGCACAAATGGTGGATTTAGCAGTGCCATGTTTGAATACCGGAGGGTATGTTTGTTTTCTCCTATAAACTATAAATAATATCTAGAATCTAGAATATATCTGAATCACATTCCCGTTCAGAAATGTTCAGAGGACAATGCCACTTTACCGGCATTCTATTTGCCAACCAGCGGTTAGAAACAAGGCCTGCTCGTCTCGGTAAGTGGTCCCAACATTTCCGTGAATGTGAAAGGGAGCGCATGTAGCATTTTAAACCATGTGTAAGATGCAGACGCATGAAACCATCTTTCAATGTTTCACGTTCATTTCAACCCAATCCTGAATAGATATCCTTGAATTATCTTAAATCATTCTAGTTCCATATCAGCGTAATCCCCAATGTCGGTTTTTCAAAGCAAGGTGTACAGCGTAATTCCATCCAATGGTTCATCAATGTGCTTGTTCCTGTTTTTATAATCAAAACAGCCAAATATTGGGGATTATACTTCACTAATTATCAGAAATAATGTAACATACCCTATTCCATATTGTTGCTTATATACATCCCGTATAGTCCCAAAAATGTAAATTAATATATATATATATATACATAGGGGATTGTTTTTTCTGAATTATAGGATCCCATATCCCATATTTTCAGATATGTTTAGGTCATTTTGCCAGGTATCGGTATCCCGTATCATGCCCATATCCTTGTTTATTTGATGTCCCAATATATGTATATATATATCATTATTGCTAACTATATCCCATGTTGTTGCTTATGTAACATCCCAGTCCCATATTATTATATTATATATTCTTTAAAATATCATATCATATCATATCATATCATATTATTTTATATTTTTCTATATTATATTATATTGTGTTATATCATATTATATTATATTATTTAATATATATGTGCATATTGGATATCCCCTTTTATTTTATAGGGGATCTCCCATAGATCATCCCCAGAGTGCCCCCTTAAAGCGCGTCCGCTTGGCCGAGTTGACTCTGAGCGTCCTGCGGGAGTCCGGCGTCAGTTGCGCTACCGGCGCTACCGGCGCTTCGAATCCAGCGGTGAGGTTCGGTGGAAGAGGATTCGTGTGGGTAAAACCATGGTAAAACAATGTCATAACACACTATTTATGCGATTATTATATTATGATTATATATATTTATAGAATTATACCTTATTTTGAAGTATATGCTTTCTTGTACGTATCATTATTACATCGTTAATGTTGAATGGAATTACATTTTTTTTATGACTATATGGTATATATGGAATGCATGGGATTATATACTTGGGAAGAGTTTATAAAATGTTGATCATGGAGAGTTGAGAAATGTTGATAAATCTAGTGTATGTATTGTTGGAATGGTCCAATAGTACTATTTATGGGATTCTTGTGGTACAATGTGGATTTAAATAAAATGGTGAATGTTCACCAATGTTAACCCCATTTATTGGGCTACCCCTGCTGGAGAGTGGTGAGTTTACCAAGAAAGATGGGGATTTTAAAATCCATCTATTGATAGCTGATTTATGCTAGTCAAATTGAGTTATAATAGCTTGGTGAATCCTTGATTTTTTTGTAGGGAATATAACTATAGTTGATGGTGTTTAGAAACCATATAAACCAACATATAACTGGGTGGCCTGAACTGGTATATCATGGGGATATAACCAACAAGATTGGTGATCGAATTGGAAAAGTGATGGGAACATCGTAGATACATGGAGATACACTTGGGATATCAGATGGGAAATTAATTGACTTTTTGGATCCCTTTGGTAATCGATCATAGCAACATAGCTAAGGAAAATGGTCTGTTTGTAGATGGTTTACCAATTATGCATGGCGGTTTTCCTTCGTTATCTTCGAGTACCAGAGGGTCACTGGAGTATACATTTACTGCGGGAAATATGCTAGGGATACAATGGGAAGAATAACCGACCATTCCAACAAAATATACTCTTAGAATCTATTATATGACATGGCTGTGAACATGGAGAGATATCCGCAAATTTAGCATTTTTCGGAAAGTGATGATAAACCTATTCATAAACCACCATCTTTAAGTAGGAAAAACATTGGGGTAGCCTACTTTCAGACAAATCAATATTTTGGGTTCGTGCGGCAACGAGCGAGGTGGTACCAATATTAATAGCACAGATACAGACAACGCTATGACATCTTTAAAGAATTTGAATGCTAACGTCATTTGGAGTTTTTATTTCAGACTACGCAAAGAAGCAAGTACGTCTCCTCAAAACCAACATCCAGTTGACATTGACTAGAATAAATGGTTGTTTGGGAAATGATGTGGTGTTTTTTGTTGGTCGTCTACATTATACATCATTATACATGCACATTATTGTATTGCATATTACATTACATCATCTAGAATTATTGTATTGTATTATATTATACTTACACATTATTATTACATTTACATATCATTATTGTATTGCATACATCATTATACATATCCCTTTCATAATAGAACATAAGTCTAGCTCTACACTAACATGTTGCTTCCTTACAGCAAATTCATCTCCAGAGATCTCAGCAACTATCTTCAAAGATATCTGTGATGATGACCCCAATTGAAACTCTACACATATATTATATATACATACAATAATCATATATATATATATATACACATACACGTTTTTCAGGGTTGACACAGTGAATTGCCAGGTTGGTCTTTCAGGAAGACGATTGGCTGAGCTGAGTGGTCTCAAAAAGTTTGCTCCGCTTTTAGGAAGACCCAGAGGGTTCACCCATGGGACTATCAGTCCGTTGTTCAGTGGTGGCATCCAAATATGGTTTGTCCAGCTAATGTTTCCTTGGCGCTGGCAGTCATTATCGTCCTGTTAAGTAACCCCGTGTCATTTTAGTGGAGCCCCGCTCCCAATCATATTTCAGTGGCAAGCATGTTCCCAGCTGCGTGGAAGTCAAAGAACACAATAAGACCACCATGGTACCATACACAGCATGCACTTGCTATGTAAAGCATGTTCTGAAACTATCCAAGCGCGACTGCAAAAACAAAAAACACTGTACAATACTTGTGTTTACATCTTTGTCGGATGAGTTGGTCTTGTTGAACCATTTCCCACAACCCTTGGACTTGACAGAATGAGAGCGATATGTGCTGTCTTTGACTGGCTGAAGTAATATTGTATCATTTGTTGCATTGTGCACATCATATTGCCCCATACATTGGTTGTTGGTTTTTACTCTTACAAGATGCATTCCGCAAAAGAAAATGGTGTCATTTCAATGGTAAACATAACATTCCAGGGAACAACAGCAAAAAATGTTCGCGCGTTGTCCTTTTTGGCACAAGCGGCTCCTTGCAGGTTTCTACAACAAGGATCAGAAGAAAGCTTTAGAATAGCATGATCATGTTCTCTGTGAACTTGCCAGGCAGCCAGTCAATGATTTGATTCCTGCTTCGGCTAGTTCGTTAGAATCACACAATGCCCAGACACTGTCCACCCCATTCACGCGAACTGGGTAAAGAGACCTTTCAGAAAGGTAGGTGAAAAGGGATGAAAATGGTTCATTCATACCCAACTCTGAGTTTACTGAACTTTGGGGGTCAAACAGCCACGAGTTCATTCCCTCGTCACGTTGGAACATCTCTGCTCTCGTTGGGTATCTCTCGAGCTTCGTTGCCCGGGGAAGGTCCGGGAACAGTGTTCCAGGGATGGCTTGAGACGGTTGAGATCTATGGTATCCTATGAATTTCTGATGAACATCCCATGAATACCAACGATTGGTGAAAAAACTGGATCAGGAAGTAAACTGACATATGATCCAGTTGAGTCACTTCAACATATGGCATACCGGTCATGAACATCCCATGAATACCAACGATGAAGTGACTCAACTGACATATGTTCAACCTCGGTTTTTGCACCGAGCAGGTGGGCTCAGGTCGCCCGAATGTCGACACAAGGAGGACGTTCGGACCAACTCGTCAGTGCTTGTGACCGGCAACTTAGCTATTGAACATGGCCACTGATAGTTTGATTTACCTACTAAAGATGGTAACTTCACATAGCTATTGAACATGGCCACTTATAGCTTATTTGCCATAATTAAGCTACTATAATATAAACATGGTATAACATGCTATAACATGGTGATGTTCAATAGCTATTTCAAGCTAAATTACCAGAGACTCCAACAATGGGGGATGTAAAGCCAACCAAGATCACATTGGGAAGCCCAGAAAAGCTGGTTTCGACCAGATGACTAGATCAATGAATATGTTCATGGGATTTCATGGGTGTTTGGTTATCATAAATATCCATAATTAAATGGGAAACATTATTGGAAACCATGCTGGGAAATCATAAACTTACCAGCTAAAAACTCTACCTTTTTGCAGGGTCTCCTAGATCAGCTATGAGTGTTCATGCCAGGCTACTGGGCCATTGCAGGAACCCTGCCATTGATGCTGCTTCACGTTTGGATTTTGGTTCAAGCAAAACGAAAGACACATTGGAAATTGGCGCAGCTGAATGGGACTGGATTCAGATTTTCTGACCGCGGCAATCTTGTGACAAGTTGGTATTCTGTTGAAACTTCAACCTTTTGATAGTCGACTGTTGCAGAGGCCCATCGCCTAGGTAAAATGGTAATACGGCAGCCAAATCAGCCACTCTGGGGTGTGATGTTGTTCCCCCTGCAGTCTACCAGTCCACCACAACCTTGACCCATGAGCCTCATTTCCCTAAAGTGGGAATAGCATCTTCAAGATGACGCTATGGAAGGGTGCAGGATCGAAGGGTTGAATGTCCAAAGCTACCTGAAATATCATGAGATCAGATGGAATAGGTGTGAATATGTGGCAAAGGGGCCTGGGAACATACAGACATATACAGACATATTGGGAAAAATGAGAAAACATGGATGTTTGAATCTTAATCCAACAGCAAAGTTGTTTACAGTTGGGCCAACCAATTCGTCTACGCCATTGTCGGTCCAGGAACTTGGTTTTAAAGCCATGAGATGCAAAGTAGTGCCCACCATTTTTTAGTTGGTTGCAAACAAATGCAAACATCACTATAGTTTCACATAGATATTAAATTATATATATATAGAACAATACAATACTATACTATACTATACTATATTATATACTACACTACACCACTATGTATTTATACAGATATATAATTATATAATTATATATACACACTGTATCTACCACAAGCCACAGAAATTCAGTGATGTTCACCACCTTGGCTTTCGCAGGGCCCCCTGTACAGTAGGCACTCCTCGCTGGAGATCCTCAGCACTCGCGGCACGCATCGTGTGGTCTTTGCGGATGCTGCCAAGGTCGGGATTCGGAATGTGTACACTAATAATAGAAATAGATATTTGCGGATATCTATTATAATAGTACTAAATATAGACAATTATATACACTTTAGTACTATATACAATAGATTTTTCAATAGATCAAATTGTACCAGCGAAGGAGTAGTTCCTTGCAGCCAATCTAACATTAGTCACTTAGTCTTGACTTTGATTGGTTAACAAAGCAGCAAAATTGGGGATTCCCCATCCAAGACCGGGACTAAACTTGTTTTGCTGGGCGGGGGCTTGATGGATGTTTGGTTAAGATTCAGTGAAAATGTGCCAGGGTGAATAGTCTTAGCCCTAGTCCTGGAGGATTGTTTAAGCGGTATTTCACGATATTCGGAAAGAATCGTGACATGAGAACCTGGTTGGTGGTTTGGAACATTTGTTATTTTTCCCATCATAGTGGGAATGTCATCATCCCAACTGACTAATATTTTTTCCGAGGGGGTAGGTCAACCACCAACCAGTTATTAAGTATTATCAGCCATGATTAAACATTATTAACCACTATTACCCTCTGGTAATTTAACATAGCTATTGAAAATGGCCATTTATAGTGAGTTTTCCCATTAAACATGGTGATTTTCCATAGTTATGTTAGTTTACCAGAGGGTAACCACTGTTAACCAACCAGGAACTTGACCATGGACCAATTTTATCTTTGCTGTTTCATGGGAGGAGCAAGCCGTGAGGATTAGGCAGACTTTTAAGTCGGGGCCAGTTCGCATCAGATTTTTAGGGTAAACCATTGAATATCCCATGTTTTTGTTAATCCATTGTTACATATATTGTCCATTCAACATATAACTCATATAACAATATATAACATATATTGAAAATGTACCAGACATCACTATCCACTGCTACATATTTTGTTGTAAAAGCAGTATTAAGCATTGTCAAAGCCATATCCCACAAAATTTCTGGAGCGCCATGTTCGTTTATCTCCCCAGGATTTGACCAAGAAACTCAGTCTCCATCCGGAATTTGTATGGGAACCTTTATAACATGTTCTAACCATCCAAAATGTTTGCAAACAGTTTTGGATGTATCATAGATTTATATGGATTTATGATGTATATGGATTTATGATATACAGTATCTATAATTACCGTGTATAACTGTTGTAAATATTGAAGTCTTGAAGGTAAACAAGAACAAATGGTTGGCTTCGCGGTCTGAAATTCGCTGTAGCATACTGATTTGCATCACAGGACCATTGATCAGTTGTTTTGTGGCAACATATCGCAAGAGTCACTGAATGTGGTGGAATATCAGATTCCTCACCCGGATACGACCCAGTTATCCGCGTTTTTTAAGATTTGAAAAGCAGTGCCAACTTATGGAAAAGCAGTCTTTGCTGAAGAACATTTCAGGGTTGTCAGGTAGGTCTCGCATTTTAAGATCCTATATAGGCTTATCTGTTTTTCGCAATTGGATGTGTCTCCCCAGTTTTGAGCTCAAAATCCTCAGGATGCAGGAAACCACATATGGTTAGGGTGTTTCAGCCAGGTTTCCTCCCAAATTTGGAATCAATCCATATCATATTGTTGGTTGCTTATATCCGCCTGATATCCCCATGAATCCCCATGATATTCCCATAAAATCTTTGGTTTAAATATGTTTAGAATTCTTTAGACCTTATATTCCCATCATATCTCCATGAGATCCCCAGAAATCTTCCATTAACGCATGGAGTTTCCAACACCCCATCCTTTCAGGCCGAGTTGCGACGCTATGTCTTGGTGTCCAAGGCAGAGATTGAGGCCCGGACTTTTTTGAAGCGTAAAATGACTTGGAACAGCTATGTAATCTGTATATATATATATATACACATGTGCATGATTTCCAATGTTTCATAATGTTGTTCTATAATGTTGTTCTATAAGTTGTTCAATGATGAACATGGTTTATAAGAATGGTTCATCATGGTGTTCATCATTGAATTACTGCATAAAATGATTTATGCCACTATATATATATATACATACACGTAATAAATATATATATATATATTGTAAATTAACGATATTGTGAAATGAATTATAAGACAATGGCATACATTTGGAATATGATGATGCATATAATTTACAATAAAATGACTATAGTAAAGTACAATAAAAATGTTTATAACAATATGTCAGTGTTACATACTGCAAGTTTTACATGTATCATTAAATATGTATATATTATATATTATACATCTACACATATGTTTCTCTATGTATCAGCACTTGGCCTTGGGACCTTTCTTCGCAGGTGGGACCCAGCTTGGAAGAGGAGAACTTCCATTGGATTTTCGCCCTGGCACCTGGAGGTCGGGCCTGGGATTTTAGGGAAATCATCCCCAGGGGGGTGGGCAGGGACCGCAAGAAGTTGGTGGCCTTAATTCGGGTTAGTGAATTATTATAATTTACCCAGACAGACGGGGAATCATTCTTGATGGGAATCTGTAAATGTGTTTTTTTGATGATGGGTTATGAAAAATCATTATAGGAACATGGGGATTTTTTCATAACACATCATAAATAATCCCAAGGAAAATGATGGGGATTTAAGAAAAGTTTAACAGGATAAATTATATAAATGATATGGGGATATCATCAGTTTGGGATTGTTTAATGGTCACCAATGGTCAACATTCAACATTGGTCACCAATTATATCTGGTTTTTGTTGATGTGTTGATTAAATCCCAAGGAAATATGTGCCTTCCTGATGATCTATATGTATATATATATAGGATCTCATGATTACCATAGCTGATAATAGGATCATATCGACATATTATTTGTTGGGCATCATATGATATTATCCTTTTGAATATGTTGGATTTGATTGAATCGAGCTGAATAGATCTGACAAGATCCTTTTGGCCTGGATAAGTGTAGTGGCTATCATGGTTCATCATAAAAGTGTCCCATTGACATGTCAACTTTGGGGTTCTATTATATCCTGTTGACGGATTATTTGGAAGGGTGTTTCTGCGTTGCTTGGATGGTGATTTGGATGAGATGCCTGGTGAAGTTTTAACACTGCGCCGAGTTTGGTATCAATATCCGTAAGAGCAGCGCATTGAGTTGGCACCAAGGGTGAGTCGGGAAGTGTTTCTATTTGAGATCAATATCCGTAAGGGCAGCGCAGCTGACAAATTGAACATATCGGTTATGAAATCTAGGTTCCACCCTTAGATATCCGTTAATATCCGTTGATGAGATGATCCTCAGGCGGGACGTCCATTGTCATCTCCATTCAGAGTCAGTGCGCCGACTTTCCTGAGATGAAACCAGAGCCTCCCGAGGATACCCAAGGTTTGACATGGTTTTAGCCCATTATCCGAATGGGATTGGTGTTCACAAGTGGATTGTGACTACTAAGAACTGAAAGATACTGTATGTCCTTTGGTTCCCATTGGGCCTTAGGGTCTGTCCAAAAGAATGGGAAACAGTTGGTGAAGGGATGGGTGCTCATCCATTTCGGTTGATTTGCCACTTTGTTTCCGAGCCAAGAAAGTGAAATCCAGCGCAAGGTCTAGCTCCCTTTGTTCCTATAGTAACCTATAGCAACCTATAGTAACCTATAGTAACCTATAGTAACCTATAGTAACCTATAGTAACCTATAGTAACCTATATGTAATCTTAGTATCACCCAGCATTTCATGTACTCTGATCTAGGTACTGGGTCTTCGCTTCGCCCTGTGCATATCTCACCTTCGGCTGGCTGCCAGCAGATGACCCAAAGCTCCTCAGACTGCCAGAGGGCTCAGCCGAGTTTTTGGCCGTGACCTTTGAAGCAGGAGCGAGTTGGCTGGCACTTCTAGGGTTACACAGAGTTGGCTACTTAAGGTGCTGTTGCTTAGGAATCGTGAACTCTTTTTTAGGTGAGTTCAGCCCAATAAAAATCCACTAGGGTAGGGAAATTGTCCAGTTATAACTGTGAACGAACCTACGTACAAACACGATTCATGGAGTGAACCGCCAAGTACGGGTCCGATGGTGCGTGTGTTTTTGTTGGGGATGGAGTAAGAATCTCATCCCGATCGTATGAAATGCCCCCCGCTGTTGGGACCCAAAACATGAACATTGGGTGATATTCAAAATTGGGAGAGAGACATCAGTTTCATCATAATAAGATATTGTTGGAGAGATTTCGAAAGACCCTCCCCGTGATTCTTGCGATGTCCAGGACAACCATCACCGCCCCTGAGTCCTTGGTAGTTGAGCAGCTTAAGACGATCCAGTTGGGTATCTAGGATTCCTCATGAATCTAGGCTTACTATTTCCCAAGCTTCAACACACCATGAATCAGTGCCCTTTTGAAGCCTCCCTGCAGGATGGCAATCAGAAGATTCTGTGGCCTTCATTCCTGAGGTGGAGGCCGGCATATCATCGCCGCTGGGAGAAACTGATGCTGTTGAAGTTGAAGAGCTCCATAGCTTCTCGTGTCATTTTTGCCCCAGCTGTCAGGTGAGGGTTGTTAGATTTTATGTCAGCTGGCCTCCTCCTTCTTCTCCTCCGCCGGACCTCAACTGCAAGCGCTAGATCGCAGTGGTCCCCGCCGGACCCGAACAGCAGCCGCTGGATGAAAGTGACCCCAGCTGGACCTCGACCACAAAGAATCCCCGAAGATATACCAGATAGAATGTCAGAAACAATGGCAGAATATATGCCAGAAAGTATGTCAGAATAGATGCCAGATAGAATGTCAGAAAGACTGTCAGCATATTTGCCAGAAAGAATGCCAGATAGAATAGAATGTCGGAATAAATATGCCATATACACTTCCAGTATGTCAGAAACTATGTCAGAATAGTGTTTCAAGGTGGGGATCACTCGAAGAAAGTAACTCTTTTGTACTTGAGGCCCACATAGACACACAAATGATATGTTTAATAGATTTTAATAGTATGCATATATATATATACATGTTATATAAAATATGTGTAGGAAAGACCACCTGGTGGATTTGTGGGATGCATCTAATTCGTAGTAACACAGCCCAGGTTGGACACCTGCCCAATTTCATTCCGATCAGATCCACCGAGCTACACAGTTTGACATCCCCATGGTTGGTGGAGTTATCGTCTCGCTGCACATCCTTAAAATTTACAAAAGCTTTCCACAAAACCAGTTGGAAATTCAAGAATGCCTCACACATTTTCTACTTCACATCACTTAAAGTCACTTTTCAGAACCTCCGTCCCGTGGTAACGACATCACAGGAGATCCCTGCGGCGCTGCGGGGGTCCTATAAGGCCAGCTGTTACATGGAGTTCGTGGGAATTTCGCGGGGATGTTATGGGATTTTATGGGATTTTATAGCTTAAACCCTCAACAAATGGAGGCTGCTGTTGGAAATGTATCTAAAATGTATGAACATGTACATGTATTCTTATGAAAACCCATTATTCACCCATGATGAACAGCTATTTGGAGGTTTTTTGAAGTCAAGGGGGAGTTGCTACAAATATGGTGCAACTCATGTTTGATGATGACATCTATTCTGGTTGGTGGTTTGGAACATTTGGATTATTTTTCCATATATTGGGAATGTCATCATCCCAACTGACGAACTCAAATTTTTCAGAGGGGTAGGTATACCACCAACCAGTATTGATATCTACAACTTCGAGTTGGATTTGAACATCAACTGGTGGTTGCTGGGTACAACTTGGTCAATGGCGAATCTCAAGAGCCAACAAAATGGCCAAGCACCGAGCCGATTCTTGGGGAGCGCCGTTTTGGCGCCGTTTTTCTATGCGTTTCACACTTGAACCATGGATAACCCCAAGAGATGGAAGGGTCAAATATTAAAAGTTGATGAGTGGTAAATGCAGTGGCTATATCTGCTGTTGAGTGGGGAGATTCACCAAAAGGTGGATGAAAAATAATGAAAATCCCCAGTGATCAGCCACTAATTACATAGAAAAGGGTGTCCATAAGGTTCCTTATCTTATATGCGCAAGTGATTTTATAAGTTGTCTTGCTAGGATTCTGAACTGAGTAGGTAGGCTTACAACCCCAATGGCACTTGTAGGAATTCATCACTATGCTAATATTAGCAATGGTTTGGATATAACTTCTATCATCAACGTTAGTGAGAATATAGACAACTGTTTTCTTAGTATCGATGTGACCCACGAGAATGTCAACAAGCGGGTTGTGAGCGCACACATCGTTTAAAAGAAACAAAGACTATGTCACTAAGTCAAGGACAATCACTTCCGAGACACAGTAGTCAGTGTGTTCAAGGACGAAAGCAAGGCAAGAGGAGCAATAGCGTAATAGGAAATCATGATTCATCACTATTTGTTGGCAGGAGAAATCAGACAACGAAACGAATGAGGCGAAGTGAAATACCCACCAAGAAGAGTTCTTGAATGCTGGTGGGATGAAAAGGAACTTGGAGAGGATACAGTAAACTGATTGCATGAACTTCACCTTACTTTACGATATTTCATTTTTGATAATCTCATAAGTTATGAACTATATAATCACCAACACAAAGCACCACAAAATTCAAACCGCTTCAACAAGTACCTACTTCATAGAATCTATACAATCAACGTGAAAGCTCGCAGCAAAAAATACTTATGACACTTCGCATTCAGAATAAAAACAACTCAATGGTAAGCAAGACACATTGATTCATCAACATTAAGTAAACATCAGAACAGGTAAGATACTAAAATACCCTGTCCCAACATCCCCCATTTTGCCATCAACAACGAAAGTTGCCCCCAGGAGTTCTACCACGCTTATAGCGAAATTGATGGCTATCAACTGTTCTTTGAGAGCAAAGGCGGGGTACCAACGGACCCACAGATATTGGGATATTTGGGATGACCGTCCCCGGCCGAACTTCAGCCCTAGCTTTGATTTCACGCCTGATTATACGTAAATACATATGGTAATATACGTGCATTTTATATACAGAGAGAGAGAGAGATTTGTTTTTTGGTATTTATGTACATCTGGATCATGTACTATATTAATCTATAATATATTGTTTGTATCGATATGTATACTCGTTTCTAGTGAACTCACTCCGCCCGATCCAAAATCTTGCGTTTAGTTTTGGGAGACTTCCCGGGAAAGTCACCCCAACATGCGTTTAGTTTCTGTGGAGCAGTTGCATAAGATAGAAAACGATGCTTTAGAAGTATCTATTGTCTTTGTTTCAATCATCAGTGTTCCAACTGTCATTTTTTCCCTAAGCAGCAACTCCTCCTGCATCCAGTCGTCTCAGGCTTCAAGGGATCCGCGCTGACCTACGGGGAGAGCCATTTCAAACCCATCTTAGACATCCTACAACGCCTGGAGGTAGGCACAAGATGGCACAAGGGGGTTGATTTTAGGCCAAGCCAGATCCATCAGTGACTCACACATTTGTTGATTGAATCGGGGTTCTTCTTGGATGATCTCCCATTCTTGCTGGTTAGCAGGACGAAATCATCATGGAGGCTTGAATCCCCAGGGTTTCAGGGCTAAAACCTTTTCTGAGGTGTCCTAGAATGGGCTGTAGCCCTCAAGCCAAAAATCTATGGCGGGTGATTTTCATGGGATTTCCCAGGAAATATACCAGGAAAGAAACAATCCAGCTATTGGAGAAAGGCTTCATGACTATGGCCCCAGCACCGCCAGGTGGGGCCGAAGGACAGCACTGGGGATGACTTAAGGGGATGGTGCGAGAAGTGATATGCTATAAGATGTCCATAGTAACATAGACGTGTGCAACTAGAGTCATATATACATATATACGTATATATATATATTTCAATTGTAGTTGTAATATATTTTGATATTGATTTTGATCAATGATATTACAGTACAAGATATTACAGGTGATTCGAACCATGTTCATGATACTGTGATGACTGTGAAACTTATTATGATTAGTTCTACGGATTATACTAGCAAAATAATTCAAACAATAATTTTACACTTAATATATATATATAGTTTGCTATACATATATATATATACATGATTTTGGACCTGGGATTGACTACGATAATCATATAGTTGCACACTTATAACCATCACAAATATCATATATGGTGATGTTGGATAGTTGGATAGTTGGATAGTGATAGTTGTACACATGGAATATAAAACAACTTATAACTATGATGTTGTTCTGCACAAATATAGAACACCATCACTATAATATCCTGTTTGTTATATAATATAACTAGCATATATATATATAGTATACACATCCTAATCATCCATATAGGATTTGGTTGGTGGTTTGGAACATGTTTTATTTTTCCATATATTGGGAATGTCATCATCCCGAACGAACTCATATTTTTCAGAGGGGTAGGTATACCACCAACCAGAGATTATATGATACAATAGATGTTGTTCTACACCAGAGATTTCATATTGTACACCACCCTCTACAATAGATTATACAATAGCTATGATATACAATAGCTATCACATAGTGATGTTGTTCTACAGACATATCCTCACCACGATATGCAGGACATCTTGCTGGACCTGGGCTCCGGCACGGGTCGTGTGGTGCTGGCGGCCGCTTTGGCTTGCCCCTTTCTGTGCCTTGGAAGTGACCGCAGGGGGGAGTGACTTTACCATCCAAAAATGGCTTGTTTTTCTATGAGGAACAATGGGGAAAAAACGGACTTCAGCTATGTATTTTGGAGACTTTACCATCTTACATGGATTGTTTCACCCGGGAAAATGGGGAAACATGTAGCTCACCTATGTATTTTTGTTTTGGAATTGAAACTATATATGAATGGTTTTGGGTTGTTCAACCAGGAAAAATGCTGATACAATGGGGATGTAGCGAAAAATATTGTGACTTGGGGAAAAACAATTGATGGTTGGAAACATATATGATGTAGAGCGTTTTGTTGACACTGCTGAAGTAACCTTGGAGTTTTTGAAGAGAACCATTAATGCCATGGGATTTTCACCATCAACCATAGAGATTTTATCAATGAATAATGGATATGGGTGTGTCTGAAAATTGTAATTTATAGCCAAATTCATTCACATTGATATGAACATCATGTTTAGCCAATGGATTTGTTTGTGCCCTTTTCCAGAAACCCAAATGGACATGTTTTGCAAATTTCCTTGTAATTGGTTGAAGTCAGTTTCAAGGTTCATGTTGAAGAAGTGCAGAGATGCTTCTGACCATATTTCAATATGTATTATATACTGTATTACCATACCAATATGAAGCCTCACGTCTCCATTGGTTTCTCTCTCTCTCTCTCTTTCTCTGTCTCTCTCCCTCTCTCTCTCTCTCTCTCTAGTGCCTTAAATTCTTTGCGGTGAGAACTAAAACAATTAAGCACGTATCTCTGTTCAATTGCGGAACAGTTTTTGATATTGTTTGTTGTTTTACTTATTGAATTTGTCAATCAGTTGCCAATCAAATATACCACTGATGATAACAGTTTTTGCTGTGACCAGGACCACAAACAACGTGTATTTTAAACCATGTGTGTTTTTTTTAACTATGCCATCACTTTACCATCACCATACCATCAAATTGTACCGTGTCACTTGTTGCCATGGTTATGACACTAATTCTCATACTGTACAGTGGTATACCGCCATCACATACCATTTTGCAATAGATTTTCATTTTACCATATTCTGGACTCATTATCATACCATTTGTTCCATACCTTTATCACATGATTATAGTGTCATAAAATGTCATAACACCATTGTCCGTGATGTAATCATATCACTATGATTCAGTATGATTGCCATGATCACCATGTTATCCATTATGTTTGCACCACTACTACCATCACTACTGGTATCAACTATTAAGCCGCCTTCAATGATATGGTTCAATGGTTCTGCAAATGAGGTTTTGACCCCTCAATTGTTTGTACAGCTGGGGAATTGAATGTTCTGATCCCTTGGAATTGTTTTTCTCCAAAACTATCAGACAAACCCGGACCTTTTTTTTTGTAAGCTTCCACTATTACCCCTATTATCACGTATTACACCACCATGGGAGACACATAAAGCTACAAAGATGCATCACGATGGATAGTTCATTGACTAATCAAACCATCAAACAAGCAAACAAATGGATTGTGACATCAAAAAATGGATGGAACTGGATCCTATTTACAACAATCATCCCCTGTTTTCCAATCAACCCTAGGTTAATAGTATTCCCCACTCAATCCCAGTATGATATTACGAATCAACCAATCCACCCTTGGAAATTCGTGTTTAATTCATGTTAATTCTAAACCACCCATGGATTACAAAAAAGATCCAAGGCTTATTTTCTAACCCGGAAAAAAAACTTTTATTATACGATATTCTAACATATTGTAACCCACCCATGGAAATCCAAAGGTTAGAACTTTACAACCTACCAATCCTCACTCTGTCACCCTTAAACGTCCAGGAAACTCTGCCGCGGCATCGAACTTCTTCCCTCGCTCCATGGCGCCGCGCAAGACGCCTTGGGTCGCCTCTGCGGCGCGCGAATCGCGGCACCGGTGGAGTTGATCTGCGGGGACCTCGTGGAGGAGGACGGCACCCAAATCATCCAAACCGTTTAAAAGCCATGGTGACTTGGGGAACCCCCATCTTAGGAAACCCCTTGTTTAGTAATTGGATAACATTAGGTGATGTTAGATGATACTAGATGAACAAATGGAACAAGAGCAACATATTAACCGTTTGGAGGCTGTGAATTGAACAATTCCAGGAATCCTGCAGGTCCAGATGAACAAAACGTATTAGTAACATTAGGTATGATAGTAGTTACTTAGTAATATCATATCGTGTCATTATTATGAATACTAGATGTTGATAATAAGTTTTGTTTGATGATATTAGATAATATTCGATTTTCTATTAGATGATGGGTATACAATGTTGGATAGTATTAACAAATACGCATAGTAACTGATGTGCTGTATACTTTTTTTCCGACACGCCTATATCGGTTATTCCTGGGTGAAATCCCTGTTGTTGATGGTCAAGTCTCTATGTTTGATGGTGCCCAGCATATGGGTTATATTTTCCCCTTAATATCCCAGATGTTACTGTCAAATATGTTTAAGGGAATATTTAGCTTTATATACCATGATGTGTTCTTGATTTTCAGCCACAGAAAAAAAAATTGTTGAGCCCCATCCATACCATGAAACTACATGTTTGGTAATTAAGTCCCATGAGTAACTCCTCCAGGGTAAACGTTTACATAGATGTGGAAAACCCATGGTCTCCCTAGGGAAGTAGTCTACAAATGGTGGGTTGTCCGCATCTATATAAATGTTCACATGATGGCAATAATAGTGACCCCATTTTATCACCCTTTTCATCCGTTAAGTCCAAACATTTAAACTCATTTTCCAGAACAATGATCGCATGTTTTTCCATTTGTCATGAATGATGCCATTTTCCTTCAGCCTCCTCAGTCCGGGCCCTTCCGGAGGACTGGTCAGATGCCACTGTGGTCTTTGCCATGTCTCTCTGTTTCCCTGAGGAAATGATGGAGGCGACACCACGCTCACCATGCTCGAGTCAGGGGAGTTTCATTGATCTTTATGTGTTTTTTTGTTTAATGGGATCTTAATGGAATTATAGTCCACCTAGTGGGATATAAACTCTAGTATTTTTGTTACATCACTATGGAAAATATGAACCATAGAAGATTTGCCATGATTTAGCTATTGAAGAGGGCGATTTTCCATAGCTATGTGAGATTGCCAGAGTGAAGAGTATAGGCCAGTATAGGTGCCATAGTAAAGTTACTTGGGTAAGCCTTGTCCATATTATTTGGGGGATAGGAAACTCGATCCATTTCGTTTGGATTCCCGGTGTGGCCGCTGAATGGACGATCATACCGACATACCATGTTCTGACCATGGCACATATAGGTTTGACTATTCCCCCCCACCCCGCGTGCCAGTTGATTGTGAAGAATGGGATAAATCCCAAGTTACAGCAATTTTAGTGGTGAAAATGATGACAACCACGGATTTTGGATACATAGTGGAAGTTAAACAGATCTTCCAACGAGGATCTTCCAACTAAAATTTTAAACGCTTTCCAATATGTGCGTTTGATCGTTTTGGTGTGTTCATATGTAATCATGAAGCATGATGTTGAGAGTTATAGCATGTTGTAACCTATAGCCAGTTTATTACCAATGTTCCTATTAAATAATATGTCTTTTCTGCGGTATACCTCATTTTCAAACACCAAACAGCCCAGCTGAGCCCCAGGCTTTGGAGCAAAAGTTCCGTCAGCTGAGACCCGGAAGCTACGTGATCTTAATGTCACTTGGCCAAAGTCTCAAGGTAGTTTTCAGGGTGGTCAGAAGCAAAGACATCAAAAACTGGTTGGTGGTTTGGAACAGCCACGGGCTCAACACCTCCCAGCGGGTGTGGCTGGGCTGGCAAAGCGTTGAGCGTTTTGTTCCACATGTCTAGCCATGGATCCTTTCATGGAGATCGGTGCCACTGGCAGTGGTGGGTTTGTCTCCGTGGTGGTGGATGTTGAGGTGTTGGATCCTCTCCATGAGAGGCACCTTGTGCGGCTCCTTCCCTCAGGTGCGCATGCTCATGTGCGTGGCCTGGTGGAAGGGACGTCTGCTCGACTGACGCTGATTGAAGCCGTGGTGGTCAAACGGTTCCCGATCCCCGAGATTGAAATTGGACCGAATACGGAGGTGATGTACCATACTCGTCACTCTTGGGCTGATTTCTTCAAGCTTGTGGATGCATGCTCTGAGCTTGGAGTTGTCTCGCATGGAGCTTTGTCTGTTGGTCTGCACACACTGATGTCGGTGGATAGCCATGGGAGGATGTCCAATCTGCATAAGGTTCCTTCAAGTTGTGAGACGGTGACCGGAGATGATGGTCATCCCCAGGTCATTCATGAGTTGTGGCGCCAGTCTGATCATGCAGCCATGGTGTGTGATGGATATGTGTGCCAGCCATACTCCCAGCGTGGTGATAGACGGGGAGCCATGGATCCTCGTGCACAGTGCCTGCAGAGTGTCTGTCGAGCTGCATTGTTGTTCCAGGTTTGTGGTGTGGTGCTTGCATGGGTTACTCCTGCACGTTGTGATCACTTTGTGGCTCAACAACTGGAACGGGTTGCTCAGATTGGTGGTTTCTGCATTGAGGCAGTCAACATTGATCTGCAAACTGTGTGGACATGCTGCAGACACAGAGCGTGGTGGGTGTTGGATGACTCCTGCTCGGACAAAATTGGCTTAGCTGAATGGTTGCCTATGGGAGGATGGCCGTGGACTCAATGGCTCATCCCTTACACTTGTAGGTGGGACCCCAGCGATGAGCCTGCTCTTCAACGGGACCAACGTGAATGCCAGGCGTTTGGAGTGGAGGATGGCACATATCCCAAGCACATGATGACAGCCAATGGTATTGGCCCCACTGCTTTGCATGAGGGGAAGTTCCAGGATCACAGTGCACACCAGACCCAACAGGTGTCGAACTTACAGTCTCGGATCCAGACACAGTCCCAGCAGTTACATGGCCGGATTGAATCCCAGAACCAGAGTAACCAGGCCATGTTTGAAAACCAGCTGTCGCATATCCGTGGTCTTTTGTCCAAACGGCCACGGGGGGTTGGTGAGTGATGGTATGGGCAGGGGTCCGACGCACCCAAGTGCACGTGTGTCGTGCGATGCTTTGGCAGCTTGTTGGTCGGGACCCTGATGCCCGTTTTACAGTTTTGTTTCATGGGGTATGCAGCCACAGTGAAGCATGTGCGAGCATCGTGCCCTAAGCCAGGGCCTAGGGTGGTGCTGCTGCTTGTTTTCAGTGTGTTTCGGGTTGGGGAGGCCTCTTACCCCGGCCCTGCTGCTGATGATGACTCTTTTGTTTTGGGGATTGCCAACCCACATGGGTTGCGTGGTCCAGCTCCTTTCCGTTGCCAGACTATGGAGAGGGACTGGTTGCCGGTGCCGCAATAGGTAGGTGTACACAGCCAATGCGCTGGTTTCGATGACTAAACCAGCGTGCAGAGCAAAGAGGTACAAAAAGTGGTGGTTTGGAACATGTTTTTTTGTTCCATATATTGGGAATAATAGTCCCAACTCACTAATATTTCTCAGAGGGGTTGAAACCACCAACCAGAAAAAAATTGCCAAATGAACATCTCTTTATATCCGATTGGTTTCTCATTGGTCAATCCAATACTTGGTCCCCAAAAATGAAGGTCCGAAATATAAATTTCCGTTGCTTCAGGGCCCATTGCGGTAACGTTATGGTGTTGTTTTTGCTACTTCCATAGTTCTTTAATGTTCTTTACATAGGTTTTCGGGATCATCAACCAGTTCGCCTTTCGTTTTTACACTGGAAAATCCCCAGGTTTTAATGGGAAAAAACACACATCCATTAAAATGGCATGATCATGTTTTTGCATTGCCACATGTGATTAGCTGATGGTACTCTCCATGAAGTTTGGTGTATCACTTCAATGTACCCCCAAACATCACCCACAGGGTCCAGATGATTCTCAGAGTTGGGTGATAGTTCAATGGGCAAAAAACCACCCCACTTAAGTGGTGCTTTGGACCTGTCCGGTTTCGATTTTTTTCGATGTCTTTCTGTGTTTTTACTTCAGTCTTTAGATTCGAATTCACTTCGCATTCACTTCACTTGTTACTTGGGGAGTTTGGGGCCCGCCCAACCTTCGTTGCAGGCATTGCTTCATGGGAGACGCCAGCTGTTTGGTCCCTCATCCACGAGAGGGAGAGCACGCTGTTCGCCTGGAGTTCCTCGTTCCGAATCTGCGAATCCGTTGGATGTTTCTTCACCAAGACATCCTTTTGGAGTTTTGCTGCATTGTTTTTGGAGAAACCTCCCAAAATTGAATAAAATTGATATATGAATTGATGATTTTACGATCTTTTGCGGGGTTTTGCTTGTGCGAAAAGGTTGGAGGTGATTGAAGGGCCCCAACATGTTTGCAAAGGGCCGGATGAATGATGATTGGGCTGCAAATAAGTTATTGGAAAGAGTCACAGGCCATGGGTGTCTACCTAGATGAGTGCATTGGAACTCATGAAGTTTTATTTGAACTAGGAAATGTCTGATTTGAAACGTCATAATTTTATAGCTCGGCCTATTTGATCTATGTCCCAAACTTTAAGTACGCCCCATGTCACCAGCTTTAAAGCCTTTTATTCCTGTTAAAATGTTCATGTTTTGCTTATCCCTTATGTTTGGCTTGCTTTAGCAGCTTGGGTTTCCGTTCACATTTTGCCCTGATGCCTCGGGTTGACCCTGTACCAGTGAGACATGCCTCGATGGATTTGCCGCAGGATGTCATTTGGAGAAACGCCTCTCTACATCTTCAAACGCAGGCATCTTCAAACGCATTGCAGGAGGAGGTCTGATGGAGGTCTGACAGTATCTACAGTGACCCTGGAGTGGATAGAACATGGGAAATTTCAAGAAAACAGCGCACTAATATGAGAAGTTGTGTTTCTCATGTTCATTTCTATTTGCTTCAGGATGATATCCTACATGAATGGGTGCTGCACCTTTCGAGACTGTGGCATCCGTGGCTCAAGATGTCGCAGGAAAGACACTGATCGAAATAATGATCTTGTGAGATATTGTGAGTGATTTTTTGTTTCTTCCAATGCTTCAAGTAAACATTGCGTTCCCGAGTGGTTCTGGGGGGAAATCGAAGATTCTGGCCCAAAAATCTCTACGACAAGGATTCCTGAAACTCATCACTGCGGAGGGGCACGTCCTGACCCTGAGATCTCTTTGCAAGCTGCAAATGTAAAAGAAGAAGAGCCCTTAACAGTTGTAGCACAACAAACGAAAGTAACACACACGGGCCAGACTGATGAGTCAGTGATTTCTTGGGGCAATCCAGACGATGGTGGTGACTGCTCCGTAGTTCAAGATCAGCTCAAAAACGTGCGGCAAATTCAGGCCACAGAATGTGCATTTGCAGCGATATTGGCTGATGGATCCGTGGTTGCTTGGGGCAATCCAGACCATGGTGGTGACTGCTCTGCAGTTCAAGATCAGCTCAGAAACGTGCGGCAAATTCAGGCCACATACACTGCATTTGCTGTGATCTTGGCCGATGGATCAGTGATTGCTTGGGGCAATGAAGTCTCTGGTGGTGACTGCTCCGAAGTTCAAGATCAGCTCAGCAATGTGCAGCAAAATTCAGGCAAACGGCTTCGCATTTGCGGCAATCTTAGCCGATGGATCAGTGGTTGCTTGGGGCAATCCTGACAATGGTGGTGACTGCTCCGCAGTTCAGGATCAGCTCCGGAATGTGTTGCAGATTCAGGCGACGGGCTACGCATTTGCTGCGATCTTAGCTGATGGGTCAGTGGTTGCTTGGGGCAATCCAGACCATGGTGGTGACTGCTCCCCGGTTCAAGATCAGCTCAAAAGCGTGCAGCAAATTCAGGCCACAGAAGGTGCATTTGCAGCGATCTTGCCTGATGGGTCACTGGTTGCTTGGGGTCAGTCAGAGAGCGGCAGTAACTGTTCCGCAGTTCAGGATCAGCTCGTGTATTTGTAGATCTTTGCTAAATTCGTGTCACATTTAGATCGGGGAGCAGATGACCGTGGAAAACCGTCCGCACTTCGCTTCGCAGGGGATGAGATTAGCTGACCATTTCTGTGCGGGAGTCTTCCCACTCAAGGGAATCAAACATTCATCCAAGAAATATTAAGCATCAAAAATTGATGCGGGTATGCAGACTGGAATGCGTTGATGATTTTGACACGGGCGTTGTTGGTCAAGTGTTCTTTGATTCGCATCCCAGAACGTTCGTATCAGTAAGTGTTTAAGCTTATCTTAACCTGCAAACATCCAACATTTATATAAGGCGGCACATCCAAGGGTAATTGGCTCGGAGCGCCCGTTCGGCTGGTTTCCCTTTGCCAGGACTTGGGGGTTTAGTGGATTCGTTTCCACTAAAAATTGGTGATGTTCAGGGTCATACACCGAGATAACTGTTATTTAACATAGCGGAACATATCCCATTGATAGCCGATAGTGACTATGTCTGATGAGATTTACCCATAAAAATTGGTGGATTTTCCACAGCTATGTTAAATTACCAGAGGACTTTTTTTCAAACAGGGTTTTTGATCCCAGGGAAGCAGCCTTCATGTCGTGGCAGGCCAGTTCTGCTGGACGAAATGGATTGAGAGCCAGCCGCCGAGACGCGATGCTGTGCTGCGAGCGGCCGGAAAATTTTCGGGTCTGTACATTCCCTTGAAAACTCAGATTCGGATCATGAGGTGTATCTGAGAATGGAAGATTGACCATCAACATGAAACATTGAGGGACAATGATGTAACCTGGAAGCATGGTGATGTTTTTTCGGATATCATACTGGGATGTAATGGGTGTACAATGGGGATATAGCATGATATAACATGATATAACCAACAATTACCCTCCGGTTATTTAACATAGCCATGGAAAATCACCATTTATAATAGGTAAACCATCTATAAATGGGCCATTTTCCATGGCTATGTTAAATAACCAAATGGTACATGATTTTGGGTGCATCTGAAAATAGGAGATTGACTCCCCAAAATGGCCCTGACTTTCCATAGAAAAGTGATGATCAACCACTGGATATGAAAGGTTTGGTTCCATAATTTTCAGGGAAACGATGGCAAACTCACATACCCTCTGGTAATTTAACGTAGCTATTGAAAATCACCATTTTTCATGGGAAAATCCACTATAAATGGCCATGTTCAATAGCTTTTTGTATGTTTACCAGAGGGTAATCTCACATGGATATGGCATGGGTAATGCATGGGTCAGTTCACACTGCTACCCTATGGTGAAGACACCAAAATAGCTGCTGGAATCCGGTGGACCTTTCAACGTTTCATTTTTCACGGGTTCCCTTTTATCCTCTGGTAAACTAACGTAGCTTTGGACAATCCCCATTTTTGAAAGGTAAATCAACATAAATCAACTATGAATGGTAATTTTCAATAGCTGTGTTAAATTACCAGAGGGTTGTGTTCAGGAGACTAAGCAACTTTGTTGTTCTTCTGTGAGTTTTTGTGACCAGTTGGAGATTTTACGCCAACAGCAACCATTGCACAGTAGCTTTGCAACCAGTTGTGCATTTTGTTATTTCTATTTGTTTGTTATAAGATTTATAAGGTGGTTTCCATAGTCATGGGGGTACCCCAATAGCTGGATGGTTTATGATAAAGAAACCCATTACAATGGATGATTTGAGGGTGCTCCCATCGAAACCTCCGCATTGGTCCCCAAGAACTCGAATGACCACGAAGGCCATCCCCGTTTCGAGATAAGAACCCATTTGTGTAGCGTTGATTCCAATGTTTTGAGGTATATCCAATATATGAAGGTTTCCTACAATGGGGGTACCCTTAGTCATCCATTTATAGATGGATGTTCCATGAAAATGAACTATACCCTCTGGTAAACTAACATAACTTTGGAAAATCACCATGTTTAATGGGAAAATCCACTATAAATTGCCATTTTCAATAGCTTTTTGTATGTTTACCAGAGGGTAAAAACCATCCATAACTTGGGGACCACCCATGACGAAACCATGCAGATCCGCAGGAACCGCACTGATGCTCCCGGGGACTCCCAGTCGGACAGAGGCACGTCGTGAATCTAAGAAATATCTATAGTCTATAGATATAAAGTGATATAAAATGATATAAATACTATAGTTTCTAGATGTTTATAGTATTCCTCAGAGATTTTAGGAATGGTTGGGAAAACTTTGAATCTCTCGTGAATAGAAAGTAAAGATTAAAGTGGTAGGTTTGGATCGAACATGGATCCAGTATATAAGCAAAACTTGGGGATCGGAGTATTCTGAGGTGCGAAAAGACCAGGATGTGATTTGCGCAAGTCAAGTTTCTGCAAAGAATGAAGATCTAAGTTGCAAATAAGGATTGAAATCAAAGACATTGGATTTGCATACAGAAAATCAGGATAGAAACTACAAAAACGAATCCATCGAGGGGTGAGTGTAGTTTCCACATGCCAGTGGTGCCTCACATTTCAAATTCTGGTGACCAAGCTGGATCCATTAGATGTTTAAGCTTTGGTACTTTCAAAAGGGTACTGATTATTGCAGTATATAGTGAGATATATATATATAGTGTGTATATATATATATATATATCATATATCTATCTACAGTCATCCTGAAGTAGATAGAAACTGGACATGTCTTTTGAACATCCCATATTCTACCTACTTGAGGACCTTGAGGATGATTAAAAAAAGATCCTTACCTGCATCCTTTCATCACGCCTGCTGGCTGGTCCCATCCCTCAGCTCTATAGTTTTTACTTGGCGCCTTTTTTGCGATTGGTTTGAACCCGTGGTGTGTACTCATGTACTCGTTTGTACTTATGTACTCATTTTTGATCAGCTTTCCTGCTTGAAAACCATCCCAGTCCATGCTGACTGGGGGAGTGGAATCGCTATTTAAATCCCGTTTTGGACTTTTCCAAATCCATCGAATGCTTCCACATGAGAACTCAGGGAAGTCCGCTTGAAGTCTGAGTTTCTACAAGTAGATACTGAGATGACGCCTGAAAGTTCTTTGGAACTCGTTGATCAGCTTGTTTTTTGCGACCACCATCGACCAAAGGCGTTTCCTTTGATAATGGAAATCCACATGCGGTGTGTGGAAGATCCTTACCTCGGATGATCATCTTGGAAGGTTGGAATGTATGAATACATGCTTTGAATATATCTTTATGTGTCTAACTCACTAATGTACTACTGATTAGTAGATTGGTTAAGTTGTCTTATTTGTATCATTGTATCTCAGGTACAAATTGATTGATCTCCCAGCCAGGTCGAACAAGTGCGACCGCTGGTGGCAGAGGATTTTTCGGGAGATGCTTGAGGTATGCTAAAAACCTTTCGGGTTGGATGTTGCAAGGGGTACCAAGGGGTAGCAATGCTAAGATTAGTAGGGACAATCAGGATGCCTTCGAAGAATCGGGAGGAAAAACAAAGCTTTCTGGGCGCGGCGCGGCTTTTATCAAGTGGCTTTGCTCGGATTTGACAAAGCATGGTTGAAATAGTATGCGCAATGACGTTTATTCAACCTGTGCCCGTCAGACTCACTAGACTCGACGAATGTTAAGCCTGCAGGATCACCAGACAACCAACTTTATTGAAAGGGATAAAAAGGGAACCTTCTTTTTTGGCATGTACTTTACCACTATTGGGGTAAGCCCTGGATTTTTTTCAGAATCAGGCTTTACGAATCCCGGTTGGACAGACACCGCCCACCGTTGCGAGGAGTCCAAAGATGAAACTTGGGATTGCGATATCACCACCAGTTCCTCTCTGTTCTTCCAGGTGGGGATGCGCCTTTAGAGGTGTATAATTGGTCCATACCGCTTGCAACATAATGATGCGTAATGATGCGTAATGATGCGTAACATGTCAACAGATGGTCAACATAAGATACACAGATCATCAGACTTAGATTCTGATACTCAGATACATATTCTGGTTGGTGGTTTGGAACATTTTTTATTTTCCATTTCATATGGGATGTCATCCTTCCCATTGACGAACTCATATTTTTCAAGATGGTTGAAACCACCAACCAGTATCAATATTCGGTTCCGGTCCATGAAACCACCAACTGCAGATGACGATGTCCGTAACTTTGGGCATCTTCATCTATGAGGGCACAGCTTACAATTTGTTCCTTGGCCATTCAAGCTGGGAGTGGGGGCAAACATGGCCCCAATTTTTCTGGATAGTTTGCGAAAATGATAATGATCCAAGACAAAGATTGTAGGATAGTGTAGGCTTTTCCGTTGGACTTTGACCAAGGGCAAAGCATGGCAAAGCCATTTTTCGGGCAGAGCCATTGTTGGCTAAACCCATATTATTCAGTGACAGGTGCATATGAGTGGGATGATTTGCAGCCACATATGGACTCTCGCATACTTTAGTGGGCTCTAATGTCAGTTTGGCTATGGTTCCGCGCAGCCAAGGATGTTTCTCTCACGTGTGCTGCCTGCTGTTGGCAAGGCAAGAGCGTGCTCCATGGAATGAAGGGTCTGGCAGACGCAATGAGGATAACTTCATGAAAAATAGATAAACAATATATAGAGCTGATGGGTGTTTCATCTTGACTTTAAATAATCGCATTTCACGCAAATCGACTCCAACGGGCCACCCGGAGTTATCAGGAGTTCATTTTGCATGTCCTCCTCATGTCCCTTCGCCATGGCAGTGATCCAAGTACTGCAACTACCCCCAGCCAGACCAGTCAGCCAGGCAGATTACATTCCTTTCTTCTTCCTTCTCTTCAACACCATTTGGGCCTGCACCTCAATTCACGGCCTACCCTGTGAATCTTTTAGAGTGTGGAGGATCCCAGTCTGAGGCAAGTTACTTAGAGGTCGAGTGTATTGAAATGGTTCAGCATGGACAACCTACCAGAGTGACCATTCCACTTAGTTGATGGTAAGAAACTTTCTTGGAAACATGATGATAAGCGATTCATAGGTGGGATAATTTGGCGGATCTTCCTTCTTGGATGCGCATGTGCGGTTTATCTAAGTGTTCGAAACCCTTGTTCATTGGTAAGTTTTCGACAAGTATGCTTGGCTTATATAGTACCCCCAAAGTAATATTTTGAGGGGTAACTGGTACATGTATAGAATTGAATATTATACTATACATAAATATGATTAGAATCTATTTTAGATTTGCTTTATATATTATGATCACATATATAGATAGTCTTATTCTATATAGTATATTCATATATTATCACAATATATAATATACACCTTGAAATTCAAAATATGTTGGTCGTTTGTGTCGGTAGTAGTTTATTTGGTCGGATCTTCTGAAACGAGGCGTTTCACACAAAACATATACAAACTTGATGAAAACTAGACGATATGCAAAAAAAGAACTAGGCGGGGATAGGCGGGGCGCTTAGCCTTTCATTGGATCTAGCTTAAGTGCAGGTCACTCCAGCTTGTTTAGGTGAGTGCGAATTCTGACTCCAGCCAGCCACCGTACTTTTTTACCTGGATGCTTCGCAAAAACTACTACAAAACAAGCTACTATGTGCAAAAATAAAGCAAAAACCATGTTTTCTGGATTTGCGGGCGTTTGCGGGTTTTTGCGGGCGTTTTGCGGATTTTTGCTGGACAGAAAAAGTACAGGCGGGGTTGCAGAGTCACACCCGCATACCCAACTCCAATGCACTACTCTAGAAGCAACCTCCAAAAATGCTAATTACATTCGCTGGGAGGGGGAGGGAATATGTTGAAACGCTCAAAATTATCAAGTTTCCATGATTTTGGGCGTTTCAGTTTTTGATGAGGATCCCAATAAAACTAGGTGACTTCGATCATAATTGGTAAACAATCGAAAGGGTCAAGCTATTTTAGGCATTTGAAGATCCAGGCGTATGTATATATATATATTATTATTATTATGATTATTATTATTATGATTATTATTATTATCATTAGCATTATTATTATCATTTATCATTATTGTTTTTATTATCATCAGTATTATTACTATTATTATAAGTATCTTACCAGTGTACCCAAAGAGTTTCACCAAGGCAATGGCTCTGATCGCCTACGTTCGAGCTTATGCCACCCAGCCTGGCAAGGTGCTGCCGTTGGTCAGCGAAGGGATGTAGATGGGGGTTCAACCATAAAAACAATGATTTAACATGATTTGGGATTAAATGATTAAACAAATAAGTGGATTTAAGTGATATTGGCTTGGGATGATTTAAGTGATGTACCCATTAAAAAAGCACGAGTTAATCTGATTTCATCGATAAAGATCAGGGATGTACTGTACTCCTCAAATGTTGGGATTTAAGTATCAAGTTTGGGGTTTAACCAAGGATCATCATTTTGATCCACAAATCATAAACAATAGCCAGCAACAACAAGAGGGTTTTAACATGATTTACTGTAACAACATTTAACACAAGTTAGCAAATCCACAATTGGGCTTTGAGAAAAGAATGGTGACTTACAGTAACCAGGACGTTCACCAGCAAGAACAGCGCATCAACCAAGAAGAATATATGTTTCTGTTGACATATGTAAAGATACGGGCTTCAACATTCAGAACTGCTACTTTGGAGCTGCACATTTCGATGAACACTGGGGGTTTTCCATGCCATGCAACTCATTGGATGATGTTTTCCATATCGCTGCTTTGAAGGCACGGCCACGACATATGGAGATGGGGGACTTGTGCAAGTTAGAATAGTTGGTCAGTTGTTTGAAGCCCCGATCCTACATTGATATTATGGGTATATTATGGGTATTCATGGGTTGTAGTACTCATAAGCCAGTTTCATCCAGTTTCTAGCTAGGTGGTTGCGCCAGGGAACATTTATGTATGCAAGTGCCAAGTACGTTTGTCAATGAAGCCCAAGAAGCTTTCACAAATAAACACTGGGGATGTGGCCAAAGTACACTACATGGGGTTTGAAATTGACGAAAATATGGGCATGCCATATACAACCAAAAACCAAGAGTACTGAACTGAAAATAAACAATCACTAGGGATAGAAATTTCGGTATGGCCCACAATTGTTAACCTCCATTTCAAGATGCTTATACATGAAATGGCAAAAAAGTGTGGGTCCGCTGGTGTGTCAGCTTTGACCCAAACCCGTTCAACACACCAAGAACCAGCAAATTTGCAGCAGAATTCAGGACGCAGTCACTGAAGCTGGGGTTTCGATGGATGAATGTTTGATATGGAAACCAGTCCACCAATTGGAACGTTTGCCGATGTAAACTGAGGCATTAGTCAAGGAAAATCAGAGAAACAATCAACATCTTAAATTGTGAGTGACCTGGGGCTACAGCCGCTGATCATCGGACTTTGCCGCAAAAGAAATAGGGATATTTTTGTCAGAAAAGGCGAATGTCTTCCAAAGTTGTTTGATACCCCTGTTCTTATCCCATATCTGTGTACATCTATCTACCAGTTGCTAGTCGATTGTGTTGCTATAGAAAAGACATGAGGTCTTGAGTGAGCATCCTCTGCCCCTGACGACAAGTCCATGATTGCATCTATCACCAGCCTGATAATGCGTTTTTTAAAGACCCATAGATGAAATGGAACGGCTGGACCATGGGTGGGAGCCACTATTCCAACATTCGATGTTCAAACTGGCTTGTCTAAAACTACGGTAGCCCCAAATAATTGGCTTATCACAAGCACCATGTTCCCCAATGCGGTAAACCCGATGATAAACCATCCCTAAAATCATCCAACACCATTTTTATTGGTGATATAGACTTTATAAACCATCCCCCGTGCCGTGGTGGTAGCTTTATAGCGGCCAGTATGCCAGGTACCTCTTAGCTGGCACGAATTTGTGAAAGATGTTGGCCCGGCTGGAAAACCCAGACCCGAGAGGATTTTGTTTGGCTGACCTCAATGGTCAAGGAACTGGTTGAACATGGCCATATGGGCCATATGCAATGGGAATCATATGCAAAAAAAACTATAGTAACTAAAATAACCAGAGGGTAACCAGGTAATATCAATAATGTTAACCAGAGGGTAACTAAAATACTATTTTCCTGCATCTTGGCTGGTTCTATTTCAAGTTCAGGGGAGCAACAAAGGCAGCAGTTGGAGACCATGAAGCTGCTGGGGACTCACTTCCATGGGCAATGTTTGAAGCAGTGATGACTCACTATTGGATGTGGTAAAGCCAAGAACAAACCATCCAAGTAACCAACCATAAAAGGTGGCAAAGGTGGTCCTGTTACATCCCAGTTTTAGGTATGCGCAATAATGAACCGAAACTGGTGACGGTTTAGTATTCCCATGTGCTCCACGTTTTGTAGATTTACTTCCATTTGGGTCATTTTCAAGAATATCGTCATAAATACCATGAAGCATGTGGGTTGTAGTTTACCTCATTGCCACATTACCTGGGTCAACCTTTGTTTGACACTTTAGTGCTTTATTGTTTTTCTATCAATGGTAAAATGTACATTCAGCAGCTAAAAAAATAGATTTTCTGACAGGTATCTAAGATTCACCATGTTACAGGTGATATTGTGTCAAGCCCTGGCAGCATGATTTCTGAGAGGCCTTGCCAGTGGTTCCTTCTACCGCACGATGGGCTCCGGGAAAGGCGGGGTAGATGCCAAATCCTCCAGGGTGTGGCTGTGCCACGGTCAAAACTTGGGTAGCCACTGGGCCTAAACCTCCACGCGCTGTGGTAGGGGATTGACAATCTTCTGATTGGGCCATGTCGTTTGCAGACCGTCCCTTGAAACCTTTCGAAAGCTAACACCTGTACCATCTGTATGTCCCTGTCACTATGGTGCTACTTCTGTGGTTGGCCAGTCGACTGTCTTGTCGATGGGTCGTGATGATGTTCTTCTGCAAGGAAGGGTTCTGAGGAGCCATAGCTTGATGAGAGCTCGCTTCACGGACTTGGACATCATGCCGGCAGAAAAAGCCCATGACTTCACGGCTGACTACATGGTTCGTGTGCCTGATGACCCAGTGGAAGTATGCTGTGTCAAAGCGCCATACGACTATGTTCTTGCAAGCGTTTGTTTTTCCTTGCTGCTTGGATGTTTCTTTTGGAGGCAGTGGAGTGTTGCCGGATCCGGAGTGCAGGCTTGTCACTTCGTTTGTCTTGATTTGTTTGCTTGAGCTTTTCAGTGGCGGCCATTCTGCCTGGACGCATGTCGCCAGAGCTCTGTCGAAACTTGATATGACGGTTGTGACTGCACTTGCGCTTGATTGGTCGGACGTTTGTGTGATGACAAACCATCATAAGTTTGGAGCTGAAGTTGTGTCGGAGGACCTGAAGCTTGAGTGGGAACAATGGCCGGAGAAGCTAGTTGTTCAGGCCGAATCTCATGACTTCGCCTCTGTTCTCATCCTGTTGATGGCTTGCTTCGGGCCAGTCATATCTTTGACACTTGCAGTGGGCTCAGTTCATCCAGATCATCCGGCATGGGATGCATGCGTTTCGCTTTGCTGACGAAAGTTATTTCAACACTGCGTGCCTGGCGAACTTGATCCAGCGCACGGCTATGTGCCTGCAATCTTGATGTTTTTCAGGCACGATGAAGGCTTTGTAGCCATTTTGCTTTTAGATCGCTGCAATTGTCGATGGCCCACATTATTCGCTTAATGTCTCTTAATTTCACCGTGTAATTTTCCAGATACGCCACGTTGTCAGTCACCTACACTGACACTATGTCGACACCGGTTTTGTTTGTACTGCCTATAGTCAAGGGGCCACGGTACTTTGTGGTGTTGTGGCTTGCTTGGGACTGAAATAGCTGTCGCCTTGTCAGCACGGATGCCTGTGTTTGGCATTCAGCTCTGCTTCATCCAGTCTATGCACATTGTACCCGTAGGGACTTTGTGCTGCGCATGCCGCATCGAATTCCGTCAAAACTTGGGTAGATATTTTCTAGACTTGTCATCCCCGCATCAGCCACTAGTCAAAACTAGGGTATATCCCTATAGTCACATTTTTCAAAACTGTTATGATTTATCACAACTCCCTCGTGATGGATGACCAGAAAACTACATTACATTTTTTCTCCACCGTCAACCTATGACCAAAAACCATAAACCATCGCCATAGTCGAGGTATATGTTATGGCCATGGCACATATTATGCAGTTACCTCTACATTTGTTTTATTCGTTTCTTGTCATTTTTGAGGCAAGTGTTGCAACAGATACTATGTGATGCACATGCAGCATATGAGAAAGTAGAAAAAAACATCCGTCTTTTGAATTTAGCCAAGCAGGTATCCGTTCGTACTGGATGTGGCGCATTCACTGTAAAACGGTAAAAATGAAAAACAAAGCTAACCCGCAGTGTGTATAAATAGATATATATATATATATGTTAACAACATTTTATTGATATTTTGTTGGCATGGGATTTTTTGCGCGCAAGTCATTTGTTTTGGTGTGTGTTTCTGGGGAGAACGGCAAAACGATAATAAATCGATAACAAAAAACGATAACAAAATCAACCCGAAAACCCTTCTTTGAACACCAAGGCCCATTGACAAACCATGGAGGTTGACCCCAAAAATGAAGCCCCAAAGACATTGTAGCAAAACAGTGATCAAACATGGTTTCTTGATTGTTGCGGGGTGTGCGTGAATCTCTCAAGGTTTGCTTGAATGCTGAAACTTTGGAAACGATATGGAAGGAAAAAAATGCGATAAGTTCAAAGCGGGAGTACGGTAGTAACGAATTTATACGGGGGTTCTTTACCACCTTACATGGTTTTGTTCTAGTTTCCCAAAGTGCGGTCACCCGGAGAATGACCGTAGAATGGAACCTCAATAGTTTTTTTTGCACAAGTACATGGCACTGTTTGTTTTCAATGATTTTCATCCAGATGTTGAGTTGCGTCAAATTCCCAAATTCAAGCCATTCTTGCCCAGTTGCAGCAGATTCAGTAGATCAGTTTTACGGTATATTATGGTTATTTCCAGTTTGCCTTGTCGTATCTCCAGCCAGGGCAGATCGGCATGCCGTGGTGTTGTTTCCAACGCCTCCAGGCGACATACTGCCGAAAGTGCAGCATCCCTCGGCCAGAGCGAGTGGCGCGGTACAGTATGCGGCACTGGACGTGGGTGGAATCTCTGGATGCTGCAACCAATACAGTAAAATGGATGCAATGGTTATCTGCTTGGTGGTTTCAAGCATGGCTTTCATAAATTTCATAATATATGGGATAATCCATGATAATCCTTCCCATTGCCAAAACTCATATTTTTCAAAGGGGTTGAAACCAAATGGAGGATGCCACGTTAAATGGCAATGGATAAATTGTAATGACCTCGCGACGCGCTGTCACTGGAATGATGGAAACTGTGGAAACTGCAACAAGGGATAACTATCCCCAAAATAGCCGAACTATTCAGGTGAATCAAATATCATGATTCTCTCAGACTGATGTTAGTAAGGCAATAGTAAACCATATCCAATTTTACCATAAATGGGTTGTATAAACAATCAAAATGTATGGGTGGTTTGCTTTTGTTTTACCAATATTATGGTTAGTAGACATTGGTGCCCTGGTGAACACCGAAATAGTTGTTCTGCGGAGGTCCATCTTAAACAGACTGGAGTTTGTCAATGGAAAACTACATCCAGATAGGCTATATACGTGTTGACTACTCAAAGGATGGGAAGTCATAAGAAAGACCAACCATGATATTGTTTGAATTACTGTTTACAATTCCAAATTTTAACCTATTATATAGATTTGCAGTGTATGTGTCTTTGGGTATTTCTATCATATAGGTTATTCGGTCGCATTGGTAATTTCATTGCGAAATGGATTGGAGACAAACAGCAGGCAAGAAACATCAAGAGGCAGAACAGAGAGCACCCAGCAAAAAAAGACAGTTGGCCAGAAAGCCACACACAGTTTAGTAAACAAGGATACGTTTCAGCTTGTGACCTATTTGAAAACGACTTTATAGAATCTATGTATATCTATACAACCCAAAAAAATCAGACTTTTCAATTGCATGGTTTCGTTCTCATCGTTTGAATGACATGGCACGTACTAGATTAGGGTTTGCCTACCCTGTCATAGTGGTGAGATTTATCGGTTTATCCCAAGAGTTGCACAGTGTGATGAATCAGGATCTGGGGCCCTTCTGAGGCTCATCATTGCAATGTGAGTGGCTTTTGCGTGCTGCGTCCAGGGTACTCAGATTTGGGAGGTTGGCAGGGTGATATGCGAAGTCGCTGGGCGTGCTTTGATAACATAGGTGATGGCCGTTGTCACCCTGCATATATTGCCATCCACGAAGTGGATGGTATTTCTACGGCCCAAACAACACCCGACTTGACGTACTTTTTGTCCAATGTAAGTACCTTCCAAATTCAAGCAAACTTGGGTAAATCATGATACATCCATGTAAATCCATAATATAAGTACATACAAACCCATGTATAATTCTTATAAATCCATATAAATCCCCAAGTCCCCCAGAATTGACAACGACTCAAACATTTCGGAACACCGTCGTCATCATCGCTCTTCTGTTACTTGAGGCATGGACCACTACTGCCCTTGGATCAACAACTGCGCTGGGACCCCTTGGAAAACGAAATGCAGGGCATATCAACATCTGGTACCTGATGCTGGTGGATCAAAATGTATAGATATATTATTGATATATTAATATCCTTTATATGATATTAAATTATTATATTTATCATGGATTCATGGATATACATATTCAACATATCAATGACCCTAGAGCCAACAGGTGCTTTTAGTTGCAGATGTTGTTTCACGGTTCCCATACGTTGGAGTTGATGAACACATGAACGGTTCGACATCAGACATATGATGGTCTTCATTATGACTGCATTGATGACAACCATATTTGGGGATGGGGCTCGCAAATGAGTTCTGCAAGATTTGCCACAGATCCCTTAAGGGGTTGGAGCATCGCAGTCTCAAACCTAGAGCCGCTGCCTGTTTTTCGGTGCTTCCAATTGTGTGTTTTGTTTTTCCCACCGGGAAAAGAGAAGATTTACAAACAGCATATTAACAGCATATCCTAACAGTAACCAAGACAGGATGTGCAAATCTATGAATCCATGGCGTTTGACATCTCCAAGGTGGGCCTGGGGAACTACAAATTCTTCCTTCAGCTGGTGATGTATGGCAGCATTTGCGCCGTCCCTTGGTGTTTCGAGACGCAGTCTCTGTGTAGCTTCGTCCTGCCTCAAATTGAGACCATTTAGTGAGGAAAATGATCAAACATTGGGTTTTTACTGGTGTTCTGAATTTTGAGACTAGCCTATATTCCTATATTTCCTTTCTGGGCAACCATGGTGATATCCGCACTTTCGACAGGTACTCGCGCATAAATCCAAGAGTGGAAAAGGGGAACTGCTGGTAACAATGTTGGAAAGCAGAGTACACCAAAAGCAGGTCATGGGTAGTTGTGGAGGAGTCACGTGAAGTTGTCTCACCTAGAATTCCAGAAGTCTCATGTAAAAAAAATGTTGAGAAGTATTCCATCATCCCATTGTGGGTCATTTTGTTGTTTGAAACATGAACCAATACCCATAGGATCCATGTATGGTATATATGCTAACATTTGGGGTATATTGATGGTAAATGTTACCATATATAGCATACATGGATCCTATGGGATATGAATCAATGCCAATCGCTTCAACATCTCACGTCCCTCACCGGCCTCAAAGGGACCGGTCCGAAAAATCCCGACCAAAGTCGGCACGGCAGCGCCGGCGGCAGTTCATCGGCATTCTCACGTCCCTCCCAGAGTTCTTCCTGGTGTTGGGAAAGATTTTTGGCCTCGATAGCGACATGTGGCAGGCGCGCGCTGGTACTGTTGGTACTGTTGGTACATCTGGGTACCCTCCGGCAAGCCATCAAGCTGATTTTCCGCCGGCAGAAAATGGTTTTGAAGATTCCCCAAATTGGGGGAATAGGGGATGTTTTTTATGTTTAGCACATGAACTCACATTAAATTCACTGCGGTAGCATAAAGTCTATACAGTTACAGTTTTTTTTTAATTCATGACTGGTTGATTTAATTATGGTTACGAACCATAAAGGAACATGAGATGTAGAGACCCAAATTGACTATTTCAATGTGTTCAAGTAACATACTGTGGATGGAAGAAGTCCTGCATCAGTTGGTAGATCGTTTATCCAATTATAATCACATTTTTTGCAGTGTTTCATAGTGACCAATAGTTGCCAACTGGTGCAGCATTTTCTCCATCCACAATATCTTCAGGAGACCATGGTTTTTACCCCCAAATTGATTGAGGTTTCCTGCACATGTTTCCTTCAAGCAATTTTGCACCTATCAGTCCTCTCAGTTCGGGTGTCCATAAAATCAATAGGATCTCCGAACCCAGCAGCAACAGTTCCATGGCAGTTTACATCTCTTGGATCATCCCTAGTCCATGGATTCACGTCTGAATGATGATCCACCACATGGGAATCCCATTCCCAGAATATCCCCCAGAATGAAGTGGTTGCCATCAAGAATCACCTTCCCAGCCGCGAGGCCAATCTGCAAATCACCGACATGATCGCTTTTGTGATGTTTGAAGGCTGGGACATGGATGGCCATCAGGATGACGGCAGGCTTTGTCAAAAGTCAATGCTTTCCCATATGCAAACAGTCATGTGTGTCCAATAGAAACATGAAAACATGAAAACATGGATAGCAATCGGTAATAGACGAAGGTTTTAATCGGAAGATCCTCGAAGCATATGCTGTATTATCCAGCAAACCATGTTTGATTACCCGAGGCTATCTCCCATTCTCCAATGTACCCCATGAATCCAGACATCCATATATATATATATTATATACATATTCCCATTATATCCTTAGTGAAATCAGCATTGTGTGACTTCTTAGTCACCATTAAATCACCATGTTTCTCCCCAATTTCCCCAGTGAAATCACCGAAAAATGGTGGCTTCACCAGGCCTGGCGATCTTCCTCTCGGCCCTGCTGGTTCCAATGCTGTTCCTTGGGAAGCTGTTTGAAGGTGAAGGACAAGGATGGACCAGGTAAGTCATGCGGAGAAGATGAAGATTGTTCTTCCAAATCCTTGGCTGATTTTGGCTGAAGTGGGCTGATTTTGGTTGGTTTGGTGATCTTCAAAGTTTTTTTGGTCTTGTGATTTTTGCTGACTTTGACTTAGAGTCCAGTTGTGAAAGGATGATAATGGAATCCAAGATGGGAACTCAAAGGCACAAGAAGTAGGCCCAAGTAGGTGCTATGCGTAAAGCTATGATGCGTATGTTCATGGTTGCTCTTTGGGTGACTGATTCATCAACAGTCGAAGGTGAAACCCCTTAGAAAGAGCACCGCTTTATTGGATGTGGATGGATCGGTCTAGTTTAGAGGGAAAAAATCAGGTGTTTTTGCTCTCTGCTCCAGCTAGTCGCAGCACTTTGAAACCTTGAGCCAGTAAAGACTTCTACAGTCTCATACGACTGTGAAAATCTTGCAGCCTCTGGCTGACGGAAGTTAAAATGTTTTGGAAAAATGCTGCGGTACTTTTTGTGGCCTTGGCCGAGTAGCAAAGCAAGCATTGCTAATAAACAAGATACATGCCATGAAGCCACATGAAAATCCCAATGAACATCTAAATGAAAACCCATTTTGGCAATGAAAAAACACAAAAAATATGCTGAAAAAAAAGCAAATGTTTTAAATGAAAATGAAAACATAATAATTAAAGCCTTGATTTCCAGTTCAATAGGCTCCCCAAGAAAGATGTAATCATACGGAGCATGGGTGACTTTTGCGAAAGTCGAAGTGGATCCTTTTCCGACTCTCAGGTTCACCCATATTCCCCTGGCCTGTAACAACACGACGGCCATCGAGGTGGGAACCAGATCACTGGAAGGATCTTGAAGGATAGGTTTGTTCAATTGGGGTCAGATATCACCAGATTTGGTTTCGAGGACTTTTCATGAGTTCGAGTCTAAAGTGCCCGCCTTATCTTCCTGAACTAAACATGTTGAGAGCCACTAGCCACGGTGGAAGGCATGGGTTTCTCAGGCTCCAACACTCCTGGCATCTTTGGGAACTGGTTGTCCCTTCGACGCCAGGCCAACTACACGAACATCGAAAATCCATATCATTTGGGCGACTCGTTTGCAGATGCGCTGCGAACTTTGGTGATCAAAGATGATATGGTCCGAAAAGGTGATCTTCGCTAAGAAGTGTGTCTCTACAGTGTTTGAAAACTGTTGAAACGTATGGGTCCATTCCCATGTTCACCTCTAGTTAGGTCACGTTCCCATGGGGTCCCCATTTCTCCTTGGTCCTCCAAGCTGCGCAGGAAGCAGACTGGCGAATCTGGAGCAGGTCTTTGGAACCTTTGGGCCACTGGGATCGCGGCAGCCAGGGCGACCCCGGAAATCCCTAGGGAAATCAAGTGTGAATAATAGTGATTGTCCGGTTGTAAATGGTTAATAATGGTTAATACCGGTTGATGATGGTTGATCATGCATATACTAATTGTTAATTATTAATAATGGTTTATACTTTATACTAGCTAACAACGGCGGCATGAATGGCTTCCATAGCTATGTCAAATTATTAACTTGACCATACGTGACTATGTGGCTGATGTCGGGTGTAAACAAACGTAGGTTCAAGATGGGTAGAGCCACCAACCCCCAAAGAGATAGGAATCCAATTTACCAGTGCGCTGAAACGGACTTAACTTCTCTATCATTGGGGGATGCTGTTAAAGCAAATATCATATAAAACCATCATATATTCATATGGAATGGTGTGGGAATGTAAAGTGTGGCGCGAAGGTCAAGAAGCATCCCATGAGTTTCTCACACTTTCGCTTGGTGTTTGCCAGCCTTGCTTGTTTTGGGAGTGACCTCACTGCTCTTCAACATCATTTGAGGTTCCTGAAATCCAATATGAATGTGCTCGATATCTTGTATTTACCCCCTGGTTATGACTAACATAGCCATGGTATAGATGGCCCACTGAAATAGATGGTTTACCTATGAAAAATGGTGATTTTCCATGGCTATGTTAAATAACCAGAGGGTAAATGTATTTAAATGTCGTAGAAAGATTTGATCATCGCTATACTGGACAACACCCACTTGATTTGTCATGCACAAAATACCACAAGTCCTCAAGTCGAAGACGGGTTCTAATCCTTGATCCAAAATCACGAAAATGCAAAGTTAAATGTTAAACCCCAATAATAATATATATATATAATATATATATATATACAATACTGTATACTATCATAATTTCAAGCAACCAGCCTCAAACCCTTACTGTTGCTAAACGTAAGGAATGGTTTAATGGTCCATAATTAGTCCATTCCGTAACTATGTTCACAATCATCCTACTACCCAATTGCTTACCTTTCGCACCAGTAAGAAACTTGCCTTATTTCCAATGACCTTAAATTAGGTACAATCAAACGTGGCTAGCTTGAAATCCCCGAGCTAAATGGGGGTTTCAATTTCTAGCTGGGAAAAAACAGCTGTAAATAGGGGAATTTTTCAGCAAGCCATGTTTGACTCTGCAGAGGGTATATACACAACTTGTGCTTTTAGTCGGATTTTCCAATGACATCCAACAATTGGGTTACCCCCATGACTATTCGGACATCTCCAAAATACTTCACATCATTTCACATCCCATCATCCAGACATTTTGCCATCCATATCCCATGTCGGATCCCATCAGTCGGAATCAGCGAGCTCGCGAGCCCCCGAGGCCCGACTGGTTTTTTCCCGTGAAGCCCTTTGAGCCGAAGGGCGATGGGGTCTCCTTTCCCCGCTGGGACGAACCCTTAGGCGGAGTTGGGTGTAGCGTGGATAGGTTGAATGAATGGTTTCGTGATGCTTTATTGATGGTTTGATGATGGTTCAAATATCATTGAAGGTGCATGTTTTTTTTGGTTTACTGATGTTTCACGATGGTTTAAGGATTGCTTCATTATTGTTTCATGTGGTTTAATATGGATAAAGAGAGCCAAAGACTTTACTTCAGGTGGGTGAACTGTTCTTAATCATCCAGATTATTGATTAGATGTTTGGCCAATTCATGTTCCAATAGAAATAGCATGTATTGTACTTGCTTACAAATCCCCATCATATCCCAAAAGTGCTTGGTTATGCCCCGTGTTGTATCCATATGATATTCCCACAGATATGCTGATACCCCAGTCATATCACCCATATCTCTATTGTTTGTTGGCTATATTTCAATTATACCACCGCATTATTACGAGTTATTTCCCCAACATATCCCATTGTACTTCGCCCCATGTGGGCTTGTCGATAGGGTACCTATGGGGTACCTCTAATCCTATTATTTACCCTCTGGTTATTTAACATAGCCATGGAATAGATGGCCCATTTCTAGATGATTTTCCCAGCTAGAAACCTCCATTTATTTTGGGGATTTTCCATGGCTATGTTAGTCATAACCAGATGGTAAGATATTCTGAAAAAAATTGATGACCTATGTAGGGGAATATCCCTAGAACATATGACCTTATATGGTACAGTACCTCCATTTTAGGATCCTGGAATTCCCATTGATATTATTTATATCTATGTGAGGGGTGCATGAACACATCCACAAGCCAGCGCAGGCTTCGATGATCGTCCCATCGATGAGGAGATGCTACAGGCAACGGCAGGGACCGGCCGGGACCAAGGGCCCAAGGGACCAATGCACTGGATATGAATGGGGCGGGAAATTGATAGTTAATCAATGGCTGGTTTGGGGGTTCAAATATTTATAGACTGTTTTTGTGAACCATACTTGGAATGATTCGTCGAGATGACTGCAAATTTTGGGATGGGTTACGGTAAAACCACCAACCAGATGAGAATATCACCGAAAAAAATGGGGGGAATTTTGTGATAGTATGGATGTCATAGAGAAGGTCTCTGACCAGCAAACAAGTAGATGTCACCGGAATAACTGGGAGAGATATCTCCAGGATGGTTTCAGATTTCCCGCCAGCAATGGAGGTGTACTTAGCGGTCTCATTGAAATCCAAGCATCAAATACTGGGGATTCAGAGCAAATAGATAGAATTACCTGAATTGCAGTGATTCTTTTGCGACGCACATTGATATATATTGACATGGGGGTCAGCACCATTAGAACACTTGCCGCATTCATCCCCATGTGTTTTGGAGGTAACCCACCAGAAGCCTAGATGGGACTGTCGTCGCAGCGTCGATGAAGTGTGGAAAAATGCCCTTGTAACAACTCCAGGAAGTTCTCCAAGTGACGAGTTGTACCTCATCTCTTTTCCATTGATGTCAGAGAAACATTGATAAACTATATAATAGTGGATCTAATAGGATCTAATAGGATCTAATAGGATAGTTTGAGTTCCAAGCTTGTGTGGTGTATTTACCACCATACTCTGCCTCAGGGGGAGCAACTTTGGCGAGTGAGGTATCAGGCAGGGCCTAGTTGATGTGGGCAGATGTCGTCCTAATCAAAGCTGACGCGCTGGCCATGCGCAAAACATGGCTGGTTGATTACGGAAGGATTGCTGGAACTTGCCAATGATCATAGTGAATAGTGAGGAGCATATACAACGATGTCAATGGTGATGTGATGCAACAAAAAATCATCAAACATAATAGTAGTCAGCGTGGTCTCTGTCATTGCTAGCGTCATAGTGATTATTGTTATCATCACTTTCACACTGTTCCTAATGTTCATCACGTGTTTATCACGATTTAATCATGTTCATTACGTTTTCATCACGTTTCACCACGTGTTAATCATGTTCATCACGCGTTCATCATGCTCATCAGATGTTCATCACATGTTCGTCACATGTTCATCACATGTTCATCACATGTTCATGATGTTCATCGTGTTCATCACATGTTCATCACATGTTCATCACATGTTCGTCACATGTTCATGACATGTTCATCACATGTTCATAATGTTCATTACATTTGCATTATGTGTGCATCACATTTGCATCACGTTTGCATCACGTTTGCATCACATGTGCATCATGGTTGCATCATGGTTGCATCATGTTTGCATCGTGTTTGCATCATGTTTGCATCATGTTCATCCAATGTTCAGCATGTTCATCATGTTCATCATGTTCATAATGTTCATCATGTTCATCCTGTTCATCATCGTCGTCATCGTCATCGTCATCGTCATCGTTATCATCAGCAGCAGTAGCAGCAACAGCAGCAGCAGCAACAGCAGCAACAACAACAACAACACCGCCACGGAAGAAGAAGGACTCAATTGATATTAAAAAAGAGGGAAGCGCAACAGTGACCTCATCGTGATGCGAACTGGAATGTGGGATACTGTGAGATGTGTTTTGAAACAGTTGAAAGACAGCAGGATAGACCAAACAAATCCGGATAGGCACCAGCAGTCCTCCATCGAGATTCCAAACCTATGGTCTGCCTGTATGGAGGTATGGTCCCCTGAGCGTTATTAAACAGCAGGATCATCACACTGAACCTTTTCTTTTCAAACACACCCAGTCCCCACACTGAATCAGGTGCGCAATGCTCGTCCCAACCCTCAAGAGCAAGAATTTGATCCCCTGCGAACGCCCCTCGGACCGCACCATGGGATACCATGGGCCCGAAGATTCCGGTCGAAAATGGCAGGTTTGAAATTCGGAGGTAAGCCATTGAAATCAAGGGAATCCTCAAACATAGAACCAAAATGAAGAGATTAGCTGGGTAGACCTTGATTTGATAGGTCACTGATTTAACATGTTTCCATGTTCAAAGCAAATTTGTGAATCATTTGCTAGATTGATTTCCCACAAAAAGGTATTGATATACAATAGATAGATTTATGTATATATATATGTGTATATAAATATACATATATATATATGTATAAATATATATATATATACACATATATATATACAAATATATATACATATATATATATATACATATATATATACATATATATATATATATACATATATATATACATATATATATACATATATATATACACATGTTTTTGCAGATTACATACATATTACCCCCTGGTATAGTGACGTAGCTTCTTTTACTATGTAATTCAAATATAATATATATATATCATCTATCAACGGGCCATGTGTTCATAGCAAACTCTTTCGCAAATTACCAGAGGGTACAGCCCCCATTAGCTACCCGCAATTATAGTTGGTTGATCCCCAGTATGCATATTGATATTTCATATCCCCCAAAAAAGTTGATGCTATCAAGAAGCTACCATCTGGTTATTTAACATAGCCATGGAAAATCACCACGTTTAATAGGTAAACCATCTATAAATGGGCCATTTTCCATGGCTATGTTAAATAACCAGAGGGTAAATGAATCTAAACCTTCATGGCTAAGTAAGTTGGTGAAATATGTCCAATACACATCCCTTTGTGCTGGTTAAATCCTTATGAATCCCCATTCATGTGGGGAACCCAATGCGAATTAAAATCATCCCAAACAAACCAACCAGGACTGAGGTCATTTGAAATCATCCCAAATTCGGGTATACCAGTACCCAATAATACACCTCTGCTGGGGATGGTTTATGGCATTGGGTTTACCACATCAATCATTCTTAAGTTGCTTGGCTATATTCCCATCACTTACCCTCTGGTAATTTAACATAGCTATTGAAAATGGACCATTTATAGTTGATTTACCTATTAAAGATGGTGATTTTCCATAGCTATGTGACAGTTTACCAGAGGGTAACTATGATGCCATAGCCTATCAATCCTATCATTTAACCGTCATGTTTCCCTTTGTTGATCGGCTTTAGCACATGACCAGATGCCATCCCCACGGTGGAACAGACACATTGGAAGAGGCTCACCCATTGGTTCACGGGCTTCGATGAAGAGCCCATCAGTCCAGTTGGGACGCCCCAGGGATGAAGACGGTGCCTGGAATCTGAAAAAAAAACATATCAAGATGGCGCCCCACATACTATGTTTATCTTGTATATCGTTCTTCATATATATTTATTATTATTATAATTATTATTATACTATATATATATGACATATAATAATGAATTATAATGATACTAGATTTGGTGAGAATGGTTTTCAAGAGCTATCACATTACTTAGTGGGAGCAAAATGGACAGAAGTGTCGTGTCCTATGTCCGAAATCAACCGGCTAAAAGTTTAGTGATTATGTGACACCTCCACATTTGTCCCGAGGTTGCTGCTATCCCAGCTTTCATAGGGTTAGGATCCAACTTGATGTTGGATTGTTGATGATGATTCACAATAACATCAAAGGACCAAGCAATGATGGCTACGACGGTCAGTTTGATGGCGGAAATCAGGTTAACAGGATGTTTCGCTCAGAAGCAGTCCGCCTCGGCCTCTGGATTGGGGAAATCTAACTATGGATGATTTAACCAACGACAAATAGTCTTTGTGTACATCAAACATGAGATACACATATATATATATATAATATATACATATGTATATATACTGATTATATATATATGTTTATATACATGATGATTATATATATCAGGATGCCATCAAACTGCTTGAACATTTCATTCAACAGAATGAGCGCTGTTGTCGCCCTGTCGTCTGGTGAATCCTTTGAATTTGGAAAGAGAACTTGCCCTACATTACGCCGATGGCATAGATGTACCTCCACACTCCTAGTTCTTCAACGAGATCTAGTCTGACAACTGAGCTGTGTGAGTGACCTATTTAGTATCACCTGAATTCCCTTCCATAAATTCTTACCAAAGTGGTGCCTGATGCAGCAAGAATGGTTTCCTACCACCACCAGCACCAGTTTTTTCCGTGGGTCCGACGAAGCCGCAGCACCGCACCATGCAAGGGCCACAACGCAAACATGGGATGTGGAATGAACTGAGAGATCGCCTCCGGGTCGAACTCTCGATGCCCGCAGGTGTTGAAGGGATTTGCCTTTGAGGTAAAGTTGGAAAAACCCTGGGAAGACTTCTATTTAGAAAAGGTGTTTTGAAGATTTTTGAAGTACATATGTTCTTCTTTTGTTGATCAGATTAAGATAAAAACACTTGAGGACTGCTGATTGCCAATGTGTTGTATTCTTCATTTGTTGATCAGATTAGGAATCAGAAACAGGGTGTTTTTTTGAACAGTTTAGCAACGGGGAAGTCGACACTGGCATCGAGAACCCATCCTGGGAAGCAACAGTCAGGCTGTAAAGCCATTGGCCCCTTGCCAGCTTTATTTTTGTTCAAAGGACTAAATGGATATAGTGGGATGTGATATGATATACAGTATGGGATATAACATGATATAACTATAACATGGCATATCAAATGGGTATAACCATTAACTATATATATATTAGGGCTACAATTAGTGGAGACACTTAAAATGATGAATGGGATACTTAATTTTATACAACATTCGTATATGCTAACGGCTGCTGTGTCTGGTATGTCCAACGTATGTCCCCCATGAACGATGGCCAGCGTGCCATGGGGATCAACCCATCTGGTAGCTGGAGCGAATAAAGTAGCACTATTTCCACGAAAAAACGAGACATCTCTGGACTACATCCTTTCGCAAGCCTCGATCCATTCGAAAATATTTGACATGAAATAGTGCTACTAAAGGTCCAGCCATCAGATGTCATAAGCCGCATAAGAATAGCGGTTGAATCGAGGCCGTGGCTCAAAAAGTGAACCCATCAATGGACGAATACTAGAACAAGCAAATCAATCAACATGATTACTAATTGTGTCAATATCTGTTCATGATATTTCATGATTAGATATTATACCCTCTGGTAAATTGTAACATAGACCCTGAACATGACCCATATTTTTAGTGGAAACTCATCTTCCAACCCGTATTTGCCAGGGATACCCATCAAAAGTCCCGCAGCCCGACCGTTGCCACCTGTGAAGCGCGCGGGTGGTGACCGGATGCCCTGATGACCCTGCCCTCACGGGTGAAAGAACCTCCGTTGGTCGAGAGTAGTATGGAAGGGATTGGAAGGGGATATCATACGTACGAACTATGGGATTACTAAATATGATGTAACATGTGGATTAATTATATATAATTATTAGTTGATTATATACGGTTAATGTTAACTATATCTAACTATTTGGGGTTTATTCTAAGCAATATTTGCATATTGGGGTGGTTCCTTATGGTTCTGCATGGCTGGTTGAAAGCTCCACGCAGGTGGATGAGTTTCCCAGCTGCTATAACTGCTACCCGGCCTGGTTATGTCAAACATAGCTATTGAAATTTGCCATAGAAATAGTTGATTTACCCATGAAAAATGGTGATTTTCCATATAGTTATGTGACAGTTTACCAGAGGCTAGCCCTTGGCTGAGGATTTGTAAGTCCAACTTTTTGGAGATGTTCAAGTCAACTCGACAGAGGTTTTTCAGGTCGGAGTCCGAAAAATTCGCAGCGCATGGAGAATGCGCTTCGCATATATACGTTTGTAGCTGGAAAGGAGGGAACTTTGGAATTGCCTTCACAGCTGCAGACCTATGCAAGCTATGGTGTGCGTTCACTCATCAGTCGTGACTCTTGATCCCAGACCCCTAGTTGTAACCTCCTCTTCATCGATTCCAAAGATGAATAAATCCACTGGTAATCAAACATGGTTTGCTGGAAACTTCACCATTTATATATATATATATTGATTATATTGATTATAGTTGATGTTCCCAGTTATAAACCATGTAACACCTCCGTTTTTGGGGGTGGAGTTTTCCATAATTTCCCATGATTGTCACATATTTTCCACAGCCATATTTCATTTGATAAACCAATGTTTATCGATGAAAATCCCACATTTCCAGCCATGTTTGCCACATTTTCCCAATGTTCATCGGGGATTTTCCAGCCAGCCACATGTTCATTTCCCAGCCGCAGCGGTCCACCCCTCGCTTCGATGTCAGCTCCAGCTCCAAACAGCTCCGACGGAGCACCGCGCAGCTCTTAGAACTGCATCCGCCTCCGTCGTTGTGTCGGAAAATGGGAGTTGGAAAATGGGAGTTGTGTGGAAATGTCCCAAGATTTGGGAAAAATGGATGGTAAAATGATGGTAAAGCTGTAAGATGTTCATGGGGAATGATATGGGATACAATCAACAATGAGGGAAAGTGACGGTGTACCCTCTAGTAGTATGAGATGATTGTATCAATAATCAATAATCAATAATATGGAAAATGGGAAAACGATGGGATGGTTTATATAGAATGTATCAACCATCTTGGATGTATTGATATAACCCTGTATGATTAGTGGAGGTTCCGTTCCGAAAATCATCGCACTAAATGGATACATTGGGATGGTTTTGGGGGAAGTTTTTTTTTTTAATGTGGTAAAACCGATCATATGGGGAAATGAGGGTGAAATGATGGGATGGTTGGGATGGTTGGGATGGTTTAACACATTGATAGGGAGATACACGAAAAACAAACACTGGGATGAAGAAAATTGGCAGTGAATGGCATGGTTTAGGCAAGTGCCAGTCATGATTCATGATCAAAAGGCAAGCAAGTTCCGGTTTGAGAGTATTCGCACAGATAGTCATTTGAGTTTATGCTGCGATGATCACCGACATGCCATGTTCGACTTTTGCAGATGCTGAACTGCTTTAAAACAAAGGGACTGGAGCTGATATGTATCAAGCTTTTGGATGAGCAAAGCTACCAGCAGCAGAAGACTTCTTTTGCTGATCTTCCAAAGAAAACCAAATCGCCAAATGGACATTTATGAAAAGCACAATTCAGCCGCCAAAAAATCCTGCAGTGCGCATTACCAAGAGATCCACTAAACCCATGGATTTCTTGGATGAGGTAGATGATCTGTTAGTGGCAATTGCCCTCCAGAATTCCCCAGAAACTCCCAGCCCGACAGCAAGAAAAAACAATTATATGGATGTGGGTCAAAATGGAAGACCGTTAAGGGGACCACAGATGTGAATGTCTAGTTTAGTATTAACCATCCATAATTATTGGGGTACCTAATTTTGACCCATACCCATATCTAAACAGTCCCTTTGATCGCTGGGTTTGACATTGCTTCGCCCAGCATGGCTTGCCAGAGTTTGCAAGTGTTTGTGGACAGGCGCGGTGGCAGCTGCTGCTGAAAATATGGTGCATATTAATTGAGCTAGTAAGATAGTAAGTTTGTCGAAGATGTTGTATGCTGATGTTGGGATGGTGCGATATCCAGACAACTCTCCTCTGGATTGGAGAAGCCTCTACTGATAATGATGTTTCAGCCACCTTTTTGATTGGGTTTTGCGAAAGCAAAAGATCCCCAAAACCAACCAATAGGTTCCACATGTTTTAATCCATCCACTGGTTGGTGGATTTATGTTTGCCATCCTGGAATGGTCCCATGACACTGGTTGTTCAGGGTGCTTGTTCAACCACCAAGCAGTGGAAGATTGGGGCCCCCAACTGAGTCATGAGTCATGTCTCGCCGGTTGAAAGCACCACTCGTCACTTGGGGGGTAAGTGTCCATTCTCTCGGTGGAACCGTGTGAAATCACCTGTTGGGGGTTGGTCGTATAATCCCAAATTTCTTGGCTGGTTAAACACCATTCTTGGTTGCTTAATTCCAATGGTAGGTTCTTGAAACCCTCACTTGTTCGTGCCATATAGTACATTCGCATTGCATCATCCACAAGTGTTGGTGAAACAGCATCTTTTTCGTTGGTGAATCCCATTTAATCAAATTAATCCCCATTTTGGGGCTTGTTTCAACATGTTCAAAGCTGGTTGAAATGAACCCTCAATTTTGATCATTGTTGTGCTTGTTTAAACCATGTTCAAGCTTCAAATTCCTAGGGTTGAGGGTTCCTCAGCTCTTTCCACGTCAGGCAAATGCTCAGAGAGCTGCCGGGCGCATGGCGTGTGGCATATCTCTTCTTTGCCTTCGCCTACATGCTGATCCTGGGAACAGGCGCAGGAGACTCCAGGGGCCCCAGGGGTCTTTAGCTGGTGGAATCGCTTGAAAACTGGGGACTTCAATAGGTTTTAACCATTCTTAACTTGTGTCAATCTACAAAACTAGGGACATCTAGGGACTATAGTGGGATCTAATAGGGGGGTTAAAAAGGATCTATATTGGTCATTATACAAATATATATGAAAGTGTGTGGGGATCATGCACCAACGGGACGAGTTTGTCGGACAAAAAATGGTACGACTATGGAGAATTGAGGTGTTCGTCCTTTGGGATCATTGTCCCTCATTGTCAGACAACACAGTCTGGCTGGCATTGATCGTTTCGATCAATCTTTCGGATGCAGAATTGTGTTATATCTTCCGTAAGTTGCAAGGATCCCTGTTGTTTGACCGGATATGTTCAACGAAATCTTTACTGCCAAGAGGTTTATACCTTTGAAACGACTTCGTGACATGCATGCTTTGTCTGAAAATGGGATAGCCCATTGTTCCATATTTTTTCCCATTCCATCCACTGGTCTATCATCATGTTCCACATTCAAATGGCGAGATCGCCGAGAAACCACATGAATCAGGTCTGATGATCAACCCCGCCACCATCTCCATTTTCCTAGACTCAGATTCTCGGTGGAGGGACTGGGTCACTACCCCCGTGATTTCTCGCAAGGTTTTGCCAAGTGATGGTCTTTGGGCATACAGCATACACAAAATGTGAAAAAAAATATGCTTTTCAGAAAGAAACTCATTGGTAAATTACTCTGTTTCCAAAGCTATACCCAAAGCTTATAATATAAGCTTCATGTTTCCATATTTTTTCCAAAGCTATACTACAAAAATGCCCAAGGCATTGAATTTGGCTTTCCAGGGAACACTGATTTCGTGAACAGCCCATCGGGTTTTGTGACTTGGTAGGCCCCATCTGGTCATCCGATTCTCCCGGAGTTCTGCTAGAGAATATTACATGAAAAAAAACATAGAAAGCGTGTATGAAAAGTATAGGTGTTTCCTCAATACCTAGTAGATATATATATATATAATATGATATATGTATATATATATACATATTAATACATATATTTATGTACATATCTATTCATTGATTTATTTATTTGGGTTGATGGTTTGGACATTTTTGGAATATGTTTTTTGTGTTTTCCCCATTGCCGTTTTGGATGCTCACGTCCCCAGGTTGGAGTGAAGGAGCAGCCCGTGGCACAGACCTATCTTCCGCCACATGGCTGAAACATGATGGTGATATGATGGTGATATATCCGATATTATCCGGCAAATGATGGTAAATGATGGTGATATAACAGTGATATATATAATGTTTGAGCTATCGATGATGGTGGATATTTTTAGGGAAATCAGCCATGAAAAATGAACTCTTTTGCTTTCTATCGCAGGCCGGCATCACGTTTGGCCATGGTTTCTGTCGCTATTTTGGGGATGGTGAATCAAGCAGGAACTCGGGGTTGGGGTTGCCAGTACGTTCAAGCGGCTTTCCTTACTACAATAGACCTAGCACGTAGAGAGAATGAGAACGGTGAAATGATGAAAACATGGTGTATTTCAGGCTGTCCCATGTGTTGATTCCTATTTTCTGGAGATACACACAGCACAATTCAGCCTTCAAGTGGCTTAAAACACAGCTAAAATCTCTCCTGGAGAGCCATTGGCCCATTGGTCCAGGCTGGTTCTGTTGCCCGTGCTCTTCATCTACAACTTCTTCTGGGCCGCGTTGCAAAGCCCCCAAAGACTGGTCTTAGTGGTGCCTTGATCTGTGAGGTGAAAGCTTCCGCTGGATCACTGTAAAAGATGTGATTACCCTTTGGTTATGACTAACAGTTTGCCATGGAAAATCACCATGCTATTAATAGGTAAACCGTAAACCATCTATTTCTATGGGCCATCTATACCATGGCTATGTTAAATAAATAAATAACCAGAGGGTATTTCATATGTACCGCAATCTCATAGATAGTTGATCATCATGGCAAGCCTATTAACATGGCTAGTTGGCGGTATGCCCTATTTTCAGACACACTCATATCAATATACAATGTCATCTAATCTATCATGTCATATTATTCACAGAAACTTTCTTTGAAAGTCAGTCCCGAAGCTTCTGATGCAAATGTTGTAGCTACGTGTATGGGTGTATCTGAACATAGGGTAACACAAAGTCTCACGTTTCATCATTACCTCTTATTACCTCCCCCCATTGAATGGCCGGTTGGGGGTAGCTTCTGGTAGTCAAACGGCTTGCTGGAAGATCCCCCCCAATGACCCAATGATAGATTTTCCCATGAGAACACCATTGAGGATTTTTCAGCCAGCCATGTTTGATATGATTGGCCGAGCGGCATTTTTTTTTGGTTCATGTTTGGCAGCTAAGCCAAGCTCCTTTCGGAACTTTTCGGAGATGTGGTCACGCCAGGCCAAACATATTGCAGCACTGAAAAAGGTTTGAAGTCTGGGGCAAATCGATTGAACGTTCGAAGTATAGCAACAGCCAAAACAGAATGTTGCTGCTGTCGTCCCGATCAAAAATATCATTCCTGTTGAGTTGTGAGTTGACCTATTTAATGTCTTTCAAGTGTAGTTTTATGAACGGCTCCGGAGATTTAAAGACTAAAACAGTTCGGAGTGGATCAGCCCAAACTTCTTGAAGCCATGAAATCATGTTTTCAATGGATCTCGGAATCATGTTTTCAATGGATCTCGGAATAGATGTGTGTAAGTTATGGCGACCTCGCAACAACCTCGCCATAAACGATCCTTGGCAAATGGAAGTCATCAGTCATCCCAAAATTGGTTGATCTCTGCTGACATTTGCCGATCCAAAGGCCTGGTTCATCCATTGCCATTGTGCGACAGACGGCCCACTGGTTTGGCATGTTGTTTTCTGCATATTTTCCCATGTCTTTCTTGGTCACTTGAGCGAAGCACTGAAGGTGTGCAGCGTTTATGCCGTGATTTACAGCATCATTGCCATTGAGTCCTTTCAGCACCAGCACATCTCAGCCAGGTGGGTTTTCTGGAATCCTCCGCGGCGAAGCCCTGATTATGGGTGCACAATGATGTACGCCCAATGACTGGCATAACTGAAATGTTTTTTTAGGGGGAATCGATCTTAAGATATCTTACCCTCTGGTTATTTAACATAGCTATTGAAAATGGCCCATAGAAATAGATGGTTTACCTATTAAAAATGAATAAACATGATGATTTTCCATGGCTATGTTAGTCATAACCAGATGGTAAGATATTCTGAAAAAAATTGATGGGTCACTTGTAGGTCCGAAACTCCCACGAACCACCGACATGTAGAAAGCTGCCAGATGGGCCTGGGTGCTGTTCTATGCCACCAACACCAAGTCGGTCCTCTTTCCGGTGATGCTGTGGAGTGTGTCCTGGAAAATGGGGAAAATCAGGGGATGGTGCATCAGAGAGAGCCAGATTTGTTTGGGAGCAATATTTGAAATACTGTATCTATTGTATATATGTATAATCTATATACTTAATACACTGATTGTAGTAATGTATTATGTTCTCTGTAATATAATATAGTGGCATCCTGGATGATCTAATTTGTTTTTTTTGCACATCTGCCCCGCAACTGAGCAGCGACCCGATCGACCTACGCCAGGGCGCATTGCCCAGATGGAGTATATATATATTATTATATATATTTATAATTATATATTTATAATTATATATATAATTATATATACTAAGTATCCTCCGGTAAAAAAGAACATATGGAAAGTGGACCATTTGTAGATAAACTACCTATTGGCTCTGATTTTCCACAGCTATAAATTTCCAGAGGGTACCAAGGAAGCATCTGAAGACTGCCAGCACTTGCTGAAGGACAGTTACCACCAGGGAACTGGGGTTGGTGAACTCAAAAACTCAAAACCTTGGAAACTGGGAATCGGCCTTTCGCTCAGGTGATGAATGACCTCTCTTCCACACAGTATTCGCCCCTCGGAGAGAGCGATGAAAAGGGGCGTTGTCGATCACATGAAATTAATCTGTATTATTTGTGCAGATTGTCAATTGATTTTGATGGATGTATGTAGTATGTAAATCCATCAAACATGTACGAAAATAGATTTAGGTGTATGGGAATGTAGAAGAAAATGTAGATACGTGACCCAGCTTCATACCATTCAACTGGTATGGATACAGGATGATCTAACATCATATGATATCATATGTCAGTGCATGGTTGGGTTCATAGCAAGCCTGGGATCACAGTTCCATCCCGTTTTGGATGTGGTGCAATGATTCTTGAACCAACATCTAGCGGTTGGATTCCAAGCATGCATTAACAGGACAGAAAACACCAAAAAACCATGCATCAACAAAACGCTCCTTTGCGGAGGTCTATTTGGAACAGCCACCATTATACTCTGGTCCCCGAAAAATTGACCATAGATTTGCATAGATGATCCTTGGTATTGTAGATTGGTAAACTATGGTGAATTAGAATTATATAGTTTCATTCAGCCATGGTTCATGTGGGTTTTGTGGAATTACCTGGAAATGATTTGTCTTTTCTGCACACTATTAAAGTCACATATTCAATCATATTATATTCGTATATATATAATATATATATATACATATTATATGTCTTAACATATTATAATATATACTGTACTAATAAAAGTACAATATATGTGGATACACTGTACTCACGTCTTTCTCAAAGTTCACACATATATTATTTGTATCATGTTTTCTTGTGTGTTGATCTACATCTACACATCTACACCCTTGGTCTTTGAAACGGGTGGCAGGACGCCCTGCTATGCCCTGCTCAGGAAGATCGCCTACCCCGCGCTGGTGTCTGCCGGGCAGCTGGGGGGCCTTGCAGGCTGGCTGGGTTTATGACCGTATGACTGGGGGAATAAAGATCCATTATATCACCAGCTATTATAGAGATTTATAGGGATTTATAGGGTACCAGGGTTTTGAGTTTCGAAGCCATGTTATGCTACTTCGTAGCTATACCTTGATGGTTCTATGTCTTAGTTATGTTGGAAGCAAATCTTCCAACCCCTCATTTGGATTCATTTGGCAGGGTCTATGTTAATTTACCATTAGGTAATAATTAAAGCCAACCAGTAAACCGCTACCAGTGCTCTCCAAATTTGGTGTGTCCCCTAGGTGTCCCGGAATGTATTGGAATGGCTTTTGGTATTGTCCCCAGGGTGACCCAGGGTGTAACATTGCAGGGAAGGTTGCCGAGGGACATCCAAGAACAAATGGTGATGCTGCTGCTGGCAAGTCTTAATGTCAACCCCGCATTCACAACGCCTGGTTGATTAATAGTTGATTAATAATAATATATGTGTTCTGTTTCATTTTCCCACCCGTGCTTCCTTACAGCCGAATCTCCGAACATGGACCTGCATGACCGGTCACAGTCTGTACAGGATCGCTGCTGGCCACAGCGGTGAAAGATGTGGGAGGCAGCTCTGGGCTTCTGATTATGCAAGCGGCTGCCCTGCTGATTATCGCCGGGATGGAGCCTTGGCCCACCTTGGCTGCTGGGGAGTGAAGCTCAGCAGCTTCCACAGTTATGGTTTATAAGTCAGCTATAACATCAATATTTATATCCATTTATGGAATGTGAAATCCTATTTACAACCATTTGTAATTGCTAAAGAGCCATAACTGCCGTCCAAAGATGATTCCAGGTGTTTTGTGCGGTGTTTTTTCAGGTGGAAGGATCGACAACAAAGTGAACGAAAATCAAAACTTCTCGCCGGATATGTGGCGATGGTTCAAAACGGAACATACTGAAAGCCACTGGACAGATGAAAAATGACGAAGAGTCAACTCTAATGAATGTGTTCCATCTCGTTCCAACAAGAAAAGTGTCAAACACAGAGGCATGCAACGACATGTAAAAGGGTTGATTGCACAATGAGAAAAGAGAAATGCCTCATTGTCTTCACTACACATGTCAGGATTGGCAGGGACGATTGTCACTACTGAAGACTGGCATGGAATGCAATCAGGTTCAGGACATGAGTTAAGTCCTTGAAATGGCCATTGGTTCCATCTTTGTTCCCTACTTTAGTGTAATTTCTAGACACCTTCAGGCCTTCAGTGGTTTCTATTCCATGAGTATATAGGGCACCATCGCAGTTGTCTACCTCTACAGCTAAGAATAGCCAGGCACTGACATCATTATGAGATCCACGTATCACTTGATGTTGCCTGTCCAAACTTCGCTGCACTCTTCAACTCCAAAAAAAACATGTACTATTTTGATCTATTGAATCTATCTCTGGTTGGTGGTTTGGAACATGTTTTTATTTCCCATCATATATGGGATGTCATCCTTCCCATTGACGAACTCATATTTTTCAAGATGGTTATTGCACCACCAACCAGATCTTGTATGGCAATCTTCAATCATGCGCTACTTCTGGCTATGCACAAAGCGCTGTGATTTCTCTCAGAGTTCCACCTCCCGCCAGCCAGCCGTGCTGACATGTTTCTTGAAGGCCGCCAGTGCCAAAAGTCTGGGAATTTCATAGGCGAATGATGGAAAAATGCTGGAAAAATGGTGTGAAAATGATGGAAAATGATGGAAAATGGGTGATAGATCATGTGTTTCTTTATTTGTTGATCTTACTGTAGCTAAACCCTCTGGTAAACGTTTACAAAAAACTATGGAAAATGGCCATAGAAATAGTGGATATTCCCATTGAACATGGTGATTTTTCATAGTTTTTTGTAAACGTTTACCAGAGGGTATATGGTGTTGAACAATTTGTTCACCAGAACTTTTTCTCAATATCATTTCACATCATTATCTACAGAGATCTTGGAACAAAATCAGGAAAAACAACGAAACTATATACTACTTCTGCGAAGTCCGAAGTCTGAGTGAGACTGCGCTCGCCATGAAAACCAATAGCAATCAACAAATATGGTTAACAAACTATGGTTAATAAACTATATGGTTAATATACCCAGTAATGGCTTATATGACCATTGATCTACCTAAAAAACTCCACAACTTCCCACTGCCCACCACTTCCATCCAGGTCTGGATCGCCTGTATGTTGGCCGCCCGCGCCCCCGCACACGACGAAGCCCTCGGCAACGGCAGCGGCGATGCGCGTGAGGCGTTGACCTCGCTGCAACCGGTCGAGGGGCAAGCAGTGCGGCAGGAAGGCGGCCAGGGCTTCCCCCACCCCGAAAATGGTGCACTGGAAGACAAGGCAATTCCTGGGTAATGTATATGAGTGTGTGTTTTTATGTTTTTTTTTCTGACATTCTATTTTTCAGTTGCATCCGAAATAAGCATATAATAGGATGGTAAATTATGAGGAATGAGGTTCCCGTTGTCATTTCTGTCCTTGCTTGCGAGGTTAGTAAAAAAACGAGGCTCCAGGAATCACTAGATAAATTGGCACATGTATGCAATTGGTCAGTTTCAGTGTTCCCTCCCTATATAATGATTTGTGGGCTTCCATGGGCTTCCCTTTAATTCCAAGATGAATCTGTGAGAAAGAGAGCCCAAGGCAATTGCCTTGTGTTGGCGGGATATGATCGAATCCACCCTTGTTGGACAACCCCATATGTGCCAAACTCCTCAACTTGAACTTTTCTAGTGTGGCAAAGGCAATGGGGTCATAGCCATAGCAAGGTTTCAATCTGCTTGCGCTTGCCACCAGCCAACCTTTTGGGGCCAATTCCCGCATCATTCAGAAACATGGTTCTAACATGGTTCTAACATGGTTCCAACATGGTTCTAACATGGTTCTAACATGGTTCTAAGATGGTTCTAGATGGTTCTAGCCGAGTAGTAGTCATGGTACATCCCCAGTATTCAGCTTGCCCTCAAATGTGTGTATATATATGTATACTGTATATACAATTATATATATATACAATTATATACACACATATGCATACCAATAAAGTTTAATAAGGAAAGATTAAGAACCTGACTGGCACTAGCAAGTGCGATTTGCTGGTCATTGAAACCTTAGCTTATAACTAAGCTCATCCCATGATACTCATTTATATCAGGTATATCATGTTATACCCTATGGACCAGCCAAATCTGCTGGCAGATGTGAGTCCAGGTGGCAGTTCCTTCAGTGCGCCTGAAAGGCAGCAGAACGGTTGCCTCCTGGGGCTGCGAGCGGTGGCACAGAAGTTGTGGGAGACGGTGGAAGGAATTGCCGCTAGGAGAGAAGTCCAAATTGGAACGGCGTTGATTTTATGTGGTTTATAGAACCAACCACAAAGAAAATGTTGGCGGTTGTTGATTTCCGGCTAATGAACAAATATAGGACCAGCAAACAAAATCGGAGTTTAACTATTCAACCAAGAAAAGTTGTAATTTAAGGCATTATGATGCAATCAACGCTACAGTGGTGATGGGGATGACTGAAATTTGGGGGATTACAGAATTGGCAACTGCAATCAGGAAAGTGATGATAAATCTTGAGATTTTAGGATGCTGCAAACCCAAACAGGGCGGCATTTGATGTGAGCACTGCTCTAAAAATCCTCGATGGAGTAACCACCCAACATGGGGTGTATGAGTGTACAGTAATTAGTCCATCATAGTTCATCCATATCAATCCAAGAGTCATGATTGATGATTAGTTCATCCATATCATGGGTAGTCACTTTATCCATATCATTTGTTTTGCAACTGTTTGTTTTGTTTGGGGTCGGGGGATGGAGGGAACACATGGAATCATGGAACACATTCGTGCCATGTGATCATGATCATAGAGATGCTGTGTGTCTATTATGTATCGTTTCATGCATATTTATTTTTGTGTTGGATACATTTACATATTAATATATTGCACGTAAAATAAAGACATATTTTAGATATATAATCAATATACATGCTGGTATACGTATGTTCTTCAACCATTTACATCATATTACGTTGCAATGGTTTCATGTCTGCTACCAACAAATAGCATTCTGGATGGCACCTCCATGCACTTCTGCACCTGTCCATGAGGCATTGATTTTGTCGAGACCCTATGTGGCTGGAATCTTTTGGGTGGCCTGTGCTCACCTGGTGCCACGAGTTTTGCTGGACTATCAGGGTACTGCGTTGATCAATGAACCGTGGCAGACAGCAAATCAGGGATTTGCATTGCTGGATGTTGGATGGACAATAAGCTGAAGCGAAGCAGCAAATCATCACGTTGAAGTCCATCAAACATCCAGCATCGTCGGGCAGCTGACATCCCTGGTTTGGTCATCCGAAAAGCAATGACTCTTACGTATAGTTGGGATCGGAGGAATCAGCATTAACGCTGGCTTGGTTTATGAGAAAAAGATAACAGCATGTGTTCTGTATGTTTCTCATCAAAACAGTGGGTTGGTGCAGATTTCGTCACTCTAGAGTTGTTCCTAGTGTTGCACAAGTGGGCGAGGGTGTTGTTTAATTACATTGCTTGAGTATGGATCAAAATTGGGTTAGCAATGGACCTATCTTTTTAAAGTTTCAACAACTACTACAGTCTACAGTATCCATGAATAAGTTTGACTTGTAATATCTTACGATTAGTCATTTGTAGTTGTATACAATTATACAATTATACAGTCATTATCAGTCATTTGTAGTTGTATAATATTTGTGTTTATTTGTAGTATTGAGGTTGTAAAGCTATCGTTATCCCTTTCTGTATCTCATTTGTACTTGTATATCATTTAAACTTTCGTTCCAAAGTGATATCCCTTTCCCGAGGAGCGGTGGCCAAAGAAGATCCACGGTGTAGAGATTCCTGGCAACACCGATAAGCGCCGCGGCGAAGGAGGGGTGGAAATTGCGTTCCCCCGGGTAGCAGTGATCGTGTCTGGCCTCTTCCGTCTAGTCTTTTCAGGGTTGAAAAAAATCATAGCAGATAGAACGAACACATAATTAGACTTACAGATGATATGCCTTTGGGGATATGACGCAGATATGTCACAGATAGGTTACTAAAAGCAAGGCTATGTTCATCACAACACTTTTGATATGGCGAGCATCGCACAGCCATGACCTGCACCCTGTTCTGGATCAGAACTGGGAATCGTTTCAATGTTCAGTGCTGAACGCGTTCGAAAACTAACTCAAAGATCTATATACTGTGTATGTATATATATATATACGATGTATATATATATATATTATGATATATATTATAATATATCCATATGAATCCTAGGTTTAGGCTTGAACATGGACCTTGTCTTGGATCTGTTGGGTGTTTGTGGTTTCTTCAATGGCGCCCAAGGCGCACGTCTTTTTTTGCGTGGTGCAATGTGGCCAACACAGTTGGCGCCATGCTGTCACCTGGGCTCTGTTTAGAGCGGCGGGGCCTGGAGGTGCAAGATGGGATGAGGAATGAACTTATCCTATCTATAAGTAGCAACCCCCCAATGGATAAATATGATAGGGTGTTATTAATCCTGGGTTCATATTTCTAGTTGGGTAACGCATACAGTTTATGGGCCCCGAATTTTTTCGGGGTGAAGGGAAAGGGAAGAGACCTTTAAAACGCTTGGGATTCTGTGAGGTTTGGGAATGATCGGCGCCCACTAGGGTTTGGGTTTAGAGACCACGATACAAAAGCAATGTCCAAAAAAAAGAAAAGGACTATCATAGCAAGGATAGTGATATCATGATATCATCTCCAAGAAAGTTTGAGTACCCTATAGATGAATTACTTTCTGGTTACATCATCTCTAGCCAGTCCGGTGCATTTAAACGCCGATGTTCTGAGGCTTTCCTTGTGCGGCTTGCGGGGCCTGGTGGAATGCGGTGGTCTTCTGCTGACCCTCTTGGTGTTGCCCACGGCCATGGTGACGAATCGGAATGAGTCGGAAGTGGTGAGAGGTTGAGAGGTTTGTTTGAATGCCAGGCGTATTAAAGACTTAGCCTATGGCTATTTAACATAGCCATGGACAATCGCCATTTTTAGATATTTTTGATAGGTAAATCAATATAAGATAATACATATATTATATAGATAAGTAAATTAAATCATCAATAAAAGGTCCATTTTCCATAGCTATGTTAAACAAGCAGAGGGTAGTTCATGTAAACCTTGGATGAAATTGACGCAGATGTTTCTACCTTCACAGGCTGCTGTGCTCAGGTCACCTTTGAGGATGACCGTTGTGAAGATTTTTGGATGGGTCGTTTGTTATCTATGAAATTACCATATGACTGGGTGAATAAACATCCATAAATTCATAAACCAAGATAAAAACATATAAAAACTAGCTATTTTTGCCAGATCATCCATTTTTCACTTGGCATCTCAGTTGATGTCGGTGCTCCTGGTTTACTTTCACCATGACTTCTGGACGGTTCAAGCGGTGCTGGTGGTGGTGAACGTGGTGCAGTATGCCTTGAACGGCCCCAGCCGATGCTTGGACATCGACAAGTGACGACTTGGGACTTTCCTCACTCACAACAAGGTGCTTCGGAGGTTTCCTGAAGTAGGGGGTACCCCAAATCATATTTAGGAAACCCCCAATTGTTAATGGTTAATGGTTAATCGTTGGTGGTTAATTTATCATTTCATGTTTCATGAGGATTCTTCTGGTTGGTTTCTGGAATGGCTGGATGGCAAGTTCGGGAAAAACCAGAGAGCCTGAGGCAATAAACAATGGGAATACTGTTGTTCTCAGCCTGAAAAAGAGAAGTTGAATATAAATTATATATGGCCCATTATGGCCCTATGACCCCTTAAAAATGGCAACAGCCCGTATTAAAAAACAGCATCCAGACAAATTTTCAAGGTGATACCTCATGAGTGGCTGAGTTACTCAATAATATGAATGTTTGGATGGTACTCTATTGTGCCCAACAACTTTTGGGGTTGAAAAAAAACAAAACCCTTTCTCCACCTTTCTTTGAGTAAAGCTGGTCCATTTACTTTAGGAAACCATATTTGTGATAAAGCTTTAAAATGCAAGGTTTTCCAAATAATTAGATGCCTTATTAAACCCTTATTAAAAAAACAGCATCCAGACAATTTTTCAAGGTGATACCTCATGAGTGGCTGAGTTACTCAATAATATGAATGTTTGGATGGTACTCTATTGTGCCCAACAACTTTTGGGGTTGAAAAAAAAACAAAAACCCTTTCTCCACCTTTCTTTGAGTAAAGCTGGTCCATTTACTTTAGGAATCTATATTTGTGATAAAGCTTTAAAATGCAAGGTTTTCCAAATAATTAGATGCCTTATTAAACCCTTATTTAAAAACAGCATCCAGACAATTTTTCAAGGTGATACCTCATGAGTGGCTCAGTTACTCAATAATATGAATGTTTGGATGGTACTCTATTGTGCCCAACAACTTTTGGGTTTGAAAAAAACAAAACCCTTGAAAGTAAATTGAAATCAATTGGAAATAAATTGAAAGTGAATTGAAATCAATTAAAAGTGAATTGAAATCAGTTGAAAATCAATTGATTTCAATTGAAAGTAAATTGAAATCAATTGAAAGTAAATTGAAATCAATTGAAAGTAAATTGAAATCAATTGAAAGTAAATTGAAATCAGTTGAAAATCAATTGATTTCAATTGAAAGTAAATTGAAATCAATTGAAAGTAAATTGAAATCAATTGAAAGTAAATTGAAATCAATTGAAAGTAAATTGAAATCAATTGAACGTAAATTGAAATCAATTGAAAGTAAATTGATTTCAATTGAAAGTAAATTGAAATCAATTCAAAGTAAATTGAAATCAATTGAAAGTAAATTGAAATCAATTAGAAGTAAATTGAAATCAATTCAAAGTAAATTGAAATCAATTGAAAATAAATTGAAATCAGTTGAAAATCAATTGATTTCAATTGAAAGTAAATTGAAATCAATTGAAAGTAAATTGAAATCAATTGAAAGTAAATTGAAATCAATTAAAAGTAAATTGAAATCAATTGAACGTAAATTGAAATCAATTGAAAGTAAATTGAAATCAATTGAAAGTAAATTGAAATCAATTGAAAGTAAATTGAAATCAATTGAAAGTAAATTGATTTCAATTGAAAGTAAATTAATTAAATTGAAATCAATTGAAATTAAATTGATTTCAATTGAAAGTAATTTGAAATCAATTAAAAATAAATATTCAAAAAAATTGTTGAGGGGGGGGGCGCAAAAAAATTGTCAGTTATTGAATAGACTAAAATTGGTTAGGGGGGAGGGGGGGGGGCCCTCACACTAATGAGTCGACAACATTATAATGTTTGTGTCATTTTCTGAATGACTGGTTGACTTGGTTGCCCAGCTTCATCAGGAGAGATGCTTTATGTGCGAACCTCCAAAGACATTAAATACAAAGCCAAGAGCTGGTCGGATATGCGCCTTGGCAACCGATGTGGCGATTCATTTGGTGACGTGTAATCCTCATGGAGTGAAAGTCTATATGGTATCTTTCAAGTCACCAAATGAGTTGACAAAGACATCAGGAAACCACGGGATTTTTTTTAATGCCATCCAAGTCTTTGACCAGAACTGAGGTATGGCAATTTTCTGCAGAAGACAATTGCTGCCCAGATCAATCTTCATGTGAACCTTGAAGAGGACGTATCACTTGGTCGCGGGTAACTGGATGGAAGCTCTGCTTGCAACATCGGCTGTGATTTCATCGAAATCTGGAAGCCCAAGTATCTTCAAAAGTAAGCCCAAAGAAACAATGGTGACAAGTAAGATTCTCAAGTATCTTATCCAAACAATCATCCAGTATCCAAGTAATATCCAAAAAACGTTCATCTTCAGTATCCCATCCAAAAATCAAATCGTGACTTCCCCATGGATTCTGTGGGTTCACCATGAACCTCCAATGAAGCCCCAAGGGACACCTTGGCACCTTGGATTGCAAAAGGCGGATGGATGGGGGTACCCCCAGTTCTCATCCATTTATAGATGGATGTTCCATGAAATAATCCATCCAGCTATTGGGGTACCTACATTTTAGGAAACCAGCAATAATTTTAATGCACCAGGATTATGTAAGTACATGCATACATCCATCCAACCAGCCATACGTTACGTACATTTCAGTACAAGACACTACCAAACTATACCATAGAATACAATAGGATACGCTACGTCCTTTTCATTGCATTTAATTGATCCCTTTTTTCGCAGTTTGCGCCGTGGCCGCAGGATTCTTGTCAGCCGAATTGCTTCAAACCATTTTTCACCGGAGTTTTCACCACTGCTTGGGTGGCTGCTTGGGCCCTCATTGCAGGTGGGAATGGCGAAGTGATTTGTCGAAGATCACTGAGCCCGAAGAACTTCTTTTGGAAAATACAATGTTCATCCATTTTCTTACTGGTGCTTAGTAGGGAATGGGGGAATGGGATTATTCTTGATAGTTGTTATGGATCATTCCCTCATTGCCTACCAAGTACCAGGAAGTTTTGATCCGTGTTTATCCATGCTCCCGCTTAAATCTGTGACCCTCCAACCTACAACATTAGCCAGTTGAACAACATTTAAGGCGAGGCATGGCATGTTTTGACATGGCAATGACCTCGCTGTCAGTTATGGTGAGAAAATGTAGGAGAACTTCTAGAAACAAAAAGGGCAAACCATGGTTTCGTCCAGTCCAGGTTCATGAAGTATTATGATTTGCATCAACATCAGGGAAGCTTCTGGTCAGCTTTTATCAATTTTTGGTTTTGATGATGTCATTCATTCGGGGCTACTCTTTTATCTCCACCTTGGTTGAGGCCCAAGGGAATTCGTGTGTGTTTTGGGACTTCGGAACCCGTGCCCGGTGCATCGTTGCTGGTTAAATCTCGATATGTGTTAATATCGTCCTGTGATATCCTCACTTCAATCATTAGTTGTGCGTGAAATATGCGAAAAAAAATACATGTTTGTGTGTTTAAGTGAAAGCAGTATGATTGTTGGTGAAATCACCAGAGGTTTCTTGGTTATTATACAAATCACCGTTTTTGATGGTTAAATCAGAATATGTCCCGGTTAAATCACCATTATTGTTGCTTATATCCCCATTTGGGTTTGTTAAATCGCCATTTTCGTTGGTTAAATAACCATTGTTATTGCTTACTGGTTGGTGGTTTGGAACATTTTTTATGTTTCCATTCAGTTGGGAATTTCATCATCCCAACTGACGAACTCGTATTTCTCAGAGGGTCGGTATACCACCAACCAGATTGTCATTGCTTAAATCACCAATTCATCGAATTTTGTTGGTTGATATCCCAAGCGTGTCGTTGTGAAATCGTCTTGTCGTCGAAGGTGGTCTTGGCGTCAAGCATGCGCGATTGGTCAAGAAGAACGAGTTTGTGAGTTAGGTCCGATGGAAATCTCGGAAATCAGATTTTCATATGGTGTTACCCTCTGGTAAACATACAAAAAACGATGGAACGATGCACCATTGTTAATGGGAAAACTCACTATTTCTATGGCCATGTTCAATGGCTATGTTAAATTACCAGAGAGTAAGTTCAATGTTGATGAACAAAAATCATCTGTATACGGACATGGGGAAATGGTTGGTCAATCCTTTTTATTTGTTTCAAGTGTCTTATGTTTGGGGCAAAAACATCATCTAGGAACGGGATTTTCATGACCATTTTTCTTCAGGCTTCAATGACCTAGATGTCGGATGTGTTCATCATGGCAAATGAGTACATGATGGCATGAGATCCAACCTTCGCTTCCTGGCACCAAAGGCTTCCCATTGAGATCGCCCAGATCGCCTTCTTTTCGCAGCAAAAAGGTGACGCTTGCCGCGGCAGAATGACCAGCAATAGGATCTATTGCAACCCGTTTCCGCGGTATTTTTGTATTTTTGATGCCATGGAAATCGAATACTCTAATGGCCGGGCCCTTAACAGCCACAGTCTTCGGTTCGATGGCTTCAGATCTATCAATCCACAACTAAGATGGAGGTTTCCTTTGGTTTTAGGGGGTACCCCCAGTTCTTATCCATTTATAGATGAAATTTCCATGGAAATCATCCATCCAGCGATAAAGGGTATCCCCCATGACTATGGAAACCCGCAGATGAACTAAGCGACCTGCCGCCGTTGAGCTGCTGGAGCTGGAGTCTTCGCAGTCAGGACTGCAGTTACTTGGCTTTGAACATGAGGGATACTGCAGATACCCCAAGTGGCAATGAAATAATTTGTGTGTGTATATAATAATGTAAAATAATATAATATAATATATAATACATATATAATATATATATAGTATTATATAGTATTATATATGTGATATAGTATTATATGTAATATAATACTTATATATAATATAGAGTATTATATATATATATATTTATTACATGTAAAATTATGAGGAAATGGATAGTCAACCATGAAATTTTGGGGTATCATATTTTCAGTCAAACCCACAGCCTGTGCAGATGAGGAGTAGAGCCCACAGCAGTGATTCACGGCAGCCATTTGGTACAGCCTGAGAAGAACCGGATGAGCAGCGGTCAGCAACATCTGCATTTTTTAGGGCCATCAGTAGTTCGGAGAAATATGTGTATCAACAGCCATAGATGTCTGATATATGCTGACTCCATAAGTTCCCAGCCTTATGAAAGAAGACTTCAACTTTGGCCATAGAAGACTTTCCAACAAGGCTTCAATGTCCTCAACGGGCCACCGGCCGCCCCAAAGAAGAGCCCGATTCACCACCTGGTATGGCGACGGACGAGATGGCCAAGGGAGAGAAGCCAACGGTGGAGGCGAGAGCTTGATGCGAGAAGTGCTTGGTGGTTTCAAATCTCCGAGAAAATGTATCGAGAAACCAGCCATTTCACTGAAGACTGATCCGATATAAGCATGGAATCATGGTAAGATGTAATGAGTAGATTCAACCAGACATCAAATTCGTTTGGTTTCAACGTGTTTTTTGTTTTTTCATAGGTTCCAAGTCGCCAACTGGGATGATCCTTGCAGTGACGGGGATTGGCTTTGAAATGTAACAGCTTTAACCGATCAAAAGGGGGATAACACAACCAACATCAACCAAGTCTTGTTTGCAGTTTCAGATAATTTCAGATACCCTCTGGTTATTTAACATAGCCATGGAAAATGGCCCATTTATAGATGGTTTACCTATTATAAATGGTGATCTTCCATGGCTATGTTAAATAACCAGATGGTATGTGAAAAGGGGTGTTCCGAATTTCCATCAATGATTCCTCTAGACTCATTGGGGAGGTCAGCCAAGAGACACATCCAGTCGTGTCAGAGAGGTGGGCTCCATGGGGTCCATCCGTCCATCCGTGGTGAGGAAAGCCAGTTGCAAAGCGCCATCCGTCGCTTGGATTTGGAGTGGCCATTGTTGGTCCAAAAACAAAATGGATGTTTTTTGATATAAAATTGGCCTAAATTGGCCCTTTTCAACATTGTTTAAGAAGGAAACCAACTTAATGGATGTTTCACTTAATGGAAAATATGCATGTAGAAATAAAATTCAACGACCTATGGTTTTTTTTGGTTCAAAACCATGAATTTCTATAGCCACGTGTAGGATGATCATCCCACTCTGGAAATTTCTGTGGCTTGTGGTGTCCAAAATGATCGTGTCCAATTTCAACAGGTTCCTCACTGAACGGCCGGTGTTTCTTTGCCTTGCGGCACAGCTAGTCTATTAGGTCAATATGTGGTTAATCATGAAGATAGTGAATATATTGACAATATAGTGATATCATAATATAATAATATAGTTTATAATATAGTGAATATTGTGAATATAGTATCATATAGTCTTACAAAAAATGGTTCTAAGCCACTTAGTAACTAAGACGGACTTCCAATTGACTCAGTTTTGGATGATCTTCCCAGATTTTCGGAGCCACCCAGACGCCGAAAAAAGGATGTGTTTCCCTCGCCAGCGGCATCATCTTGGGCCTTGGAGTCTACGGAGTCCTTCAGGTTGGAGGGTTTTTGGTTCTGATTGCTATTTTGATAGGGAAAATTATTGGAACAGAACTATTGTTATCAGGCCAATAGCATCCAATAGCTATTCTGGTTGGTGATTTGGAACATGTGTTTTTCCATATATTGGGAAGATCATCCCAACTGACTAATATTTTTCAGAGGGGTTGAAACCACCAACCAGTATTGTTGATCAATGTTGTTTAGATATTCTTAAGGCTACAAGTTTTGGGATAGTTTTGGATTAGCTCCGGCCAAGGCATGTCTTGGCGGTCAGTGACTCTCCGTTCCAAAATTTCAGGAACCTCCAAAACCATCGTATTAACGAAGCTTTCCATTGTGGTAAAATCCACAAAATTGTCCAGTTCTTGATGTTGTTGCATGATACTTACAGTAACAGGCGTGTTGCCTGTTTGTGTACAAACTTACAGGACAGCTGTGAAGATTCAGGCCCCAAAAGAATCGTTGAATCCAGTCAGCCTGGCCTCACAACCACCTTAGAAATGAGAATGTATGGGTTTGTTGGAAAAGGCGCTGAGAAAGGTACTCCAGTTATAGAAAAATATCACTATTGTTCGTAAAAATATTCCCATTATATATAGCCCCAAGATTGTTGTAATGTGTTATATAGTTATGTATCCCAAATATCCCATTAGATTCACCCCATATTTGAACACATCCATTTGGCTTCGGCACTTGCGACAGTGGCAGGAGCGGATAATGTCGGAACCCTACGGAGAGGACTCGTCGAGTGTTGTGCAAACCCATTTTTTTTGCAGCCCTGAGGAGATCGTTGCATCGTTTGATGCCAGAAACCATCATTTCTATGGGCTTTCGAGGTCTCCAAGCTTTTGGACCACCAGATTCCAATGGTATTCTTACCCTGTCCAGTAGAAGCGGGCAAGATTCAATATATCCACTTGACTGTCAGGTACATCAAGATATCGTAATGTCAGGTACATCAAGATATCGTAATATAGTTGACAATCGATACGGATATAATTATATATATATGTGTGATGATAACTCAATATAATTCATACCCTCTGGTAATTTAACATAGCTATTGAAAATGGCCATTGATAGTGGATTTTCCCACTAAAAATGGTGGATCTTTCCATAGCTATGTTAAATTACCAGAGGGTAATATATCATGATGTTTAAAATGCACACGGTCTTTCCTGCCGTTGTTGTTTGGAGTTGGATATATAGGCATCACGGAGATGTGTACTGTAGCGGTGCTGCTTGGAGGTTTTTTCCATTCAGGGACACCTCCAACACTTGGATCTTCAAATTGGAACTGGATCAGCATCATATAAATATGATCCTTAAATTGATAAATGTACTCAAAATTGGATCCCATTGTACAATTATCATTATTATCATATATGATATAAGTAAATTGCGTATATGATGCATCATATTTATCATTGAGTACAATGTGTATATCATATACCCCCTGGTAAATTAACATAGACATCATAGACCCTGAACATAAGAATTCTGTTAAGTGGAAACCAATCTTCCCCTCATTGCCAGGATCTATGTTAATTTACTGGAGGGCAGTATAAATTAACATAAATTGATTTAAGATAATATAAATTAATCTAATGTGTATATAATATATATATACATACTATTCCGGAGAAACTAGTTGTTGAGCTAGTTGGTGTCTTTAAACGACCTCAGTCGTTTTTCAACTTCTTCGACGGCAACGTCGCCCAGGAGCAGTTTACGACCTCGGTTTTCTTGGTCTTCTGCAACCGAGTGGCGGCCATCGTGTTGGGGGACCTCGGATCCCGTTGAAGAATGGGGAGTTGGGGAGCAACTGGAAGGTGTCCCATGCAATCCATATACAATCCATACCCTCTGGTAATTTAGCAGATGCTTCCTGTCCTAAGTGGCAATTTGAGAGAGATAAATCATCGATAAATGGGTGATATGGGTGGTGGAAAAAACCACAGCTATCTGAAATTTGCAGAGGGTAAATATCAAAGAATTAGGAGAGAAACACATAGACCGGAGATTGTGGGGGATATTTAGGAAATCCAGCTTTGAAGCTCGTGTTGGTACAAAATAGTACTTTATGGTTGGTTTCAGATTTGAAGTCATTGTAGTAGTACCCTTCCGTCCCAACATGCGTATAGCTGACTGTCCCATTGAAACATATTGAAATGTGATTTCCCATTTCCATGTTTGATTACCAAAGGCTATTTGGGAAGGTTTGGGGGGTGAGTACCATCAAGTTTGGGGAAGACCCTGATGCGGCAATTGAAGCATATAGCAAACCATGGAGTGTCTGACCTGGTTTCACCATGGCTGGGCTTAGACCTTGTGCGCCACTGCCGCACACTTCATGTCAAACTTTTAGATCTTGGAGCATGGTTTTCCGAGGGGATGGTTAGATCATGCTAAACAAAGTGAGATCGAATCCCTGCCTCTCTCTCTCTCTCTCCCTCTCCCTCTACACAGATATAATATGATATAATTATAATATATATATACATATACTACACATCCCTCAGAATCCTTATCTCAAGATCCCTCACTTCGATAACCATCTCCCTCCATCAGCGAAGTCTGGAGGTTCGCACTGGCGATGGTGGCTGTGAAGGGAGAGAGCTACAAAGCCTCTGTCCGGGGAACCCCAGGGGATGGTCATCAACCCATAGGGATTGATATAGCTATGATAAGGATATAGCATGATATAGCTATGGTATGATATGGCCATGGGATGGATGGATGACCATAAAACATCATAAAACATATACCATGTTTTGACCATAAAACATAGAAGCCATTACTACGCAGGAATAGGGGTTCAGCTTTCGCTATACTACATGCTAGACTTATCTAGAGTTGCCCTTGGAAGATGGAAGCTTGACTGGCATTGGTGGTTTGCGACAATCTCAAAGTAATTCAAACCTGTCTCAGGTCCAGGTGCTTCAAGGTGTTTGTTTATCATGTCCATTCGTGTCAGACCTTGCTGGTCACACTCCACCATACGTCGGCATGCATCAGCATTCTCAGCCCCCCAACACCAAAAAATAAGATGGATAGATCGATCGATAGATCGATAGACCGGTAGATCGATAGATAGCTAGCTAGCTAGCTAGCTAGATAGCTAGATAGCATTAGATAGCTAGACAGATAGCTGGATAGCATTAGATAGCTAGATAGGTAGATAGCTAGATAGATACAAAGATATCGAGAATGGTCGCGGTCGGCAGCGCCCGGCCCGCAGGTGCCGTTGTGGAAATACTTCGCCATCTCGTTGTCCAATGTGGCTGCGACCTGGTGCCAATACGAGGCCGGCAGTTGAGACGAATCTATGTTTTGTAGATATCAATGATGAATAGATAAATATATCATGATATATCATGTATTATATGTATCTACATCTGATAGTTCATGTATATGATATATGTAGTTGATTATAGTTGTCATAGCCGTTTTTAAATTGATGTATTTACTGAAGTATGTTTATGTCTATGTATAGAAGTTGAATGATATATATATATATATACATGTAATTATATACACATGATTCTTAGAAAGGGATGAAGGGAACCCATATCGGAACCCCTCCATCAATGAAAGACAGTGGTTTTCCATGGTTTCCTCTTATGTTTCCCGGCTTACTTGCCATTCTGAATGATGTTTGATCGTGAAATCTCATGGGTTTCTGGCAGTTCCACCATGAATTGCAGATGGCTTCAACTTTCCATGGTGAATTTCAGGACCACTGGGCATCTGGATCTGAAGGATTGAATAGACAGGGGATTCAAGCAGCATTCATAGCTTCATTACTGGGTGAAACCCCCCAGCCGGATTTTCATTCAGATTGACATTTGGGGAACATCATGGTCAGTGAATCGAATTCTTTGGAGAAAAGTTCTCCAATTACTCTCTGGTTATGACTAACATAGCCATGGTATAGATGGCCCATAGAAATAGATGATTTTCCCAGCTAGAAACCTCCATTTATGGTTGAGATTTTCCAGTTCGCTATGTGAGTCATAACCAGATGGTAATTTGATACATCACGAGAAATCCTTGGGTTTTATAGTTGGGTTTACCACATTACCCTCTGGTAAATAAACATAGACCCTGAAAATGACTAATTTTTAATGGAAACTAGTCTTCCAATCCCTATTTGCCAGGGTCTATGTTAATTTACCAGAGGGTACCACATTAATGTAATATTTGTTCGAAGATCATAGGGAATCCACGGTGGAAATCCGCTGGAGGCCTTGAAATATGTGGCATTCCCAGTGCAGATGTCGGGGAGCCGACACCCCAAATGACCCAGGGCCCTCGGTGATGGTCAATGGGAGAAGCAAATGGGAAAAACCATGGGAAAAACCATGGGAAAACAGGTATCCATACTGTAGGACAGTAGGACATCTCCATTTCTTCGGTTGGAGGTTACCTGGTTGTTCATCAGGAATCACCCCAAGGATTTCCCGCTGAAAGCAACATAACATGACACTAATGGTGGATTTGGGAGAGATCTCCTGAAATTATAAAGCATATTAAGAAAGTTTCATGGTTGTTGAATCTCACAAATCTCTTGTCTTATTACGTTTCCCTGGGCTACCTCGCATATCTTTCGATGATTGAAAGACAACACGAACCAAAATTGACATTGTGAAGTCATTTGGAGTTTTGCTGTATTTCTTCGACCGAAACTCTGAAATCCCATTCAACCAGAAAAGTGAAGACTCATGTGTGCAGGACTACATCACAAATGCTGAAAAGTCATAAAAAGTCTGGGATGTCTGTGTGTGTGCAGGGAGAACCAACACATGCGTTGGGGGGTTGAAAGCGCAGATCCGTTTTTTTTGTTTAGGCTGGGAGAACGCTCGGACGACCCACTGCCATGAGGTTGGGAAAGAGCTTCAAGATGATGCCCGTCATGCCCGGCACTTAAGGTGACAAGCCGCCAAGGCAACTGGTTCCATATCAAGGTAGGTATGGTCCGTATGGTGCAACCCACCTTAAGAGATAGGTGGGCCATGAATAAATGGAGAAACTCTTGCGGGAGGATATGGATGATATTTACCTCATCATATCAAGGTTTCCAACTTGTTTATCTTTATGTGGTTGCTAATTGTGGATTCCGAGAAATGAATGTGAGATATTAAAGGGCTACGCCCTCTGCCGCCGACCCCTGGACACTGGAGGGTCATGCCTGCCTCTGTGTCGTAAGCATGAAATGAACCCTAAAGAAACCAGAAACTGACCTAAACAAACCATTTGTATGTGCGTTTGGCACTGTGCACATGCAAGCAGCATGGACCCCTGCAGGATGACACGCACAACTATGTGCTCTGACACTTTTTCATGGCTCAAGAAATAGGAGCTTTCGTCATTGGGCAGGTGTCTTGGGGACCTAAAGGGTTGCTCTAGCACTTAAGACCCATACCCGAAGCCCCCGTTCGTAACCGCAGTATGAAACTTTAAATGGCATCCTAAAGAGACCCGAGACGACACTGCACTGCCAACTGCCACCCTGCTCGTGTCCTCCTGGAGCCGGCTTTCGTTCTGCACCGCTTCGGTCCAAGCTGGAGTCCAAGGACCGTGTCGCAGGGCTAAAACACCATGGCAGTGAAGGACGGATTGGGCCCGCGGCCCGTATCCTAGACTGCCAAACGTCACTTTCTGAACCGACTAGAAACTAGCTCCAAACCTTGACTTTTCCTGCGTTTCTGCACTGCCAACTGCCACCCTGCTCGTGTCCTCTGGAGCCGGCTTTCGTTCTGCACCGCTTCGGTCCAAGCTGGAGTCCAAGGACCGTGTCGCAGGGCTAAAACACCATGGCAGTGAAGGACGGATTGGGCCCGCGGCCCGTATCCCAGACTGCCAAACGTCACTTTCTGAACCGACTAGAAACTAGCTCCAAACCTTGACTTTTCCTGCGTTTCTGCACTGCCAACTGCCACCCTGTCGTGTCCTCCTGGAGCCGGCTTTCGTTCTGCACCGCTTCGGTCCAAGCTGGAGTCCAAGGACCGTGTCGCATGGCTAAAACACCACGGCAGTGAAGGATGGATTGGGCCGCGGCCCGTATCCCAGACTGCCGTCACTTTCTGAACCGACTAGAAACTAGCTCCAAACCTTGACTTTTCCTGCGTTTCTGCACTGCCAACTGCCACCCTGCTCGTGTCCTCCTGGAGCCGGCTTTCGTTCTGCACCGCTTCGGTCCAAGCTGGAGTCCAAGGACCGTGTCGCAGGGCTAAAACACCATGGCAGTGAAGGACGGATTGGGCCCGCGGCCCGTATCCCAGACTGCCAAACGTCACTTTCTGAACCGACTAGAAACTAGCTCCAAACCTTGACTTTTCCTGCGTTTCTGCACTGCCAACTGCCACCCTCCTGGAGCCGGCTTTCGTTCTGCACCGCTTCGGTCCAAGCTGGAGTCCAAGGACCGTGTCGCAGGGCTAAAACACCATGGCAGTGAAGGACGGATTGGGCCCGCGGCCCGTATCCCAGACTGCCAAACGTCACTTTCTGAACCGACTAGAAACTAGCTCCAAACCTTGACTTTTCCTGCGTTTCTGCACTGCCAACTGCCACCCTGCTCGTGTCCTCCTGGAGCAAACGTCACTTTCTGAACCGACTAGAAACTAGCTCCAAACCTTGACTTTTCCTGCGTTTCTGCACTGCCAACTGCCACCCTGCTCGTGTCCTCCTGGAGCCGGCTTTCGTTCTGCACCGCTTCGGTCCAAGCTGGAGTCCAAGGACCGTGTCGCAGGGCTAAAACACCATGGCAGTGAAGGACGGATTAGGCCCGCGGCCCGTATCCCAGACTGCCAAACGTCACTTTCTGAACCGACTAGAAACTAGCTCCAAACCTTGACTTTTCCTGCGTTTCTGCACTGCCAACTGCCACCCTGCTCGTGTCCTCCTGGAGCCGGCTTTCGTTCTGCACCGCTTCGGTCCAAGCTGGAGTCCAAGGACCGTGTCGCAGGGCTAAAAACACCATGGCAGTGAAGGACGGATTGGGCCCCGGCCCTATCCCAGACTGCCAAACGTCCTTTCTGAACCGACTAGAAACTAGCTCCAAACCTTGACTTTTCCTGCGTTTCTGCACTGCCAACTGCTTTCCTGCACTCTGCCATGCCACCCTGTCGTGTCCTCCTGGAGCCGGCTTTCGTTCTGCACCGCTTCGGTCCCACTGGAGTCCAAGGACCGTGTCGCAGGCTAAAACACCAGGCAGTGAAGGACGGATTGGGCCCGCGGCCCGTATCCTTAGACTGCCAAACATCACTTTCTGAACCGACTAGAAACTAGCTCCAAACCTTGACTTTTCCTGCGTTTCTGCATTGCCAACTGCCACCCTGCTCGTGTCCTCCTGGAGCCGGCTTTCGTTCTGCGGCCCGTAGCCCAGAGTGCCAAACGTTACTTTCTGAACCGACTAGAAACTAGCTCCAAACCTTGACTTTACCTGCGTTTCTGCACTGCCAACTGCCAACCTGCTCGTGTCCTCCTGGCGCCGGCTTTCGTTCTGCACCGCTTTGGTCCAAGCTGGAGTCCAAGGACCGTGTCGCAGGGCTAAAACACCATGGCAGTGAAGGACGGATTGGGCCCGCGGCCCGTATCCCAGACTGCCAAACGTCACTTTCTGAACCGACTAGAAACTAGCTCCAAACCTTGACTTCCTGCGTTTCTGCACTGCCAACTGCCACCCTGCTCGTGTCCTCCTGGAGCCGGCCTTCGTTCTGCACCGCTTCGGTCCAAGCTGGGGTCCAAGGACCGTGTCGCAGGGCTAAAACACCATGGCAGTGAAGGACGGATTGGGCCCGCGGCCCGTATCCCAGACTGCCAAACGTCACTTTCTGAACCGACTAGAAACTAGCTCCAAACCTTGACTTTTCCTGCGTTTCTGCATTCCCAACTGCCACCCTGCTTGTGTCCTCCTGGAGCCGGCTTTCGTTCTGCACCGCTTCGGTCCAAGCTGGAGTCCAAGGACCGTGTCGCAGGGCTAAAACACCATGGCAGTGAAGGACGGATTGGGCCCGCGGCCCGTATCCCAGACTGCCAAACGTCACTTTCTGAACCGACTAGAACTAGCTCCAAACCTTGACTTTTCCTGCGTTTCTGCACTGCCAACTGCCACCCTGCTCGTGTCCTCCTGGAGCCGGCTTTCGTTCTTTCTGCTCCAAACCTTGACGTTTCCTGCGTTTCTGCACTGCCAACTGCCACCCTGCTCGTGTCCTCCTGGAGCCGGCCTTCGTTCTGCACCGCTTCGGTCTAAGCTGGAGTCCAAGGACCGTGTCGCAGGGCTAAAACACCATGGCAGTGAAGGACGGATTAGGCCCGCGGCCCGTATCCCAGACTGCCAAACGTCACTTTCTGAACCGACTAGAAACTAGCTCCAAACCTTGACTTTTCCTGCGTTTCTGCACTGCCAACTGCCACCCTGCTCGTGTCCTCCTGGAGCCGGCTTTCGTTCTACACCCTGCTTCGGTGCCACCCTGCTCGTGTCGTCCTGGAGCCGGCTTTCGTTCGGCACCGCTTCGGTCTAAGCTGGAGTCCAAGGACCGTGTCGCAGGGCTAAAACACCATGGCAGTGAAGGACGGATTGGGCCTGCGGCCCGTATCCCAGACTGCCAAACGTCACTTTCTGAACCAACTAGAAACTAGCTCCAAACCTTGACTTTTCCTGCGTTTCTGCACTGCCAACTGCCACCCTGCTCGTGTCCTCCTGGAGCCGGCTTTCGTTCTGCACCGCTTCGGTCCAAGCTGGAGTCCAAGGACCGTGTCGCAGGGCTAAAACACCATGGCAGTGAAGGACGGATTGGGCCCGCGGCCCGTATCCCAGACTGCCAAACGTCACTTTCTGAACCGACTAGAAACTAGCTCCAAACCTTGACTTTTCCTGCGTTTCTGCACTGCCAACTGCCACCCTGCTCGTGTCCTCCTGGAGCCGGCCTTTCGTTCTGCACCGCTTCGGTCCAAGCTGGAGTCCAAGGACCGTGTCGCAGGGCTAAAACACCATGGCAGTGAAGGACGGATTGGGCCCGCGGCCCGTATCCCAGACTGCCAAACGTCACTTTCTGAACCGACTAGAAACTAGCTCCAAACCTTGACTTTTCCTGCGTTTCTGCATTGCCAACTGCCACCCTGCTCGTGTCCTCCTGGAGCCGGCTTTCGTTCTGCACCGCTTCGGTCCAAGCTGGAGTCCAAGGACCGTGTCGCAGGGCTAAAACACCATGGCAGTGAAGGACGGATTGGGCCCGCGGCCCGTATCCCAGACTGCCAAACGTCACTTTCTGAACCGACTAGAAGCTAGCTCCAAACCTTGACTTTTCCTGCGTTTCTGCACTGCCAACTGCCACCCTGCTCGTGTCCTTCTGGAGCCGGCTTTCGTTCTGCACAAACTCTTCGCCCCTTCTGGCATCTTGTTGCTAGTAAGGCCTCCTCTGACGCGCTCCCCCTGCTGACGGCAGGGGTCGGCGGATTGCAGGACGCAATATGACGCAAAACATGTGAAAGTGAAAACGCGAGTATTGACAGTGGGAGTGGCAAAGAGGAGAGCATGCAACAGCAATGGTTGAAACCATGCTCGAATAGATTCAAAGGCCATACGACCATACTGTGTTTTCCTCCTTGACTGAATAGGTGACCATCCAATTAGGACTTTGTTGCCCCAAAGACTTCATGTTGCCATGGCCCAATGGCCATGTCCATTGATTTACAGGTGCAGCATTCCCATTAGTTTTCACTATGCAAGATTAGATTTCAAACCAAAATCATGGGTTTGATCCTGATTTTTGCAGCTTAAAACTAAGGTTTCAAAGTTATATTTTCTATATAACGTTCACATTTATTGTAGTTTAGTGACCCCCCTCGTTATAACCCTTTTGTCGGGTGTATCAACCGTTGTGGCGCTTAAATCGGTGTCATTTTAGAAACGGGTCAGGCATTTATAAAATGACACAGGATTTTAGCACAGAGTGCCAGTTTATAAGGAACATGTTTTTTTAACATCAATGGATCTCAGATTTTATAACATTTGGATTTGTCATTTTGTAAAACCAGCCTTCCGGAATTATCATAATATATATATATGGATTTATATGGGATATCCGAATATTATAAGGGGTTATTATCATACCCAAAAGGGTTATTATCATAACTATGGCCTTAAAACCAGCCTTTGGGGTATCCTTTTTTCCGATGGCTTCATATCCGTCCCAGGATCTGGGGCATTCTGATCTCCGGTCAGAAGTACAAAGCCATGGACTGGCTCATCGCGGCAGGAGCGAAAAACCGGTCAAGGGACGATTTTTTTCAGAAAATCCATCGATTTTTGCCATGGCATCATATGGGGAGTGGCTGTTTGCCATATTTTTTTCCTTTCAAACTACTTTTGGATTTGGATTGGCTGAGGGTAGTAGCCTTTTTTTTTGCCAAATGGCAACTTTCTCAAGTAACAAGTATCTTCAAGTGTTGTTTTGACAAGTTTGGCACCATATACTGTAGTCTCCCTGGAATAAACTGCCTTTATTTTATTCCGCAGGAGTCACAGGAGGTGTCACTGCATTTCTGCTGACAGGTCGGGGGGATGGGGGCAGTTCGGGGTTTGATATATGATCATTCCCATGTCCACCGGTCATAATGAACCAACATTTGGGTTTTATGATGGTTTTATGATGGTTTTATATATGGTTTTATGATGAATTATAATGATTGTCCCTAATGTGCCACTTTTATGGGGCTCATGATCGTTGTTTGGTATGTTGGGATATAATTGGGCTGGTTCTCATTAATATGTTCCCGCAATCAGGATCAGCCCCCCCACAAATTGGAGCCCAACACATCATCAGAGACCCAGTACAACAAAGTTTCTCTGGTGTTTTCTATTGGGGGAAGGGATTGTGGCTCGAGTTCAATGTTCAGGGGCAGCAGAGCATAGTAGAGCACAGATGTTTGTCATTCTTAGTACCTGCATAGCTGCATAACATTGCATAACTATAAAACATTAAAGACTATCAGCATTCAATTTTAACACATTTTAACCACAGTTTTGGTTCCATCCCAAAGTTAATACTGAGGTTTGAGATGTTTTTCGACGGCGGGGGATCAAAATCATCGGTTGGGTCTCACGACTCTGTCCATGCAAACGGATGGGCATTGGTGCTGCATCCCATTGTATGTGATTGTGATTTATGCATCTTTATACATATTTATACCCTCTGGCAATCAAAGTTGGATTGTTTTTTTTTAATCCCCCATTTCTAGATGTTTTCTTCCTATTCAAAACTTCCAAAAATAGGGGGGATTTTCCTATTCTGGCAGGTGAGACCAAGTCGAAGCATTCCTCCAAAGATAGCCCGAGACCTGGGGAATTTTTGGGCCAAATGCTGGGGAAATGATGGGGAAATGGAGATGGATGACTGGATGACAGTCATTCATTGCTGAGCATCTTTGACCATGTTTGTTTTTGACTCACTATAATTAAGAGTGTGATTGTTTTGATGATGATGATGATGTTGTTGTTGATGATGATGATGCTGTTGATGATGATGATGTATGGTGATTTTAATCAGCAACAATGCGGGGATAGCACTACGTCGTGTTTTCAGGTCACAATGGATCTTGAGATCTTGTCCACAAGGTCAGATCCCCTTGAGACCCCATGTTTGAGCCATGACAAATTTCGGAAGACTCTTGTGTCACTTGATATACAACTGCTATCAATTAATATCACATCTTATTTGTATCAGGCTTGATGTGGCGCCACTTGGAACATTCCCAAGTATTCCTTCCAGGGTGGTCCATCTTTTGGCATTGTAGGCATAGCTTAGTGCGCTGTGCCTATCCATTTCTCAGGGAATCCCTGAGCATACAGGAAACATCGCTGAGCATAGTCATTTTGAACATCTATCAGAATTTATCAAGATAATACCAAGACCACGATATCAAACACTGTTGCGTGTGATGCACGCGTCTTTCCACGCGGTGTCTGCAGACACTGCAGGCAGCGTCTATGGTTTGCTACTCCTGTGCTGCTTCCTTGCATGCGCCCTTTGGCTGCGCTTTCCAAGCGATTTGGAGAAGTCACTTCCCACGGGATCAGTATGATGGTTGTACACTGTACATATATGTACATATAAGATATATTTATAGTGACATAATATATATTTATTTATATTGTAATATTATGATATATATATATATACAGTATATATGTGTATGTGTATTTATATGTGCATATACATATATGTGTGTTTTAGTAATTTAGTGCATGTGCAGTTGTACAATACAATGCTTCACATGTCCAGAAACGTGACATCACATTTATGGTTTAAGCTCAAGGCTTAAGGTGGATATGGGCTGTTGATGGCTACCCAGTGGGGAAAAACATATTACCCAACTCAGTGATATGTCCAGTTTTTTGTTGCTTCAACTGGTATCATATCCCGTTCTTATGTTTTTGTATATTTTTACATATGAATGATTCGGGTTTTGAAATGTGTGTGTGTGAGGTACTGTCTGTCCTTTTTCTTGCCTCTTTCTGTCCTCTTTCCCTTTCCTCGCTTTTTCCGCTCGTCTTCCTTTTGCTTTTCTCTGTTTACTCTTCCTTGCCTCTCTTCCTTTCCTATTCCTTTCCTCTTCTCTAAATTTCCTGTCCTTTTCCTTTCCTCTTCTGTTAATGTTCTGTCCTTTTCCTTTCCTCTTCTTTTCCTTGTTCTGTCATTTTTTTCCGCAGGTGCAAAACCACAGCACCCTCCAAAAGTGATACCCCTTTTGGGAGCAAGGCAAAACAAAAAAAAAATGTTTGACATATTTTGCCAATGGCTCATATGAAGAGAGATAGGTAGATTCATAAATTCAGACAGCTTCCCTTTTTCACCATCCAATGGATTAAACCTACCTTTTCCATCCTTTTCCTACCTCTGTCGGCTTAAATCGGAATCGCTTCACCATCCACTGATGGATTCAGACCCTCGCCAGGACGGTTTCACATCGACTTTTCAGGAAAAATTGTTCAAGGACGTCCGGCACGGATGTTCGCACGACCCGTTCTAAGGATGGAATGTTTGTTGACATTGGTCAATGGATTCTCAATGGATTGTGTAGAATACAAAACCATATATATACATATAATACTAATTGGTGTATATTACATAGCATATATCTACATTAATATGATTGAAAAAATGACATGTTTTCTATACTTACACAGTTACACACAATTAACTTTGTGGTAGTCATATAACATGATTTTAACACAAACTTCTGTTGTCGACCTTCCGGCCATTCCCGCGCCGGATGATGGCAGTATCAGGCATCGAATTGGGGACACCATAGCTTGGATGTGCACCCCACTTGGTAGGTGGATCATAAACCACCAGAACTGAATCAAAACAATTATGGGTATGGATCAATACCTATGAAAATACCATTTTTAGTGGGATGAACATCCATTTTAACCCAGCTATTTTGATGTGAACGGAAGGGGTACTATTGGTTTTGACACACTTGCCATATGTATAATGTATACATGACATTTAATTATGGACAGTATAATAAGAAGAACAATAATAAGAACCATCATTTTACAATACGTATAATGATACAACAATGTGTAACAGGATATGCAAAAATTTTAACAATCATGATTCATAATTCATGAACCAGTTGTATAAAGAAATTAATTATAGCCATATTATATGTATAGATAAGAGTTTTGCCAAATTTGGCACGTGCTGCGAACATGTCCTTTCTTGTTAGCCAAGACCAAAATAATCCTGGCACCATGGGTGGCGGGTTCCCAGGAGCACAAGACATCCAAATACAACCAGATGCTCTACGAATCTTGGCTCAGCAGAAGTTGGATATGTTGGATACACTCTGGGTTTCACTGTCACATAACTATGGAAAGATCCACCATGCTATTAATGGGAAAATCCACTATTTCAATGGCCATGGCTTCAATAGCTATTTTGACATAACCTGAGGGTACAATGAATAGTTAATATACCTATACTATCCTATACTTGGATAGTCTTGGATGTGCATGATTCATAATGGACCAGGCCGGGTATGTTGTTTTATCAGAGGGAAACCCAACTTGAAAAGATGATCCTCCATCAGATTCGAAATTTATGCAGCCTGGCCTGTTTGAAATGCAAGCAGTGAACCACTTGTCCCAGCGTTTTTTTTCGGCTGGTTATCTCCATATATTTTAAATCAGTACAAGTACAATGTGAGGCCCCCAAGATATAAGTTGGTTTATAAGCCCCAGTAACTATAGTTATAAGTACCATAAACCATAGTTATTGAAGTTATAAACCAAGTTAGCTATCTAGGGGGCCCCACCTTGTAGGCTAAAGAATTGTTATTTTATGGTATGTTTATTCTCCAGTAATTTCACGAAGCTAAGGACAAGTGCCTATTTGTAAGTGATTTTTAGCTGTTAATTTCACGTGATGTTCCAGTTCGCTATGCACCCGGCTATGCCAGAGGGTAACCACCACAGAATGGATTTATAACCGGTGGTTTCAAAGATATATTTCCTGATTTCAACCTGTTGAAAAACTATAATATCTAGGGATGTGTAGTCCACTCAAAACCAACTTTACTATCATCAATCATATAGAAATCCCATGGTAAATACATAGTGGTTAATAATGGTTTGTAATGATTAATAAAGGGTGATAATGGTTCATAATGGTTAATTTGGTTTAGTTAGTAGTGGATCAAATTTCATGAAATCCCGATGTTTGTTGATCCTGATTTTTGCTGTTTACCTTCCCATCAAACGAACATCGACGTGGAAAACCCACCAGAAATGTTGTAGTTGATTTACCCTGGTGTAACTTCCCAAAAGGTGAGGCCCCTCCAGTTATAAGTTGGTCTACGTTCCCATTATAGCTAATACAGCTAATCACCCATTATTGCATCCATAAGCCTTAAGATTCACCCAGTTATAAGTCAACTTAGCCTTAAATCAGCTATAAATCCCCAAAAATTCCCTACGTTTCTTGGTGGAGTCCCCCATGTTCAACAACGCTGTGCAGGTGAACAGCAGCAGTTCGGTGGTGTCCTTTGTGACGCTGATCGCCAGCAGTGGCCTTTTCCAGGATGCGGATGGCGCGGGGAGATGATGAATGGATCATGTGGATATTGATGCCATGTGGGTATGGATCAATACCCTCTGGTAATTTAACGTAGATATTGAAAATGGCCATTTATAGTGGATTTTCCCATTAAAAATGGCGATTTTCCATAGCTATGTGATTTTCCATAGCTATGTTAAATTACCAGAGGGTACCTATGAAAATACCATTTTTAGGGGGATGAACATCCATAAATCCCAGCTATTTTGATGTGAACGGAAGGGGTACTATTGGTTTTGACACACTGCCATGTGGGTAAAACAATGCCATAAATCACCATAGATAGGTGGTATAAACCAATCAATTAATACACCAAGTCATCACCATAGATAGGTGGTATGGTTACCATTCCCAAATTGGGATGCGCATGAAAAACCCTCTCTGATGGTAAATGGTGCCAATGTCACTAGCAAAATAGGGAGGGTTGTCAAAACAGTTAACAACTAGGTTTTATGGTCATCTATGATCTATGGTGAAGATATCTAGCCATGTTGAAACTATATATATATATATAAAGATATAATGTGGGCAAAACAATGCCATAAACCATCCCCCAGTCATCACCATTTTTTAAGGCGGTATGGTTATCATTCCCAGTCATGGGTGGTTTATGACATTGTTTTATCCACATTAATGGACTGACCATAGACCTGGTAAGTTGAATGTTGATTCATATCTCCACATGGGGAGTTTTAATAAATATGTGGTGTCTTTTCATCTTCCCATAATAGACCAGTTTGATATGTCCAATCATCTCCCCATAATCCTATTTTAGTGTCAGTTGTTGAGTCTTGTCAGCCTCAGATTCCCACTGATTTCAATCCTTTGGCACCTTGGCCCAAAACATCTCGTGAATAGGGACCCCTTTTGCCTTTGTGACGCTCTGTCGAGCGTGTGATGCTACGTGGCTGATCCTTTGCTGCAAAATCAGTGCTGCAGCGTTGGTGCCTTGGGGACACCGTGGACGTGAAGGACTTGCAGTTGTCCTTGTTTTTACTTGATCTAGGTGATCATCAAATTATCTGGTTGACCACATCTTTTCTTAGCATCAGCATCTGTGGAATCTGCCAGCTACCAACTGGTAAGCGGAGCCTACGGGCTTCCTATCAGTGGGGGTGTGCACGTGGCTGCTTGGTGGCGATTTGTTTGTGAAGCAACTGATTTGTCTCTGAGTTTTTGGCCAAGAACCTTTTTGACTCAGAGGGTGCGAGTATTTTGTGTGAACAACTCCACTGACTGCTTGTTACTCCTCTTTCTTTGCAACCTTCTTTGTGCAGTTTTTCTTCGACATGACGTCACTAGAGAAACGAGATCAGATAGTGACCTGGGATGGAAATCCAGCAACATGGACTGAGTATGTGAAAAGGGTTAGATTCCAGTATGAGAAAACAGAGCCTCGCAAAAGACGTCTATTGGGTGCTGAACTAGCTTCCAGACTCACCAATAGAGCTTGGGAAGTAACCGCTGCAGAGATAGACCATGTCCAGCTTCAACGAAGCGACGGAGCTGCATATCTTCTGAAGTTTTTGGAGGACAAACTCTGCAAAGCACCAATTCCAGACACTGGTCAAAGACTTGAGGACATGCTGATCCGTCTGAGACGGACACCAGGCGCCTCCATGACGGAGTGGGCGACTCAAGTGCAGGAGACCTACCGTCGTTTGCAAAGGGCGATGGCTCGACAGCGAAGGGACAGTGAACTTCGCAAAGCTCAACTTGGAAACCCTGGACACACGGCACCAGTGCCGGAACAGACTCAAGAAGCTCAGAGACGTAGGTCAGATGTGACTTCACCGGCTCAAGAGCGGCAATCCCACACTCCTACTGGTTCGCAAAGGTTTGGGAATGATGGCGATGACTTCAATCCCAATCCTGTGCCTGAAGGCGATCCAGGTCACGAAGATGCACCAGAGCCCAATCCAGATGGTTATCAACAAGTTCCCACGTCTGAGACCGGATCTAACCCGGGCCATTATGAGTGGTGGACACGTGCGCAATGGGATGATTGGTATGCCCAGCGACGTCGTTGGCGTGACAAACCTTCAGACGCCTCAACCAATGTTTCCTGGGATGACACTGATGATGTCAAAGTTCAATGGGAACAGTTTGACTATGGTGAAATGCAGATTCTTCCCGAAGAGATTCTAGGATGGATTCTACTGCGACGCAGTGGCCTGCCTGCGAGTGCCAGGCTTTCCATCTTGTCTGCCATCAACAACTGTTTGGACTTCTCAGTGATGGAACGGGCCATGAGGGATCAAGAAGAAGAGCTGCTGGTGACTGAGGCCCAGAGAAGCCATGGAGCAGTTCAGCGGCCTCGGCGTTCCTTTTGGATTGAGTCTGAAGGTCAATGGGGTTTGTTAGCGGAGACAGAACTGGATGAGATCAATGAAAACTCCATTCACTGGGTTGGTGATCACTTGCCAGCAGAAGTCTATACTGCAACAGCCCCCGAGCTGACAGATGATGAACAAGTCTGGGTGACCCAGCTCCCCAATGGTCAAGAACTTGAGTGGCAATGGCATGATGATGATTTCTATGCCATGGATGTGAACGGATGTTTTTGGAGCTGGTCAGAGACGAAGACTTGGCTCGACTTTGAGGAGTGCATGGCGTCAGCTCCAGCAGATGCCAAGCAGTTTGAAGAGGTCTATGCGAACTTCCAAGATCGCATCCGCACCTGCAAGGAGAGCAGGACTTTGAATACGGCTAAACATCTGTCACGTGGTTATTACCCCCTAAGCATGATGAAGGGTAAAAGTAAGGGCCAAGGTAAAGGTAAGAATCCCCGATGGGGTGGAAAGAAGGGATCAAGTTCCAACCCTGCTCAAGCTCTCATGAACTCCAAGGGAGGCCACACTAGCTCTGCTCCTACGGGCACTGGTCCTCAACGTCCTGGCAATCCAGGATACAAGGGCTGCTTTGTTTGTGGTTCTCGTGAACATGACTTTCGGACCTGCCCGAAGCGACAGCAGCCCACCGCACCTTCTAGCTCTTCCAGCAGACCTGTGCACTACTCCCACTCCGTGCTCAATGCTACCATCTTCATGGTATCTGGCGAGACAGAGAATGTCATGGGCATTCCTGATGAGACCATTCCTGTTTCTGCTGAAGCGCTTGCGGTTTTGGCTCAGGAGTACCCTGGCCATGCAGTGATTGACTCAGGCGCAACTGAACCAATAGCCTCTTTGGAAGCCTTGGATGAAATCATGCAGTTGCGTAGCGAACGTTTTGGCAGTGAAGATGTCGTAGTGCACGAGCAGAAGAAGCGTTTTCGTTTTGGAAATGGTGAGATGAAGTGTGCAGAGTCTTTTGTAGAGCTTCCTCAGTTCTTGTCAGGGCACCCAGTGAACTGGGAGTACACGCCATGGATGCTCCGGGTGTTCCACTTTTGATTTCAGTGAAGACCTTGACACGTTTGCATGCAGTGGTAGATTTTTCGACAGCGGAGATTTGCTTCAAGTCCATTTCCGACAAGGTTTGGATTCCCCTGAAGCGTGCCAAGAATGGCCATCTTTTGCTGAATCTCACGCAGGACTGGTTTCATGGTGAGTCCAATGTGCTGCACGATGAAGTTTCACATGTTTCAGATGATGTCAAGTCCCCCGCACAGTATAAGAGTGCAAAGCAGATTGTCGAGATGGATTCAATGGTTTTGAGAGAGTGCAATGAGGTTCAGGTCTGCGAACGGAATAGGTTTAGTGATGCCCCAGTTTTGCATAATCATGACGGACATGAGTGTGATCTTCATGAGCAACTTCATCAACCTCATTCTATTTCGTCTTCATCTTTGCATACATCCTCTCATTCCGAACGTCAAGCATGTGATCAAGATGCCTCAGCCGATAGCAGCCAAGGCTCAAGCATGAGAGTGGGTCTGCCCCTACTCGCTGCAATCTGTGCGACAACATCCTCTCCGACGTGCCATGTCCCATCAAGCGGGATACCAATCCGAGAAGAACGACCAGGCCACTGCACCTTCAGCAGTGGCAAAGGAGAAGCCGAAGGCAAAGCCGAAGACATCAGCTTCTCGAAAGAACCGGGAGCCCTCCAGCGAACGCTACGACTGGAGCAGGGCGGAATATGCCGACCCCCGGGACAGCCGCTGTCAAGGCTTCCCCTGCTGGGGACAGCACCAACCCGAGAAGGAGGGACGAGGATCTCTCAGCGGCAGGAACGGACATGCCAAATGGGAAGTCTGCTCAGTGTGCCGATTACGCACCCTGTATGTTCCAACTCATGGCAGCAAAGGGACATACAGGAGCGCAGGACCTTTACCTGCGGATGCTGCACGAGCCATGGAGAAGGTCAAGGACACCATCCTCACAGTCCCCGAGGATCGGGAGACTTTGACCACCAAGGCTGTGGGGATCAGCGGTGCGAAGGAATCCCTTTTGAAGAAGCTTGCCAAGTTGGAGAACGAGGAGAAAGCTCTTCAGACCAAAGGATCCTCACAGGCAACGGCCTCTGCTACACCGCCTCCAAAGACTGTCACCGAGGTTTCCAAGAAAGCGGCGAAGCGAGATCAGGAGACCACACCGGAGAAGTTGGAGGAGGAGACGGAGGGCTGGGTGGAAGTCAAGAAGTGAGGACGGGTCACTTGTCCCCAGAGGCTCATGCTATGCTTCTGCAAAGTGGCATGGACTATATCGAGGACGCCAACGCCGCCCTTGATGAGCTCTATGGCCAGCGTGTGGAACTGATGGAAATTTGCTGCCCCACTGACTCCAGACTCACAGAAACCTTTTTGAAAAAGGGCAGATCCGCTATACGAATTGGCCTGCCTGCCTTTGACCTCAAGACCAAAGCAGGCCTCACCGAACTGAAGGGCATGTTGCGCAAACATCGGCCGGCGCTGGCGTGGTTCTCTTTGCCATGTGGGCCCTACAGTCCTTTGCAGACTCTGTTCAACGAGTCCAATCCTGAGGCGAAAGCCAAAAGTGAAGAGCGGAAAAGACAGTCGCGGAAGTTGATCCGCAATGGCATTGAAGCGGCACGTGAACAGCTTCTACTTGGCGGACATGTTGGCTGGGAGTGGCCATCTAACAATGGTGGATGGAACCTGCGAGAAATGAGAGCTTTTCTGAAAGAATTGGAAGAGCTACAATGCTATCACCGAGTGCATGTGGATGGATGTGCCTTTGGACTCCTCAGCGCCAAGGGCAACCCTCTACGAAAGCCATGGAAAATTGTTTTGACAAGTGAGACTTTAGCTGCTGCTCTTGGAAGACGGTGTCCAGGTCACTCCTTCCATGATGAGTGCATCGGTGGTGAGGAAGCGAGAAAATCTGGTTTTTATCCACAAGCCATGTGCGATGCAATTCAACGTGCAGTTCATGAGATGATCAATGAGACCCAGCATGGTGTTTTTGCTGAAGCCTTTCCAGTTTTTGACACAAAGGGGACAGAGTATGAGCCAAGGAAGGCAGAGTATGAACCCCTTACAGAGAATGAGAGAAAGGCGTCACAAAAACTTTTAGACAAGCTGCACCGCAAAACAGGACACCCTTCAAATACTGCTTTAGCTGCGACCCTACGACACCGTGGGGCACATCCTGAAGTTTTGGAGATGGCAAAAAAGCTGTTTTGCGATGATTGTCAAGAGTTGCGTATGGCACCGCTGCATGACTCTGTTTCTTTGGAAAAGTCAGAGACACTGTGGGAAACCTTGGTGATTGACAATGCGGAGTTTCCAGCAGATGGCAAGGTCATGCATTGCCTCATGATGATTGATGAAGCCTCTCGTTTGCTATGTCCTCATTTTCTGTTTGAGCATTCTGACCAGGAGAATCGAAACTGCACTGGCCAGGAAGCTGTTGAAGGAATCCGTGATTCTTGGATTCGCCATTATGGTGCTCCAGCATGCATCCGGCTGGATCCAGAAGGAGCCTTTCGTTCTGGAGAACTTCAACAATGGTGCTCAGAGAGAAGCATAGAGGTGCTTCCGTGCGTTGCGGAGTCTCATGGTCAAATAGGAATCATAGAGAGGGCAATTCAAACTGTGAAAGCCACAGTGAGACAGCTGCTGCAGTCCTCAGAGTTTTCACCTTGGGAGGCAGTAGTACACGCATGTCAATCACACAATGAGCTTGACAAGATAGAAGGCTACACTCCTTATCAATGGGCTTTTGGAAGACAACCAACTCATGCTGGACGTTTTCATGACAAGAGTTTTGATGACCCCTTCTGGACATCATCAGCAGTCCCGGGCAGCAGCATGGCAACCAATCTGAAGCTGAGGGTGCGAGCTCAGCAGACTTTCTTGCGACAACAAGCACAAGAACAAGTGAGTCGTGCTCTCAATGCGAAGACTCGCAGAAATCAGATTTTTCTGCCTGGTGACATGGTCTACTTCAAGAGAGTGAAACCGCCGGCTCAGCCAGCTGCAGCCACGCGGATGGGTCACAAGCTATGGCGATGGTATGGTCCAGGTCGAGTCTTGGCTTCGGAAACCAGAAGTGATGCCTATGGATGTGAGCGTAGGCCCACGCATGTGATCTGGATAGTGACGCATGGAAGATTGAAACGCTGTTCACCAGACCAGCTGCGTCATGCTTCAGAACGAGAACGGATGATAGCAGAGAACTCACAATCTCCTAGCACTACATGGACTTTCCACAGCATGGCTCAAACTTTGGTGAAGGGTGAGTTTGAAATCTTGGATCAAAATGTTTTTCCTGGTGATGGTGAGCGAATGGCAGCGCCAAGAACTCCACGAGCACGATCTCTCAGCCGTCCTCGTGGAGATGTTGCTCAGCCTGCGTCAGTTAGGAGTAGGTCTGTTCCAAGAAGCCAAGAGCTAACAAAGACCTCACAAAAATTTGTTGAGACCGGGGCCAGCGGTGAAGAGGCACACCAGAAAGCTGACCCCGGAAATATGACCCTTCAAGAACTTTTGGACCAGGATGACAGCGGTGGAAGGGCACACCAAAAAGCTGCATCCAAGAAAACAAACAAAAGCCAATTAGAAGGGCAACAAGACGGGAGAGACCACAAACTGGCTAAGGTAACACCAGGAGTTAGTAGTAGGTCTAGGGCCCGTAGTTCAGATCCTAGCAGCGTCCCCACAAGTGGTGTACGCTTAGAAAGTCTTGATGGCATCGATCTGGAACGCTATCTGCGTGATCCTGCGTATGAGCCAACTCCAAGTGCCGTGGTGAAAGAGCGCCCAACTTCTGATCTTTTTCAACAACCTTTGTTCAAGAAGCAACGCAAAGAGCATTTTGGAGATGATGATCCTTTTGCTGGCTATGTTGCACAGAACAAAGTTGAGTGGCATCCTAAGATGGTGTGTACTTTGGAATTGCCTCTGCCTGAGACCTCTAGGGAGTGGAAGCGTCTGAAACGTGAGCCTCAATCCTTCTTCGTGAAGAAAGTTCGAAGTGCAGAAGTGAAATGGCATCTTCTCTCTCCAGAAAAGAAGGAGGCATTTCAGGCGGCAAAGCAGGCAGAGGTGGACCAATGGATTCAAGCAGAAGCTGTCAAGAGGGCAGTGGGACCAATTCCAAAAGGGCGAACTCTGAAAACACGGTGGGTGCTCACCTACAAGGAGAGCGGCGCACCAAAAGCTCGAATAGTGCTGATTGGATACCAGGACCCAGACCTGGAGTCGCTCCAGTCTAGTGCACCGACCATGTCTCGGAGGACAAGACAGGTGGCCCTCCAGTATTCTTCAGTGAGACAATGGCGCCTTCTCAAGGCCGACGTCAAAGCCGCCTTCCTACAGGGCGAAGCCACTGAAAAGGACCGACTGGTCTATGCTTTGCCAGTACCCGAACTGGCAGCTGCGCTTGGTGTGAGCCCCAATGAAGCCGTTCAGGTTCTCAAGGCATGCTATGGTCTGGTGACAGCACCAGCCCGATGGTTTCAATGCATTTCCAAGACCCTGAAAGAACTTGGCTTCCACCAGTGCAAGAGCGACCCATGTCTATGGATTTTTCTTTGCGCGGATGAACGAGGTGAGATGCAGACCCAGGGTTACATATGTTCTCATGTGGATGATTTCATCATTTCTGGCAATAAGCAGTGCGAAGAATGGTGCAAAGCCTTGGAAGATTTTCATGGGCGCTTTAGATGGAGCCCGTGGGAAGCCCAGTCATTTCTCCATTGCGGCATTCGTCTACGGGAAGAGCTGGATTTTAGTTTCTCCTTGGACCATTCCACCTTTTGTGAGAACATTGAGCAGATCACCTATGAGAAGCGTGCCGACCACGAGCGCGTCACCGATGATGAACTGACTCAGCTTCGGGGAGTGCTAGGTGCGTTGCAATGGCGCTCACACCAGACAGCACCTCACTTAGCTTCCAGGCTTGGTCAGTTGCAAAGTGAAATATCAAAAGCGACGGTTGGTACCCTGAAAGCTGCTAACAGATTGGTAAGGGAATGTTTTCAAACCAGACACTTGTCCACTAGAATCAACCAATTGGATGTTTTAGATCCAAAGGATGTGTGTTTTGTAGCATGGTCGGACGCAGCATTGGCCAATCGCGTCGACTTTGGCTCTACTGGTGGATTTCTGGTTGCTGCAGCAAACCCTTGCATCTTGCGTGGCGAACCTTCTCCTCTTTCTTTGATCTCATGGCGCTCTGGCAAGCTGGGTCGAAAATCACGATCGTCTTTGTCTGCAGAGGCGCAAGCGCTCTCTGAAGCAGATCAAGAGCTGATGTTCGTAAGGCTGGCTTGGAGTGAGTTGTGTGGCATTGCCGTTGACTTGAGAAAGGCTGATGAAAGCATCAGCAAAATTTCCGGAACAGTAGTCATAGATGCAAAATCTCTTTTTGACGTCCTAGAGAAGCGAGAACTTAATTCGGCAGCAGTTGGTTTGAAAGATAAATACAGTGCTCTGGAAGTGTTATGTTTGCTGGAGTCAATAGAGCGACTGAAGACCGGCGTGAGATGGGTGCATTCGGACGCCCAATTGGCTGATGCCATGACCAAACCATTGCCGCCGGGAATTTTACATAAGGTCCTCCATGACGGAAAGTGGACTTTGTGTTACGATCCCAATTTCACGAGTGCCAAGAAATTGAAGGCGAGCCAACGTGCCAAATCCTTTCAAAACTTAAGGGACGTGTCAGTTGTTGAGTCTTGTCAGCCTCAGATTCCCACTGATTTCAATCCTTTGGCACCTTGGCCCAAAACATCTCGTGAATAGGGACCCCTTTTGCCTTTGTGACGCTCTGTCGAGCGTGTGATGCTACGTGGCTGATCCTTTGCTGCAAAATCAGTGCTGCAGCGTTGGTGCCTTGGGGACACCGTGGACGTGAAGGACTTGCAGTTGTCCTTGTTTTTACTTGATCTAGGTGATCATCGAATTATCTGGTTGACCACATCTTTTCTTAGCATCAGCATCTGTGGAATCTGCCAGCTACCAACATTTAGCCTCTGGTAAATTAAATGTTTGACCCTGAAAAGAAAACAGCCAACTTTTTGTGGAAGCTATTCTTCCAACCCCTGTCTGGCAGGGTCTATGTTAGTTTACCGGGAGGATAATCATAAGTTGACCAAATCATTTGTATATGACAGTAATATATAATTATGTGAATTTAGTATTAACGTACAATTAAAGATTTCCCAAAACATTAGTAGTATTGTAAAATGGATACTAATGTTACTGGAATACTGATAGGAATATGAATCGATACCAAGGTTTTTAGGAATATTAATGGGAAGATAATATGAATATATACATATATACATATATACTATACAATTCTTTCTGAATTATATATATATATACACCCATGTGATGATATTGGCCGATATTGGCCGATATTGGCCGGATATATATATATGCACATTATCTCATATATTAGTATAGAAATTGTGATATGAATGGGAATATGCATCGATACTAATGTTTATGCGAATAGAAATGGATACTAATATCACCTTTGTTTTTTAGTGATATTCATGGGAAGGTGATCTGGGAAAATCGTATGGAAATCAAAAATCTTTATGCACTGCTTGCTCAGAGACGCTGCTTCTCAGAACATGTATCTGGCTCAGGGTGGTTCGCTATTGTTTGATGTGTTCATGTTTTTTTTTCGAAAACCGCTGAGGGAGCGACGTGCCATTGAGGGGGAGAAAAAACACTGAACCTCGTGAATTCTCATACTCCGGTGTTTTGTGTTTTCTCGGGGACACTTGCTTCCTCAGCAGGTTTGGATTTATTCTTTCTGAACCAAACCCTCCAAAAAAAAAGTTGCGTGAGCGACATGCCATTGAGAGGGAGAAAGCGTATGAGAACAGAACGTTGGCGAAATGTAAAATATGGAATATACGTGGAGAGCCTCTAGTAAACTGATATTAGCTATGGCATAGATGGCCCATTGATGTAGCTATTTAAACGGGTGTTTTAATGGCTATCTTGAATCACCAGAGGGTATACGGGACGTATCACCTGGTTTATTGGGGATGTGAAATGGAAACCTGATATGGACATATACTATGGAATATGATGTACATATATATATATACGTATATATAATTATGTATATATATATATATAGAGTTACAACTACAAGCAACAATAGGGGATGTAATGGCATGTGGGGCAAATGCTACAATCCAAAGAAGGACACGTTTGCATCTTCAGACCTGGCTAGTAAAAGCCAAGTTGTTTTTAATCGGGCATCAGAGGTGAGCCGACAAAGACTAGAAGACTTGATGTCATGCTCAGTCAGCGAGTCGTATCACGGGGTAGTTCTACCCTCTGGTGATTTAACATAGCCATGGAAAATGGCCCATTTTTAGATGGTTTACCTATTAAAAATGGTGATTTTCCATGGCTATGTTAAATAACCAGATGGTATATATATAATGTTTTATAATATACATATAATATATCATATAATATTAGATAATATACATATATATATATATCCAAAATCGTGTTTGACAAATGCAGCCAGGGCCAGGTTGGTTTGTGTCGTTTGATTCGAAGAGATGCTTCTGGCCTGATAGAATACGACCTGGACAAAATGGGTGATATTCTGATTGATAGCCCAGTTTTCATCGGTTCACCATACCCGGTTTATATACATATAAAATGATGTATATATATATATATATATTTATGTATATATATATATATGCATATATTTATTTATTTATTTATATATTTATACATGTGTTATATATATATGTATATATATATATGCATATATTTATTTATTTATTTATTTATTTATATATTTATACATGTGTTATATATATATGTTTATTTCTACATGTTTACATGATAGATTACCACAGGGCTAATGTTGTTGGGATGACTTGAAACTAAAAATTCTCCATACCCGCAGGCCCTCGGCTTCATTCACAGGCCTGGGAAGTGCTACCGATTGTGGATGTGCATCCCACTTAACTAACTTAGTACCCTCTGGTTATGTCAAACATAGCTATTGAACATGGTGATTTATAGTGGATTTTCCCAGCTACAAAATGGTGGATCTTTCCATAGCAAAATGTGACAGTTTACCAGAGGGTAAGTGGTTGATAATCCATTAATCTAACCCAAATATCATCCCAAATATCATCCCATTTTTCTAAGTGGGGATATTCCATTAATCTAACTGGGTTTTTTTTTACACATTTACTAAACGGGGGATGGACCGGATGCACCACTGGGATTGTGACCATTTGTCAAACCATCAGGATTCTCAGTGGAAGCACTGCCAGAATGCCAAGATAACCGTTGTTGATGGTAGTTGATTTGATAATGGGGATTAATATTATCATATATTATCCATAATAACTGTTATGCCATTCATCTAACATGAAAATAGTTCATATGTTTGTGGTTTGACATATGTTGATTTAGTGTCCAGCCGTGTTCGGAGTGATCGAAACTAGCAACCAGATACCCTTGGATACATTGACTACCAGCCCGCTAGCAGGGACGAAACAGAACCCCTAGGTCTAGGTTTCATACCCAAGATGCTCGCTCAAAGCCGCACAGTCAAGCACCTGATGCAAAAGACCTTGCTTTTCTTCATGGCGCATTTCATCAACCTTTGGAAGTTGCTGCTTTTTTGGGAAGCTACCCTCTGGTAATTTAACATAGCTATTGAAAATGGCCATTTATAGTTGATTTACCAAAAAAATGGTGATGTTCCATAGTTTTTTGTATGTTTACCAGAGGCTAAAATTACTGTCATCAACCTTTGGGTTGTTCAAAAACCCTAGAGGTGAGTAAACTCCGAAAGTCGCCGAAAGTCTCATAGATGAAATGCCAGGCATCCCACCATCATCTTCGATGCGTCCATGCTCTCCGCCTCCGCCGTGACCGGGCAGTGCGGAGCCCGATGTGGGGAATGACTACACGTTTAAAAAGCTCCAAAACGATCGAAAAGTAAGATCTGTTTCAAGAATAGTGTTGAATTCCTTTTCTATCTAGATTTTGGGGATTACTATGTATGTATATATAAATATATAGCTATATATATATATACATGGTGCATATACTGTACTAGATGCATTGACATAGATGTGGGTTGATGCACAAGCTGCTTGAAAAACATGAGTTATCAATATGTCCATCTTATCTTTCTTATCTTATCTCATCTATGTACATAGTTATGTGCAACGGGGACACATAGACATATAAGCGCATGTAAGGGATACAAACATAAATATCATAAATGCAAGTTTTTCCATGTGGACATGCATGATGCGTGCAGGCTTTTCATCCAAATCAATGGAGTTTCCCAAGTGCTTCAGCGGAGTTGCTCGAAGTCAGGTTCTTTATCTACTCCTTGGTCAAGGACTCGAACTAAGTGGCGTTGCAGCAAGTTGATTATAAAATGTTGCTAACACATACTAACACACACACAGATAATATATAACAATGTATATTTATATATTGTATATATATATATATTAGTATATGTATTGGCATGTATATTATATCCCGACTTATGATCATAACGGATATCCATACAATCATGGAACCCTGGGGGGGTAGGCGGGGGGGGTAAGTAGCTTATCATATAAGAGCCTAATAAGGGCTTATCAGATATCCCCAACGTCAGGGAAAACTGTCTTTATTCCCTGGTCCAATCATGGGCCTGGTTAAGTCTTCAGCCAAGGAGCCTAGGACCAAGGTATGGGAGAGTCTGCGGAGGGGAAGGGCCTGGGGAGGGGGTCTGGGAAGGTTTGGGTGAGGATAGGAGGGTGGTTGGGGACGTTGGGGGTTGGGGGGATTTTTTGGGATTTTGGTGTGTTTTTTTTTTGGGGGGGGGTAGGCAAATTAGGTTGGGAGACAGGCTTATCCAAGGCTTATCCTTTAAGCCCTGGATAAGCCCTTGATAAGCCCTTATCAGTCTTCAACCAACCCTGAACAAACCTTGGATAAGGATCTCTTGTTTCATTCATGATTGGACCAGGGAATAAAGACAGTTTTCCCTGGCGTTGGGGATATCTGATAAGCCCTTATTAGGCTCTTATATGATAAGCTACTTACCCCCCCCCCCGCCTACCCCCCCAGGGTTCCATGATACAATCATCTATCACAGTTTTCCACGTGGAACAGTGACGATATCGCTATCACTTTTGTTGTGTCCCAACTCTTGTATATTCTGCCCTCTGGTATTCTGGTACAGTATTGGCTTTTTTTCCCCGGCATTCAACGTCAATTAATGGGATATAAGATTAGAGGGAGTAGAAACACTAAACATCTATACACCAGATTTTAATAGGGGATTATAAAACATAGACCCAACCCCTAGATGGGAATATGATACCAGATATACCCGGACTTGTAAATCTTGCTACGCTTTGCGAAGGGTTTTTTTCATGGAACTCAATGGACACCATTGCTATTTTAACTGACCGGAGAGTATCCATTGAGTAGAAATAGCAATCGACCAAATTTGGAGACACTGATTTTTTTCAATCTCCAATTTTGTTGCTGAAAAAAATCAGTGTCTCCAACTCCACTTTTTTTGCAAAAACTGGTTCGTTACCTAATTTGGGATATGCATAGGTAATGATCATTATTATTTTTTGCTCACCCTCCGGTAATCAACGTGGCTTGCTGGAGAATCCCCCATTTGGTTCAATGATTGTCCCAGCTTGAAACCTGCATTCTTGTTCGGGTTTTCCATGGTCTTCCCCAGATGTTCCATTGAAACCGCGATTTTTGCATGTTTTGCCCATATGTTCACCTTAAATCCGGCTGGGGATGTTCCATCCCCAGCCGGGGGTAGGAGTTCGGAGCCCTTGTTCTGGCGGCCACCATGAACATGCGACAGGCCTTGGGAGGGTTGTTAACACAATGATTAACATGTTGACATCCATAGGTTGATAACCATTCCCATAGGATCCATGTATGGTATATATGCTAACATGACTGGGGTATATTGATGGTAAATGTTACCATATATAGCATACATGGATCCTATGGGATTTAACAATCATAAAATATGCATATCCATAGGTTCACAACCTTTTTGAGCATGTTATTAATGTTGTTCATATTGGGAATTGTCCATGTACGTTGATCATGTTAACTGTTGGGAAGTGTTGACAGATAGAGTCCGTTGTTGGCCACTTGAACAATTTGGGAAAAAAATCAGTTCTAAACCGGAAATTGGAGGAATATGTTGTCCAACCAGGAACCAGTCGTTTTGTTCCTTGTGTTTTGAGTACCCTCTGGTAATTTAACATAGCTATTGAAAATGGCCATTGAAATAGTGGATTTACCCATTGAAAATGGTGATTTTCCATAGTTTTTTGTATGTTTACCAGGCCGGGTAGCCAAGTTGTTTCCTCTTGTGCAGGTGTTGTCCATCCTCACCTCCTATGTGTTGTGACTTTGCGGGGCATGGGTTAGTCCTGGGACCCCTTCAATCGAGAGAGCGATTCCCTGCGGAAAGGATGTAAATGGATTGGATATTTATGTTATGTTTGATAAGTTTGATGCTGAGAACAAGCTCCAGTGTATTTTCAACATTGTTCAATTATGAATATGTCCAAGTTAATGTCCTGTATGTCGTTGATGCTACCTTAGACCGTTTGCTGTGTGAAATTCTTGTGGCGCCGGGCTGCGTCCCAAAACTAGATCAAGGGAACATCTACAGCATCCCCCATAAACCCTTTTCATGTGAAACGTATCGAAGCGTCCTGTATGTTTTCTCTTAAATGGACTCGGTGAGCTGAGGTATTCCCATCCAATCACCTTCTTGCAGATCTTGTCACTGTGCATGGTCTTCGCCTCCCTCTTCTACAAGAGTTGCTTGTCAGCGGCTCCACAACAAAGCGACCTCGCAGATGACACTCCGGATTAGACACCACGAATCTGAGAGTTGTTGGGTGTTGGCAGTGACCAGTAGATGTTGACATGTGTTCATAATTTGGTGTATCATATTGTATCATATCGATTGAGCAACAACCTAGTATAGTATAGTATAGTTATGTATAGTTCGCAATCCAAGAAGATATTACCCCTTCAAAAAACAATTGTACACAAACAAAGTTGTGTTGTTTGCAGGACAAAAGTGGGGTGAGCTTTTTAGCCGAGGTTATCTGAGCTATTTGAAGGGCAAGGACAAAGAACCCAAAAGTCCAGGCCGCGGGCCGCGTTGTCGTCAGAACTTGGATCCATTTTTTTTGGACGAAAACGTGGAGATTCCACGTGATGAAGGAATGAAGTAATACCCATGACGGATCCATGGTGCTGCCATATATGGTAACATGGATCCCATCAATATACCCCAGTCATGTTAGCATATATACCAGCACCATGGATCCGTCATGGGATACGAAAACATGGAGAACATTAATTTGTTTCATCAGTTTATCCATTTTGTATGAGCCACCTTCAGTCTGAACCTGATAAATTAATAAATTATACATGGCTAGTGACTGCCTGATGTGTTTTTTCTGTGTTTGTCCGACCCCTTGAATTTTATTGATTCGGTTAAAGATAAGAGTGGCACCCAATGAACTGACGTAGCGACTACTTTTTTTGCCACCATTTTCCTGTTGGAAGTAGCAGTTTGAAGGTTCCATGTTTGAAATTTCCACTCGATCATGATTCCCTCATAATCTGAGATACTTTTCAGGGAGGTTGAAACTGCGTAGGGGTGAGTTCACTAAATTGTACCCTCTGGTTATTTAACATAGCCATGGAAAATCACCATTTATAGATGGTTACCTATTAAAAATGGTGATTTTCCATGGCAAACGGTTAGTCATAACATGTCATAACCAGATGGTATATATGATTGCGATAGGCTGGCCCCAGCGCCCAAGTAAGCAAGTCCTGGGCCTGGGAATGCTGAAAAAAGATGCCAGTAGTTTTTGGCTGGTCCTTCGGACAGTTGATTCCCAAATGGGGATGGATCAATACCTTATTAATACCATTTTTAGGGGGATGAACATCCATTTACCAGCTATTTTGATGTGAACGGAAGGGGTACAAGGTTTTGACACACTGCCAAATAATTCCTGGGATATGAGAAGATTTATCATGATTTATCGACATGACATATTCCCAGTTTACTATTCCATTGATACCTTGAGTAAACCATTGTTTAAGTGGCGATCATCAAAAGGTGGGAAAAGTTCAACCTGTGCCAGGCGTGGTTGACAAGGCGCCCTGTGTGGATTTGATGGCTGTTTTTAGACAAAGATGCGTTTTGTCTTGTCACACGCGGAGTCAAACATAGATGGTGTTGATAATGTGATATGTGTTGATGGTTTTTTGGAGTCTCAAAAATGTTTGAACGTTTTCTGGTTGGTGGTTTGGAACATTTTTAATACATGTTTTATTTTTCCGTATATTGGGCTATTCATCATCCCAACTGACTTTCATATTTTTCAGAGCGGTAGGTCAACCACCAACCAGAACATGTTTGAAGAAATCACAGTGGATCACATGGGGTTTTGGTGGGGATCCTGGCGGGTTGCCCCGTGTCCGTGCAGGCAATCGGCAAAGCGACCCCAGAGGTTTGTGGCTCAAGAAACACGTTCCCCAGAGGGTGTCTGAAAATGGGGAAAAACCGAACGACAATTTGGATGGTAAAAAAAAAAGATACCCTCTGGTAGATTAACTTGTTGACCCTGAAAATCACCAATTTTTAATGGAAACAAATCTTCCAACCCCGACAACTGCCAGGGTCTATGTTAATTTACCAGAGGGTAATTCATAAACCATGAAATTTAGGGGTAATTACCATGGGGTACCCATGGGTAGGATTTTGTGAGACAAAACCAATCGTGCAAGGGTGAAGATAGCCATGATTCCACTTGATGATGCCTTCAGTAAAACGACTGGCCATAAAAATGTTCGAAACTGCAAATTTTAGGTGACAACATGTTCAGACAACACATATCTAGCGGACTTGACTCACATGTTTTGAGGGATGTCAGGCCCAACCCTTCTTAGGGCCCCTCTTCAGGGTTCCTGGTGCATCTTGCGTCTCGGCTAGGAGGTGACCGAATTGAAGAGTGCTGTTGACCAAGAGGACTGATTGCACAATAATTTCTTTGAAGTTGTTGATACTAATAATAATAATAATAGCTGATAGTATAGTAATAACATGTAATAACATGTAATAACATATAATAATTAATTAGTCATAATAATGACATGCAATAATAATAATATCGATAATGATAATGATTATATAATGATACATGATAACATTTGCATTGAAATGGATTTTCATCTCCTCGCTTCAAAGATCAATGATTTGCAGACGAAGACAATTTCCTGTCCATTCCCATCCAAAAATGTTATTGCAGGACGATAAATAATTTCGATTCGAATTGATGTAAGTGCAAAAAACAATAATTATTAAAATCCATTTTGTTCAATTTTAATTAAATAATTATAAAATATTAATTTGTTTTAATAATTTTAGATAAATAATTAAATATAATATAATAATATTTTATTGATATTATTATATGAATTTGTATAATATATAAATTTGAATTAATATAAATTAAATTGAAATTAAAATTATATATATATGAT